TGTAGAGGTCACCGCACCGCAATATTGTTAATCTGAACTTTCGCCCCCTCACCTCTCAGCAACCTGGCGCTTGTCAAACTTCAACTTCTCAATCGTTACATCCTCAACGCTTCCCTCCTCAGATCCTTGGCCCCCCTCTCCTCCGTTTCCCAAGTTTTTTTTTTTTTTTTTAATTCTCTCAATGAACTACCCTCCTGTCTTTTCCTTTTTTCAGTGCTTCCTCTTTCGAGCTATCATTCCCCACTTCTCTCGTCCCTCCCTTTCTCTCCCTCTCATTCATGTTGCCCCCATACTCCCTGACTCCCCCCACGTGGGACTCGCCTCCCATCCTCACATGGAACTCGCCTCCGCGCGTCGCCGAACCATCGCTGTTGCTGAACCATCATCGCCATCTGAATCGTCGAATGCTGTACCTCTCCCACCGCTCTACGATATTCCGACGGTCTACTCGGCGCGCTTCTCGTTCTCTCCGGGTCATCAGGCGTCACTGAAGCAATGGTAAGAGATTCGAAGAACTTCTTCAAGGCGCTGGCGTCGGAAAATTATCAACAGTCCTTCTTTGGATGGACTCTGAGTCGCTTTTGAGGGCTTCTTCGTTTGCATTTGTTCGCAATTGTTTTCACCACCACCTGTGAATCTCCTGTGAGAAGCTAGGCACTACTCATGGTCTGTAACAAGCAGCTCACCCAATCCGCCGCACTTTGTAACCCAACCAGATCTCCACCACCACCTCTACTCTACCTCGCCTCCCTCGCCTCATTCCCCCTCACCTCCTCTCGTCTCCTCTACTCTCCCCGCCTCTCTTCTCCCGGAATCCACCAGCCTCGAGTTGTGGTGATCGGCCTGGAGTCGGGTCGGTCGTCTGTGAACCCGTGGAGCAAAGGGCTGCTCGACTTGAAGATGCCCGCCGTGCGACCAGGAGACTTTCTTTGTGAGTCAACGAGAGTCAACAGGAGTCATTTAAAGACACGCTGGTTGATCTGGGGCTGGTTTGGTCGTCCGTGAACCTGTGGAGCAAGGGGCTGCTTGAGATGCCCACCATGCGACCAGGAGACTTCCTCTGAGTCAACAAGAGTCAACGGGAGTCAAATTGGAGCCAATGGGTTGGCTCGCCTGGGAACTCGACAAGTGATTACTGAAGGCTCTGTTTGTGAGATTGTCGAAGTCAACGACAAGTCAACGGGAGTCAATAATGAGTCAATGGAAGTCAAGCGTGGGCCATTGGGGGACAACGAGAAGTGAAGGGGAGTCAGCAGCGAGTCCCTGATCTCGTCCATCCCTCCACTTCTCCGTGGGCTTGCAGTGCTAGGCTCATCACAACATGCCAATATGGAATAAAGCAGTACCTCTTCTGAGGCGCCTCAAGGATTCGCTGAAGCCATACCAAACCAGGCCTACATGCATGTGACTGCCCCTTTTCAATCGATGCTTTAGTGCCGTCACAAACACCCCTCTTCCACATTCCCTCTCCCCCTCCTTCCCCCATCCCCCCCCTCTTGCGGTTTCCATCCCCACTTTTCTCCCCACCCTCCATCACTCCTGTCCCCCCTTTTCCTCTTTCACCTCCCCCATTTTCCCCCGCCTCCCTCTCCCTAACTCCCCCCTCTCCCCACACCTTCCATATCCCCCATTCTCTTCTCCCCTCACTCTCCTCACCTACACCCCCTCTTTTCAGTGTTCCGCTGGTTCGGCCAGATGCGAGACGTGCAGCAGTTTCCGGACAAGCAGGCATTTGAGAGCTGCGATTTCACCAGAGCAGACCCGGTCGGCCCGAGGCGGTTCTTTGGTTTGGATGTGTACTGGGTTCAAAAATCAGAGCGCGGGAAAATCCTCTATTTTGGGAGCAGCGTCCAGAAGGAGTGTGCAAAAGGGTTGAAAGCTCAAGTGAGGGTACGCTGATGCTGCTGCAACCTAAATTACACGGAGTCTGACGACTAAGACTTGCCAACTCGACTGGTCGCCCAGTGAGCAAATAAAACGAGCACAATAAGAGGCGAGTAGCCTCCCAAAATATATCCACGCATTCTTTGATGTTACGTAGCATGCTATTTTGATAGTTTAACTCCTAGATTTCCGTAATATGCAATGCACATATCTACAACTATTTGTATTGAGGTTATATTTTGTATAGTGCTTTATTCTTGCGGAGACCGTGTCCTTGTAAAGCGAACAACGCCAAGCGATTGACAGCATCTAAACAAAATAAGAAGCGGTTTGCGGTGAGGGGGAATGGTACAGTGCGGTGAAAGCTCCAACGGCAACATCTAGGTGCTTTGGTTCCAGCGCCTTGGACAGCACTGAGCTGGGGAGTTGCACTGGAAGTCGATATTTCCCGACTTGCGCGATTTTCGCGAACTACTGTAACTTGGACTCACGAAACGTCTACTTCAGACACCCTTATCTCGTCGCTCCTCATCGACTCTCATGGGAGCTGCTGCAAGCCGTGTTCGCCAGGCAAGTCCCTATATTCTTAATAGAATCACGCATTTCCCTTATGGAGTCACGCGCTTGTGCAAGCATGCGCCTGCTGCGACCCGCATTTCCACGCAGTTCCGTGCATAAGCTCTAAGTGCGCGTCGCCTGAGCGCTACTTGAGTTTCCAGAAAGTAGAAACATGCCGTCTTTAGTCTCCTCTGGGCGCCGAATGAGGCGACGCGACGCGAGGCGATTCGCGGACGTTTGTCTCCATCTTGTCGCTTTTGAGAATTCTCAAAAGCGACTCAGATTCATCCCACTCCTCTTCTCCCTGCTCCCTTCCCCTTCCGCCACCACTCCCTCCCTCCCTCCCTCCCTCCCTCCCTCCCTCCCCCGGTCCCCGCTTCCTCTCTACCTCCCCATCCGGTAACCCACTTTACTCGCCCTCCCGCCAACCCTGGTTTCCATTCCCCCTTTCCCTCTTCCCGCTACCCCCCCTTGCTTGCACCCCCCTTTCCCTCTTCCCCTCGCCACCCCCAACCCCTCTCCCCTCTCCTCTTTCCCCCTCCCCTTTCCCCCTCCTCCTTCCCTCTCCTCCTTCCCCCTTCCCAAGGGTCCCCCCGCCTCCACCGCGCCTCCCACGTCACACGCTACAGGCTGGCGGGGCTGACGTCATCACGGTGGTGTCGGCGGGGGAAGGGGCGGAGGAGGAGGATGAGTCGTTGCAACGACTGAGAGCGCTGCGACAGGTTGTAGGGGGTATTGGGGTGTAGTGGGGAGTGGTGAAAGGTACTGGGGGGTAGGGGGGTGGTGGGATGGGGAGGAGGACGACGAGTCATTGCGACGGCTGAGAGCTCTGTGACAGGTTGTGGGGGGAGGTGGGGGAGTGGTGAGGGGTAGTGGGGAGTAATTGCGGGTTGTTGGGGTGGTGGGGTGGGGGATTGAGGGAAGGGGCGGAGGAGGAGGAGGATGAGTCTTTGCAACGGCTGAGAGCGCTGCGACAGGTTGTGGGGGGAGGTGGGGGAGTGGTGAGGGGTAGTGAGGAGTCCTTGCAGCTACTGGGGGGTGGTGGGTTGGGGGATTAGGGGGTGGTGGAGGAGGAGGAGGATGAGTCTTTGCAACGACTGAGAGGTTGTGGGGGGAGGTGGGGGAGTGGTGAGGGGCCGGGGGGGGGGGGGGGTAGTGGGGTATTGGGAGAAGGGGAGGAGGAGGAGGACGAGTCTTTGTGACGGCTGAGAGCTCTGCGACAGGTTGTGGGGGGAGGTGGGGAGAGGTAGGGGAGTGGTGAGGGGAAGGTTGTGGGGAGTAGATTGGGGAAGTGGGGCAATGGAGGGTAGTGGGGTGTCATGCGGTGGTGAAGTGGAGGGAGGGTGGTTCGGTTGTGATGTAAAGGGGTGACTGCACCAAAATAGAGCACTGAGATGTATGAATGGCAGGGAGGAAGAGGAAAGAGAGGGAGGGGGTGGGGGTGGGGAAGCGAAAATGGTGATAACTCATACTAAGTGGAGTCGACTCACTAGTGCTGCTGAGTTGAGAGGGAAATTGTGGAGTGGGTTGTGGGGCTAGTGCCGCTGGAAGGGTAGAAGGCTTGGAGGTGTGTCAAACAGAATTGGTTTGCATGAATTGAGTTGGGTTGTGAGAGGTTGGTTGGAAATATGAATGTGGGGCTAGTAAGGGAAGGGTGGAGGGAAAGAAGGGGGGGAGGATGGAGGGAACGGAGGAGAAGTACGAGTGCTTTCTGAAAGTGTTGGCACTTGGATGAAGAAGTGTTTTGAGACGTCTCAAAACACTTCTTCAAACACCTGAAAGTGTGGGCACTTGGATGTGTATTGGGATGGGAAAAGGGAGGGGGAGAGTGATGAGTAATACTGTGGGAATTTTAGCATTTATTTTGTACCTTGGTATCTTGTATCTTGTACCTTGTACCTGTTACTCTCTACTGTGGGTGTTCCCCTACTGCATCAGCTAACCCCTAGGCAATCTCCAAGAGTTCATTTAACCTGTCCCTTATCCTCCCCTCCCTTGTCCGCCCCGACCTCCCTTGTGGGTTCAGACCGTTCCCCTGCTGCAGCAGCTCACCGCTTTGCGAGTTCCAAATGTGCATTCAACCTTTCCTTGATCCTCCCCTCCTCTATTCGCCCACCCTCCCTTGAGGGTTCAGAGCGTTCCCCTGCTGCAGTGTTGTTTTGAAGCGCCTCAAAACAAGACTATCTCTTATCCTCCCCTCTCTTGTTCGCCTCCGCCCCCCCTTGTCATTTCAGAGCGTTCCCCTGCTGCAGCAGCTCACCCCTTTGCTCCTCCAGGCCACACACACCAACACCCATCTCCCTGCCTCTGCTGCGGCTGCTGTTGGTAATGCCACTGATGGTGCTGCATCTGCGGTTAACAAAGGGATTGCTTATAATGCTTCCACCGGTACAGCCACTGCTGATGCTGTTGCTGCCACAGCCACTACAGCTTCTGGGAAAACTGCAGTTAGTGATGCAGAGGCACGTACCGCTGCCGCCGCCACTACCACTGCCAGCAGGCATGGTGTGGAGGAGGGCTCCCCTCGTTCAGCCACAGCTGGCATCAGAAAAGAGCAGATGGCAACACATGCGCAGAGAATAGGTGAGACATGCTTCTGTGATCCCACCAATGCCACCACCACTTTCAGCAGTCATGGTCGGGAGGAGGGCTCGCCTCGTTCAGCCACAGCTGCCAGTGGAGAAGAGCAGATGGCAGCACATGCGCAGAGAATAGGTGAGACATGCGAGTGCTGGTTACATGGTTACATTATCACGAGGCCGCTTCGTTTTGATTCTCAAGAGTCGTCTTTTGCGTCGGCTCAAAATCTGTCTCATTGAAACGTATTTGTCATGTGCAGTTTGCCACTCCATGCTTACACCCTGATTCTTCTTCCCTCCCCCTCACCTTTTTTCCCTCCACCCTTTCACCCCTTCCCCGCCCCTCTACTTTCCCTGCCCCTTCGTCCTGCCCACTCCTGCCACCCACCTCCCTCCTCATCCACACCCACTTCCCATGCAGCCATGGCAGTGCGTGATTTGAAAGCTCAAGGCGCCACGTCTGCCGCTGTGCTGGCGGGGTACGAGCAGTGGCATGCTGACGTGGCGGGGAGGGTGTGTGGTAACCAGCAGGAGCTGATGAGTCGCATGGAGGCAGTGGAAGCACTGGCGGGGAAGGTGTACAAGAGAATGAACTGGACCAGCAGCGTCGTCAAGAGCAACCTGCAGCACCTGAGGGCAGGTAAGTGTGATATATGAAAGGGCTGTTGTTGGGATGGAGGCAGTAGAGGCTCTGGCAGGGAAAGTGTACAAGCTCATGAACTGGACCAGCAGCGTCGTCAAGAGCAATCTTCAACACTTACGGGCAGGTAACTGTGATATGTGAAGCACTGGCAGGGAAGGTGTACAAGCGCATGAACTGGACGAGCAGCGTTGTGAAGAGTAACCTGCAGCACCTGAGAGCGGGTAGGTTCAGCTCTTGACCAGGTATGTGCAGCAGCAAGGCTGTGTGGTAACCAGCAGGAGCTGGTGAGTCGCATGGAGGCAGTAGAGGCACTGGCGGGGAAGGTGTACAAGCGCATGAACTGGACCAGAAGCGTCGTGAAGAGCAACCTGCAGCACTTGAGAGCTGGTAGGTGCAACTGCAACTGCAACTGCAACTGCAACTGCAGCGTGGGTACCTGGAGAGCTGACGAGTCGCATCGCATGGAGGCCGTGGGAGTGAATGTGTGCAAGAGTATGGACTGGACCAGCAGCGTTTTGAATGGCAGTGAAGGGCGTTACAAGCACTCATGTCTGTTTCCCTTCCTCCTCATAATGGGACCGTGTTCTGCCCGACCATTCTCTTTCTTCCTCGTTCGCATAAGCTCTTGGTTCAAGGATCGTTGAAATGCAACTGGTGAACACCAAATGACATTTGATGCAGCTCTGAAGGGGTGTGAGGTTATTAGGGCTCTCATTGGGTGGATCCTTCCCCCTTCTCCCTGATTGGTTCAAAACCAGTCTAAGGATGGAGATGGAGCATCTGCGGAATCAGTTAAGCGCTGTCACGCGCAGCAACGAGGGGCTCTCTGTGGTTAGAAGAGCTCTCGTTGAGTGTATTCTTCCCCTTCCTTCCCCTCTTTTTCCCTGATTGGTTCAGCTCCCAGTCTTAGGATGGAGATGGAGCATCTACGGAATCAGTTAAGTGCCGTCACGCGGAGCTATGAGGGGCTGTGTGAGGAGCTAGAAGCGGCAGGGCTGGAGTTTGACTGTGAGATGGAGGAGATTAGCAGGATTGACGGGGATGAAGCTGTTGAAGGTGGTGTTGAAGCGAGGGAGTCTGGTCTAGGAGTTTCCGGCCAGTCTGAAGATTCGTCAAGTAGTGGTTGTCATGATAGTGGGGCAGGTTCTAGAAGCCATGAAGGCCAAGACAATCGAACACTTAACCATTCAAGCGGAAACCAAGAATCAGGATCCATAAATACGTCTAGGAAACAACTGTAAATAGCACCACCTGATTATGGTTGATCTTGCCAGTGTATGACCTCGTAAAAGGGAAATCAAGGCATCTGGTACCGTATCTGCTTTATGTTCGCGAAGATAAATGTAGTTGTGGTATTTAAACGGGGTCGCTTCCAGTGGAACATGACAACGCGGGAAACCTTGAAGTTCCGAGTTTGAATTCGAGCTCTCCGTCTAACCAATCGCTATTCACCGAATGCGGAAAATCTTGCAGCTTGCAGCCTCCCGTTGAGCCTCCCAGTTTTTCCCCGTCTCATTGCCCTGCTGCCTCATCTGCCCTACCCGGCATTCCCGAAGCTCATTCTGTGAGCATTCTCCACCAAGTTTAGTAGTCCTTCCCGCCATCCCCTCTCCATCCCTTCGCCGCCACGCGTCGCCCTTCCGCATCCAACCGTCGGCGAAAGCTGAAGTTTGACTTGGTCGGCCGCGATTCGCGGGAAGCCCTCCTTAATTGATCGAATTGAGACAGCTACACTGACCGACCCCGTCTAATAGATAAGCTACTGCAGGCCGAGATGGCTGTTTCTGCCGGAATGTGCGCGGAGAGTTTACTGTCAAATTTAGTTGTTGTTAGACACGCATACTTGTCCTGTAGCACAGGAACGCCCACCGTCCGGTACACCCTCTCTCTCGCTCGTGCCTGCAATGGCGGCTGCGAAGGAGGGATCCGGTCGCGGTCGGCTCTTCATGGTTTCCGCGTTCGGAAAAAAAAAAGCCACGACGGTGCGCTAGCAGTAGCAGCACCTTGGCCAGTGCGCCACGCGCGCGCTGTGCCGCCAAAACTTTTGCCCTCACGCTTTCTCCCTCTCGCTCTTCCCATGCAATCGGCGAAGCTGGAAGCGATATCGGATGGGTATAAAAAGCGTATCCGCGTGAGCCATTCACCATATCCGCTGCGATCTTCACATATAAAACTCTGAATAGTGCTGACTAAGTAGTATCAGCCTCCTCTGCACTCCTTCTCGTCGTAAGCATCCCTCTTGGAACCATCCTTCCAGAAAGGGGGAGCTGGTTCACCGACTGGTAGCTCACACAGCGCTCCATTCCCCCACCTGCACACGCACCATTCCCCACCTGCACACGCACCATTCCCCCACCTGCACACGCACCATTCCCCCGAAAGCTGAGGTGAAAAGGTGGCAAATTTCAGTCTCTCAATAACGCTATTGACGCTGGCCGTTTGGAGAGCAGGTGAACCCGCGTATTTGCACCATCACTGCTGAACGGCGTCATTGTCGAACTGTTGCCTTCGAAACCGCTTCTACGGGTCTCGCTCAAGGTGTTGCTCACATCATGGCGTCTGCACGGACGGCTGGAATGGCCCCTCTGCTTCTGCTGCTTCTTGCAGCAACCTTCACCAGTAAGCACCTAACATTCGCTGTCATTTAGGCTTTCCACCAATTATTTCTTGATGTTCCATTTCGCTTGGGGATAGCCAGCCTTCACTTGTAAGAATCTGGCCTTGTTTACTTGGTGTCCTAGCTGAAGGGCTTACAAAAATATATATTGCCCTTCCTTCTTCTTTTCCCTGTGTTCTTTCATATGTCGTCGTGTGTGCAGATGTCGCGTACACCCAGGTAAATTCTCCTCACTCTCGATTTCCCATGTGTTGTGCATCATCTCATGCTACTTTATTGACTCAACTTACCATATTCTGCAAATCCACCCTTTGCCCTATGACACTTTCCGAAAGCTGAATCTATGAACTGATTTCACACATAATTGCGCTTCTGCCTCTTTTCTTGTAACTTCTGTGTAGCCCTCTTTGCTTTTAATTCCCGTAAACCGCTTTTTTTAATGCTTTCCAAGCGGCCCTTGCCCTGTGCTCCTCATGATAGTATCCCTCTCACGCCATTCTTTCCTCTCACACCCCCTCTTTTCCCCCCCACAGCCACTCCCAGTGATGGTGGGGTTCCTGCAGGGCAACCCAGTGAGCCACTGGAGTGGGGGAGTGAACTTGTGGAAGCCCCCTGCTGTGAAGCCAGGGGACATTCTCGGTGAGTGAATCATGATGGAGTGGTAAGCGAGTGGGTGGGGTTTGTGAGACGAAGGGGGGGCTGGTCCAAGTGAATTGGGGTTCACTGGAGTGGGGTGTAAATACGTGGAAGCCCCCTGCGGTCAAGCCAGGGGAGTTCTTGATGAGTGAGGAGAGACTGAACTGGAGAGAGTGAGTTGGGATGAGCACTCAAAATTAGCCCACCCTCCTCCCCACCTCATATGGCTCACTCCTCGTACCCTCATCCTCCACTCTTTCTCAGGTTCTGAAACGTTTCAGGACTTGTTTCACCATTTTAAATATCGACCGCTCCCCCTGCCCTCTCCCATCCCCCTCTTCCCCCTTCCAGTATTCCTGTGGCCGAGATGCACGATGTGCAGCGTTTCAAGAACATCTTTGCCTTCAAGGCCTGCGCCTTCTTCAACGCCGTGCCCCTTAATGCTGTGGACCCCGGTCCCCCCCCCTCTCTCTCCCCACTCTCCAGTGTTCCAGTGGTTTGCCGAGATGCACGACGTGCAGCGTTTCAAGAATATGGTTGCCTTCAAGGCCTGCGCCTACTTCAACGCCGTGCCGCTCACATCCGCCTCGCAGCTCGGCATGCGGCTCTTCCAAGTCAAGCCCGCTCACACGGTCAAGACGTCCCCATACTCTCCCCCTCTAAGCTTCTTCCGAGTACTGTTTCCCATTGTTTCACTGCCCACGCCCTCTTCCCCCCTTCCAGTCTTCCAGTGGTTTGCCGAAACTCACGACGTGCAGCGCTTTAAGAACATCTTTGCCTTCAAGGCCTGCGCCTTCTTCAACGCCGTGCCGCTCACATCCGCCTCGCAGTTTGGCATGCGGCTCTTTCAAGTCAAGCCCGCACATGCCGGCAAGACGCTCTTCTTTGGGAGCAGTGTGGGCAAGGACTGCCAGCGAGGCGTCAAGATCGCCATTCCTGTCAGTTAGAGGCAGCTCTCACTGGCAGATCGACATGCGGCTCTTTCAAGTGAAGCCCGCACATGCCGGCAAGGCGCTCTTTTTTGGCAGCAGTGTGGGAAAGGACTGCCAGCGAGGCGTCAAGATCACCATTCCTGTCAGTTAGAGGCATAAATTCAGAATCATCGGAATGCATATACGGTATCTGCCCACAAGTGATTTTTAAACACATCTTTACAGTGCATACACCCTAGGGTAGGGACCGTATTCTTTGCTTGATACCCATTTTTTAGAGGCGGACGGTTTTGTTCTTAAAATGCCCCTTTCTTGGCGAAGTAGTAGGTAGTAAAGTGATACAAGAATTATACATACTTTGGAACACGCGCCTGAATTATATTCTCACCAATTGCTATTTATTGCCACGGGGCTGTTGACCTCGGAACATTCTTCTACTTAACCGAACCCAACCCAGTCCAAAGAAACCGAAACCATTCTGCTCCCCATACTGTGCACTAGGGCGTGCCCTCCTTACTGGCGTGCCATCCCACCCAACCCTCACCAAGTCTTTGCGCATTGTGCGGCACCATGCCATTATGCGAGCAATAACTGCGGGCTGCAGGAGGCCTGCTCTCACTCGTCCAGTTCTGGCGAGGCTCTTAGTACGAAACGGACCGCCAGCCATTATTGCAGCGCTGCCATCCAACTCCGAATCGGAGTTCAGCGCATTACACGGTAGCAGTACTAGCCTCGCTGCTAGCGCACACACAGTGATTGCGCGGAATGTCACGCTGTCCAGCTTTTCCCGCATGTCGCGCAACGCTGATTCAACTTTTCCCGCGTGTTGCGCGTTTTGCTGCAGCGCCGTGCAAGCAATACCCGCAAGCGGCCGAAAGCGGTACCATTATAGTCGCAACCGACGCTCTCCCTGCACCACCCGCGCCTCCTCATCTCATCTTAGTACTTAAGTTGCCTCCGTTCCGACATTCACCATCACCCGACTGAGTCTCTTCTTTCAGCGCTCGAAAAACACCCAAATCATCTAATCCTCATTATCGTTCGCCATCGTCAGTGCTACTTTCAAAATCCGACGCTCCGACGCTCTCTGAAATTGCACGCTACCATGGCTACTCTTCGCTCCGTGTTCGTCCTTGCGTTGGTCCTCGTCTCGCTTCCCGCACTCTATGCCGCGTCCGCGCCAAAGCAGCGGGGTCAAGTCGCTGCAGGAACCGCAACCGTGGACGCGGCGAGTTGGGGCCGCAAGCTGCTGGAAGCGACCAGCGGCTCCGCCGCAAGCGGTGCTGACGTGGACCAGCTGGGCGGCGAGGAGGAGGAAGTGGGGGAGGCGACGGACGACGGGCTGGACGAGGCGGTGCGGGTGCTGCTGAGCTGGAAGAAGGTGAAGGACGCGGCGAGGAACGCGGCGAAGAGCGAGGCGGGCAAGAAGCTGGGAGGCATCGCGAAGACGGTGGTGGAGAGGGGCGGGGTGGACGCGCTCAAGGCTGCGGCCAACGCGTACAGCAGCGGCAAGGGCGCCAAGGGCGCGCTGGAGGCGGGCGGTAGCTCGCTCCTGCGCACCACGAAGGATGTGGTGGTGGGGTAGGGGGAGAGCGGAGGTGCACGAGGCAAGGCGGGGTGGTGGAGTGCAGCAGGAGCGGAAGCAGCCCAGCTGCCATGGTGCCTGTTTCTGAAAATGCCGCGACTGCTGTTGGTGCTTCTGCTGTTGCTGCGGTCCCTGCTGTAGATGCTGGTGCTACTGCTGCTGTGCTTTTCAGCATTGTTTGCTTAGTTGTCTTGGTGATGCTGCTGGGAAAGGTCTGTGTGGGTGTGGTGTGGGTGGGAGGGTGAGTGGGTGGGTGGGAGAGTTAGGTTTGGTGGTGTGTGTGGGTTTAGGGTTGTGCAGTTTTGAATAATCCTGCTACTCCTGCTTAAGGCTTTTAAAATTACCCTTAGAGAAAGCTTGCTTTCTTGTCCTTATAATTTGGCATCGTTCTCATTGCAACTGGCTTATTACAACATATGCAACGTTCTTAAACACATGCTAGTACATACAAATATTACTAGCTATAGAGTCGTCCGTCCAAGCAGCAGTGGTCTTGTAGTTGGTCCGGGGTGGGTGGTGGGGATGTTGATTGAGCCGTTGAAAAACGAGAAACGTGGGTGGAGGGAATGAACTCCAACCCACGGTTTTTGTAGTTGGAGAAGGGCGTTTAGCGCGCTTCGACGCTGCCAAATATTCGGTACAGGCAGCTTCGCTTTCACAATACACAATTTTGAAAACATCAATGTGTTTAAAAATTATAATAATTACGGTATGAGGAAATTCAAGAAGCCCTGAATGTGAATCTGTCCGAACACATAACAACCCGGTGCTGTCTTAAATTAGTAAAAAATGGGTTGTGAGCTCTCTAATTTGAAACACTCCACGAGAAGATCCACCCTGATTTATTTTGAGGTAAATATTTTCTATTTTATTAGAGTTTTTTACCTGAGTGGAAGATAAAATATACGTGCATTTTTCTGTAGAAGGTTTGCACACCTGTGTTTATTGTTGATCTGCTAATGAAAATATTCCTGGGTCCTCGCGGTTCGGCTTATCGCGGTCCGTTAGCAGGGTAAATTTTCCGGTCCAGGCCGTTCATCTTCCTGACTTCAATTTCGCGCCATTTGGCGCTTCTCCAGCGCGCTGGAGGCGGCAAGGGCGCCAAGGGCTTCTGATTTTCATTTTCCAAATTGGCGGACCCCGAGATTCGCAGCCACGCACGAATGTCACTTTCGACACACCTCCTCTCACACTACAGCAATTTACCAGTATCTCAGTCATATGACAGCAGCAAGCCTCACAACCATCCATGCCGAACGTGGCCTCGTATCCCCATTCCCCAACAACCCTCGTCTCGCCTGACTCCGCCCACCAGCTTTGCGCAGCTTCTGTGAAGCTTACGAAAACCTGCTTCTTGTCAAGTGCGCTGCTGTCTCTTGAGCTACGCCGATGTCGCATCTTCCATTCACAAAGCCACAGAACCGACATCTCCATTCCACGGGAAGCCCTTCCAGCTTCACTGCTGCTAGGCTGTCGGCAGCAGCTGCAGCCGACAGCGCTGGTGCTGGCGGTGGGATTGAACCTAGCCCGCAAAGCGCCATGGCAAACGAGTCAGCCTTGGTCGCCTGCTTGCTGCCTTGGAGTGTAGCCTAAAGCATGCTAAAACTTCTAACAACGTGTATGGGAGGGAAACTTCAGGGAAATACCTATTGGCAGCAACGATTTATTTCGTGACTACTAATAGCTTCAGGCAGAACTCCATCTGTGCCGATTGCTTTTTTTTCAAGTGTCACTCAAAGTCTTGCATAGTACTTCGCTGCGAGAACACAACTACTGATTCCACTACTAGCAACCGGGTCAAGTCTTGGTCTACAACTCTGAAGCGGTTATTCTATCAAGCATTGCCTTTCGAGTCCTCACGCTTTGAGCTGCCCTCAAGCTCGACTTCGGCAATACGGTAATCGTATTCGCATAGACTAGTCTGAATAGTCCAGGATTTTCCAAGCATACACTGGACTGGATACATAGTACCGAGTTACAACGCAGATTTCCCGGACTCACGTCGCTGAGTCCTTCGAGTAACTCCTAATCTCGAGATTCTGCGTAGTGCTAACGGCAAGCACCATGAGGTCGAAGCACCTTGGGAGCCTGCGCGCACCTCTCATTGCGCTGCTTCTCGTCATCGTGTGTTCAAGTGAGTTCCAAACATGCGTCATGATTATGCTTTCGAGAAGTGGTTTATCGCATGTAGTTCACTTCGCACTGGGTTTTTCCATACTGGTACCAACTCACAGAGGGATTAGAATTTCAGCGGCCAAAAGACACCGCTAGTGTGCTGCTTAACGTCGCGATTTTAAGCTGTCTATGGCTGCATGCCGCCGCACGACTGGTGCAGGTCGTACCTGTGCTAATGAAACAACCTTCAGTCTGGGATGAAACATTAACGACTAAACGTATCCTTTTCCACCCACCTACCCGCTGTTCCCGTGTCTGATACCCCCACTTCCTACCCTTCCCACCGCCGGTCTCCTCGTACTTGACGCCGCTACTGCCTGCATGAAGGAGTGGTTCCCGCACAGGTGAGACTCGACTTTCTGCAATTCATTCAAAAGCCGCCTCGAAAGTTGACGTTTGGCGTTCAGACAGCTTAGCGCGAGTGAATGCTTTTAAGTGGCTTTGTTGCGTCAACGGGCCACTATTTCTGGTATTTAATTGCATTTATTCGAACCCCCTTGATATATGTCCCGTCCATGTCGCCTTCCAGTTCCTCCCATAAATGTTCTTGACTCGCTCTTCAACCCGCCGCATCTTGGCCTGACTACATGATTCCTAAAATCCATTTACATCCACCCTCACGAACGCGGCACCACTCCTATTCGCCTTGTTTCCTCCCTTCAGTCTCGACCGGTCATGGTGGGAGGCGGGTTGTCGACCAACCAAGTAGTCAGTCCGTGGGGATTGGGGGTGGGCGACTGGTCGCCGCCTGCTGTGAAGCCAGGAGACCTCCTCGGTAAGAACTGTCAAATCATCATTTGTTGTTTCTAAAGTAATGTACCCCACTCACTCACGATTGGCAAAAATGGTGTTTACCAGTGTATTAGTTCACCCACACTTGCCCACGTTTGTTCCTTCCCCATCATCCGGCAGTGTTCAGGTGGTTTGGAGAGACTCATGACGTGCAGAAGTTTGGAGACCCAGTTACGTACGGCCTCTGCAGCTTCTTCAACACGAAACAAATATCACCTGCCCGCCCAGTTGGGCTGAGGACGTATAAAGTGAAAGCTAGCGACAAGGGCAGGACCCTTTACTTTGCAAGCAGCATGGGAGAGGATTGTGCAAATGGAGTAAAAGTCGCCGTTCGTGTAAGCTAGATGTTTATCTCACTTACATATACATCAAGTCCATCACACCACAAGTATCAGCCAACTGGCTGCGAAGAACAAGACTACAGCCGTACTATGAACGCAAGTACAACCGTACGGATGGTGTCTTCCTATGTACCACTTACTGTTGTTGTTCAACATCCACGCTACGGCATATTCTCTGTCAATCCCATCCACTTGCACTCTGTGCGCAACGAATTATGCCACTCAACTCAATACATTCTTAATCATGAGCCAGCCACGACGACTCAACTTCTCATGCAGCCTTGATCCGTATGCTGCTAAGGCTGTTGCCCACATACGGTAGGCCCTCAAGTGAGCATTGTGCAATGTTCACGCATCAACTCAAACATTGTGGGGGGGGGAGGGTGAGGGAGGGAGGGGGGAGGGTGGGAGAGGGGATGAAGAGAAGAGGGGGAAAGGTGGGGGCGGGCTGGGGGGGGACCCACTATACGGAAGCTTATGGTAAATATCGAGGAAACAAAAACAGTAATGCATGAATGGGTCAGGCTATGCTCTGTTGACATGGGTGAAGCTCGGGCTACCCTAAAAGAGTAGACCGATTCGATCTTGTATAGAAGAGCAAGGTTTGGCGAGCAGGCCCTCAGATTGGTTTGGGGGTACACTGAGGCCTCAGGGCAGTTTTTAGGAAATCAGAATTTGCCCTGAATTGTCAGGGCTGCACAGGGTGAGGTATCCTGAAATGTCAGTGCGATATTTGACTGTATCCTGGCAGTTCAGTGCTACATTTCGTACAGCCCTGTATATTTCGCGCGTGTTATGTTAGCGGGGTTCGAAATGCTCTCCGCATTCGAAGCGTGTAATGCTGGGGTGCAGCTGCAAGTGGCTGGCAGTGCGAGTCGCTGGCAGCTACATAGTGCGAAACTGTTACAACCCAGTACAAGCTGATGGCGAAGGTGGCAGTGGACATCGTGGGCCAAATTGTCTAACAGAAGTGGCACAAGTTTGTTCCTGTCAAAGATATTGTCCTCCATTTGTCTACGTGAAGTGCGGTAGTGGGTGGATTGCCAGTCTGTTACACAAGAGGTCGCCAGCTCTATTCCCGCTGGCTACGTGGGGTCTTTTTCGGGGTGCTCGCTCCGAAGCCCAGGAGATTTTTGGTACAGTACATCTCGCTTCGGGGCCGAACATACAGGGTTATCATGAAGTTTCAGTACGTAAAATAACCATTATACTGATTTTACAGGACAAGATATTCCCTTATGCTGTTTTTTCAGGAGAAGCACACGACACCTATCCTGAATTCAGGAGAATCAGGATAAATTATCCTGATAACATAGGCCCTGTTGGCGAGAGATGGCGCGCTCTATTCTGTAATCAATACCAGCGGCTTGTAGCAGGGAAAGATCAATTAGTGATAGAATGGGAATTTTGTGTTCCTTACACAGCAAAAACCAGAAATGTTTATTGTGCTAGGGAATATATTGTTAGTTTCTTGTTGGTGTACAACTTATGTTTAGTAAGGGCGCCTTCCTCAATTATGCTCACGTTGCTTGTCCCTATGTGATATTTTCTGGCGGCGCAGAACATTCCACTTTGGGAGGGGAGATGTGTGAACAGACAGACGGGCAATGTACCTGTAAATTTCCGGGCATCCTCTGCCGCCTTGAAGGGCGAATAAGCGGCGCGGAATGATTGCTTTTCTTCAGCCCGACTTTCTTTTAATTTCTTTGGGCAGCTGAATAACTGGTTTCGACCAACCACCGTGGCCTGTTTATGCCCGACATTTTCCTGGACCTCGTTCATTCACATGTGCATTCTCCACGAACAATGGGTGCACCACACCTCAGAGCTGCCTTTGGGTTGCTCGGGACGCTCGTGTTCTGTGCGGTTCATTCAGGTTTGAACGTTAATGAGCGCGGTAGGGACGACCCAACAAACCCCTCAGCAAAATCACCCCCATGGCAGCAGCTGCACGCTGCTTTGCCCGCCCACCCATCAATCTCCAATCTTCCATTCCCACATCATCCCTTCGCACCGCCAACCGACCAAACTCCAACAACCCAACCTCCTCCTTCCAAGAACTTTAGTCTTCTATCTCGAACCTCCCGTCTTGCTTCCGCTCAAGAAGTCGCACTGCAATTGTAACATTTTTGCGCTCCGTCAGACAGCTTCCCTATCCGCCCGAACAAGCCCCCCTCCGGCCCGCAGTACCAATCCATCATCCCAGCGTTCCTAATCATGGTGCGCGCAACCAATCATCTCCGGCTCCTCATTGCCGCACTCGTTATCCTCGTCGGTACGTGCCTCCACTCATTTGCGCAATCGGACCGCGCGCACTCCACTATTATCAATGTGCTCGCCCTTGCGAGGCGCCACAGCGTCCTACTCCTTTTCAAGCTTTGAAACCCCGCCGCACCGCTTTATACTCAGCTATACCGTTCTCAAACCCAGTCGTACCGTTTTTACACTCAGCTTCTACCACTGTTGGCGCCTGCCCTGTTTTTCCTCACGTTTCTCAGTTCCCCTCGCACCACATCTTATTCTTTGCTCACCCGCGACCTTCCCCCCTTCGCATCCCCCTCCCCTTTCCTCTCCTCCCTCCTCACCACAACTCTCTCTCCCCCCCTCCAACCCTTTCACACATTCCTCTCCCCCTTTCCCCCCCTCCCTCGACGCCCTCCCCTTCCCCGTTCCCATCCCCGCGATCTCCGACGTCGCGTCGCCGCATGCGCGCGCCGATGTCCGCCCCCCGCGCGCGCATGCTCTCCGCCGACGACGATCATCAACGGTCACCGCCATTCGCTGCTCGCTCCTTCTCAGCCGGCGCCGAGGCGCAGGTATGGCGGCCTCGCCACCCCCTTCTGGCCCCCTCCCTCACGCTTCCCCTCCTCCCCCTTCATTTCATAACTGACACATGCTCGTTCTGCCTCTTCTTCACACCCCTTACCTTCCCTCTTAATCCTCCCTCCCTCCCTCCCGCCCTCCCTCCCTCCCTCCCTCCCTCCCTCCCTCCCTCCCTCCCTCCCTCCCTCCCTCCCTCCCTCCCTCCCTCCCTCCCTCCCTCCCTCCCTCCCTCCCTCCCTCCCTCCCTCCCTCCCTCCCTCCCTCCCTCCCTCCCTCCCTCCCTCTCTCCCTCCCTCTCTCCCTCCCTCCTCTCCCCTCCGTCCTTCCTTCCCTACCCATCCCGCCCTCCCTCCTGTCTCCGTCCCGCCCCTCCTCCCTCCCCGCGTGCAGAAAGTGGTGTGGGTGGGGGGTAACAACGGCCAGTGGCTCATGGGGCTATCTGTGAGTCCACTCAGGATTCTCCCCACTCATGTGCGGCTCTCCCCATCCCCCCGCCCCCTTCCCCCTCCGTGTGCAGAAAATGGTGTGGGTGGGGGGTAACAACGGCCGGTGGCTGTCTCCATGGGGATTTGGAATGAAGGACTGGAAGGCACCCAAGGTGTTGCCTGGCGACCTGCTAGGTACGCGCCTGTGCGTGTTGGGTGTGCTGCTGCTGCTGCTGCTGCTGCTGCTGCTGCTGCTGCTGCTGCTGCTGCCACCTCCCAGGTGCAACGAGTGACAATGGTGGTTTGCGAGATTGTGGGAGGCAGTGACGGCGGCAGGGAGGGTATTTGTTTGCAAGAACTGAAAGGGCATAATATTTCCACACAGCGTCCTGGTACCGTAGGTGTTCACGAGTGAATAGCGTCACCTGTGCTCGACTGTGTGCTTCTGCTGTAATTCACCTTGCACACTGGTGATGCAGGTGTGAACTTCTTCTAGTTACTGGGGCCTGTTCTGGTAACCCTAGCCTGTTCTGGTAACCCAAGCCTGTTTGGGTAACCCAAGCCTGTTCTGGTAACCCTAACCTGTTCTGGTAACCCTAACCTGTTCTGTTCTGGTAACCCAAGCCTGTTCTGGTAACCCAAGTCTGTTTGGGTAACCCAGTACTTCGGGTCTTTGATCAGGTTAAAGTCGGCCCAGAAGCCACCCAGCAAAAAGAATCGCAATGTTTTGTTTTGCACTGGAACACACCGGGCCAGTGCTCTGGCACCCCATGCCTGCTGTGGAAGCACGGGCCTGGTGTGGAAGCACGGGCCTGGTGTGGAATGGAAGCACTGCACAGCACAGCCCGTGCTTCCAGAGCAGTTTTGGTCCTTGAGACTTTACGGGTTAAGTTTTGAGGATTAAGAGCTGAGGCTCACCACAGATGGTGCAGAGTGGGGTACGGTACGGATGGTGCAGAGTGGGGTGCAGTACAGATGGTGTAGAGTGGGGTGCAGAACAAATGGTGCAGAGTGGGGTGCATTACTGATGGTGCAGAGTGGGGTGCAACAAAGATGCTTCATCGTAGAGTGTAACACCATGAGGTCCATGGGTAATGGAACTTACTCTCTGCCCCTATGAATCACCAAGGTACATGTGGCTGATGATACTCTTTTTGCTTCTGTCATATGATACATATGTCACATGCATACCTTTCCCTTTCTGCCCGCAATAATCTTGCTCGCCCCTCATTCATTCTTCATCCCTTTTCTAGAGAATGCAGTGCCGTTTGTAGATTAATAATTGCATCGATAACTCCCTTCCATGTCCTCTGTCCCTGCCCTAGCATACTTCCCACCGGCCCAAACCCTCTTCCTGCAATGTTCCAGTTGGGTGACTTGAGAGATGCAAAAAGTGATGTAGTGCAATTGAGGTGTATATATATCATAATTCCCATTCCGATGCCCCCTCCCGCCTCCCCTTTCCCGCAGTGTTCCAGTGGATGGGTGAGGTACACTCGGTGGACAAGGTTGACGTGGCAGATTACACTGCATGCACTTTCCTGAACGCGAAAACGCTCGCGCGCAATCGTAACTACGGAATGTACATCTACAAGGTGGTAGGCAAAGACTACGGCAAAACCATTTATTTCAGCAGCAAAGCCAATAGTGACTGCAGTGACGGAATTAAGGCGTCATTCACTGTTGGATAGCAATAATTGTGTTTTACAATCGAAGGGAGTGTACATGCTCTGTAGCTATGGCTGGCAAAAATGATGGTACTTGTGAAGTTTGTATCTTGTATGTTAACGGGAAGATTTATGTACCGCATCCGTATGTCAGGCCAACGTTGTCGTTGTGAGCGGGACCGTTTCTCCGCCAGTAACATTCAGCAGCGGGACCGTCGTCTATTTCGTTGAGGCGCTACAGAGGTCCCTATAGAGAAGGGAAATGATCAAACTGGGGCCGAAGAGAGATGACCAAAGTAGGGCCAGAAAATCTTGACCGTAGGATTTCAGCCCCCAAGAGGCTAGGCAAACAAGCCGAACCATGACTAGAAGAAAAATGCTATCGGCACCAAATTTCGTGTCGATCATATCTAAAAAATGTTACGACCGCCGTCTACTACTTACGGGCGCATCACGTTCTTCTGAAAGTAAAAGTAGTCGTGATAATTTGTGAGTTCAAAACAAAATAATTCATTACGGGTGATACATATCGCTACCAGTTCGGAAACGTGCAATAAAAAATATTACCCATTCGGAAATGGATGCGATTAGGGAGGCATCAACCCTAAACACAACGAAGGTTCCCGTTTTCAGGGTTGATCCATCCCGAATATGCGTCTAGGTTCCCTAGGAGTTTTAGTTTTTTTTGGCTACCTTAAGAGTTTCTGGCTTGCTAGACGACACTATTGGGTGGAAGGTCATGAATCATTAACGATTTCCATGAAAAATGACTTTCGATAGAAAATGGAAGCTGTTAGCAGACATCCGTTCAATAAATTATGGCTTTCTGCGAATATCTTTTTGTTCAGTGGTTTGGTTAGTTCCGGGCCTCTCGGCCCTTGTTCGATCACCTCTCTGGCACTGTTCGGCCCCTGTATGATCTTTTCCCTATAGAGAAACCTTCAAGTTGTCCTGTACCCAACGACACCTATTCCCCGTATTCGCGAAGCCTCCAACATACAGGCAATGCGAACAAATCCTTTCCTGTTACCATATCACAGTTCCTAAAGTCCGCGGGATTGTGCAGAGAGCGACCTTCGTCAGTTGGATACCCTTCATTGTACTTCGCCCGACTTCCATGAAATTCGCGCACGTCGTAAGTCGTCGCAGCTGTTAGGGTATCCTCCACTCCATCTTCGTCGAGCAACAACTTTTGGCGGGGATTTACGCTTTGCAGCTGAAGACGTAACCTGTTCTGGTTCTCTCCGCCTAATCCAGCCAGCACGATGAGCGGACCGGGAGAGTTCTTTAGGCGGAATGACGCGTACAGGCACCACCCGCTCCTGAAGAACCAGCTGCGACACGGCCTCCCAGGATTAGGGATTGCCGTGTCGGCGTTTGCCGTCTACCTGTTTGTTGACGGCATGGCGTCGAAACTCGGAAGCAAGCCGTCTGGGCATTGATGCCACGCGTTTCCGTGCCGGATCTACTGTAGCTTACGAGCACAGACGACATCTTGAGTCGTATGTAATTTCGTATTCATTCCTTGAGCACCTTCGTGTGCGGATCTTATGTCGCGTACCAGATGAGCTTCGTAGGTTGATGGAAAGTACTGCTTTGTTCGTATCCTAATGTACCAGCAAAATTTACTCGCAAATCGTGTGGTATTGGTTTACGCGCGTTCTAGCGTCCTCTCACCCTCTAGTACTTCGCCATACCCGTCCTTTGATCCAACGGTCAAGAAACGGCCTCTTTTTCGAATCGCCAGTCACCTTCATCTTTTGTTTCTCTGTCCCAGACGATACCCCTATCCTTGCTCCCTGCTGCTTGCTCCTTTCACTTGAGCTGTTCCTTCCCGGCTCCAATCCCCACTGGCACTGTCACCTGCCCTTTCTCTATCGTGCGTCCTGCTCATCTTCGTCACCTCATGTTCGCCTGCTGTGTTAACGTCTGCTGCATGACTCTACTTCTGGCGCCCCTCATAGTTGTTACCCTTCCCTTCTCTTCCCTCCTGTTAGCCTCCTGTGTTAACGTCTGTTGCATGACTCTACTTCTGTCTCCCCTCATACCGGTAGTTGTTACCCTGCCCTCCTGTTCGCCTCCTGTGTCAAGTCTCCTTTCCCACTCCTATTCATTGTCACATCACCCCTCCATTTGTTCATCCTTTGTCCCCAAGTCTCTGTCTCTCGTCACCATTTCTGATTTCTTTGTGAAGAGAGGGAGATGGTGGTGGGCGGTGGTGTGGAGGGGAGATGTCGGGTTGGGGGAAACAGAAAGGGGAGGGAGGCGGATTGCTTTTTTCTTCAACCAATTCAGGGGCCCCTGGGAAGAGCATTGCTTCAGGCTACTGAGCTGTGTGCGGGGAGTTGAATCAAGCAGTGGTACCGTACGGGTCAACACAAGGAACAAACAACAGTTTCACTCATTCAATCCAAGCTGCGCAAAGCCACAACACGCAATTCACATTATTACCAACAAGCCACTGATTATGGTACACCCGGAGACGTGGCTACAGTAGTACAGTGTAAGATTGCAACTTGTATGGTGGTAAGGAGAAACTGAAAATGCTGCTGGTTGGGACTGTAGCCCCTGCGGGCCCTATCTGGGGCAACACGCACACGTCGTCGGTGGTTCTTCTGAGTCGATGCGTCGGAACCTTGATATGGAAACGATTAGTTCGGCAGCACTTGCAGCAGCAAATACCACTGACATTGGCACGTGTCATGACATGTCATCACATGCCATCACATGCCATCACATGCCATCACATGCCATCACAACACAGCACGTGCCACCACATGCCACTGGCACCACAACACAGCACATGCCACCACAACACAGCACATGCCACCACAACACAGCACATGCCACCACAACACAGCACATGCCACCACAACACAGCACATGCCACCACAACACAGCACACGACACGCCATGGCATCACATGGAGTCCATGAGCGACGCGAGGATGAAGTTGGGAGTGAGGGCGCGGTGGGCCAGGGGCTGCCCAGTGACAGGGGAGACCCCATTGCTGGAGAGCCACGTCTCAATGTGCTCGCGCTCGTATGTATGCCCATCCGCTGCTACCACCGGGTCCCTCATTCTCTCCTGCAATAGTCACAGAAGGAAGGGGGTGGGGGGAGAAAAGGTATATTAACTTGTGCTACCAGGGGCTGTCCGGTGACAGGGGAGACTCCGTTAGTGGCGAGCCACATCTCTATGTACTCCCGCTCAAATGTGTGCCCGTCCGCTGCTACCACTGGGTCTCTCACTCTCTCCTGTGGTAGTCGTAGCTATGCATTGGTAGGAGGGGAGGGGAAGGACGAAAGGATTTCACATGAATGCCAAAGGCTGTCCAGTGATGGGAGAGAGAGAGAGAGACCCCGCTGCCGGTGAGCCACGTCTCGATGTCCGCCCGCTCTATGTGTGCCCGTCCGCTGCTACCACTGGATCTCTCATCCTCTCCTGTGATAGTCATGGGTAGGAGGGGAGAAAAAGGCTGTCAGAGGCTGTAAGAACACAGCACCTACCTGCAACAGCAAGCACACGAATTGCCCATCACGCGTTCCCATTGCCTACCCTTCTCCACCTGTGCGTCTGTTGCTGCGCAAAGTGGGGTTGCATCTGTGATTGTGTGAGAAAGTAAGTGTGTTTGTGTTGGAGAGAGTGTGTGGAAGAGCGAGAGCAAGAAAACAAACACCTACATGTGACAGAGGGCAGACAAACCGCCCATCAAGCTCCTTAGCCCGCCTGTTCTTCTCCTCCAAAGCCTCCTCTGCGATCTCCCCCAGCAGCGGGTGAATCTCCCCCCCCAGATCCGGCCGTCGCCTCCTCTCAATACACCGCACCAGCACCCTCGTCACCCACCCAAGTCTGTGTGCATGACAGACTGTGGCTACGTGGGTGAAAGAGCATGAAAGAGAGTGAGAGAGGGAGGGAAGAAAGCAACACTCACATGTGACAGCGGGCAGACAAACTGCCCGTCGAGCTCCTTAGCCCGCCTGTTCTTCTCCTCCAAAGCCTCCTCTGCAATCTCCCCCAGCAGCGGGTGAATCTCCCCGCCCAGATCCGGCCGATTCACTCTCCGCCTCTCAATACACCGCACCAGCACCCTCGTCGCCCGCCTCACAAGCCTCTCCGGCCACTTCCCTGCCGACCGATCCAGGCTCCTCATCACCAACTCCTATGTGTGTGAAAGAGCACGAAGGAGTGAGAGAGAGTGAGAAAGCAACACTTACATGTGACAGCGGGCACACGAACCGCCCGTCGAGCTCCTTAGCTCGCCTGTTCTTCTCCTCCATCGCCTCCTCCGCAATCTCCCCCAGCAGCGGGTGAATCTCCCCTCCCAAATCCGGCCGATTCACTCTCCTTCTCTCAACACACCGCACCAGCACCCTTGTCGCCCGCCTCACAAGCCTCTCCGGCCACTTCCCCGCCGACCGATCCAGGCTCCTCATCACCAAATCCGTCGCCTCTTCTGTGTTTCTCGCGCCTGTACCGCACGCCGCCAGCAGCCCATGCACTAGCTTCACATTCTTCAAACCCGTCAGCAGCTGCAGAGCTATCAGTCCAAACGCGTATATATCCGATTTGACTGATAACTCCCCCGTTTGAAGCTCTTCAGGGTCGATATATCCTGCGGTTCCCCGCACCTTCCAGGTTACAGCTGAGACTTCGTTGGGGATCAGCCGAGCGAGACCCACGTCGGCGATTTTCGAGATGGAGTTGGCGTCGAGGAGAATGTTGTCGGGCTTTAAGTCCCGGTGGAGAATCGGCGGGTCGTGCCGGTGCATGTAGAGCAGCGCACCGGAGATCTCCGATATGATTCTGATCCGATCGTGCCAGGGGAGGGGCGGCGGGGGGTTGTCCCCCGCTCGGACTATCCTCTCCTGTAGGTTTCCTCCTTGGAGGAATTCGTACACGATACAAGCTTCTTCCGGGCAGTGACCCATTAAGAGCACGATGTGCGGGTGCCGAACCTTGCTCAGAACCTCCACTTCGGTTCGGAACTCTGCCGGGCCTTGGTCGCTGCCTTGTTCCAGTTTCTTGATCGCTACTAAGCACCCGAATAGCTGGCCTCGGTATACTGGCCCGTATGCGCCCCTTCCGAGAAGGTTCCGGTCGGAAAAGCCGTCGGTTGATTCGAGGAGTTGGGGGAGGGAGAAGCGGCGGCAGTCTGCGAAGGAGGAGGAGTGGGAGGAGGGGTCGAGGGAATCGGAGAGAGAGGGTGCGTGGAGGGAGGAGGAGAGGTGGCTTGGAGAGGAGGAGGTGATGTTGGGGGAGAGATCTGTGGGGGTGTGGTGCTGGAAAAGTGGGAGGGGATAGGATGGGGAAACAGGAAACAGGAAAGAGGAAGATATAGAACGTTAGATGACATGAGCTGGTTCCGGTCGGGACATCTGTCGGTTGATTCGAGGAGCTGGGGGAGGGAGAAGCGGCGGCAGTCTGCGGAGGAGGAGGAGTGGGAGGAGGGGTCGAGGGAATCGGAGAGAGAGGGTGCGTGGAGGGAGGAGGAGGAGGTGATGTTGGGGGAGAGGTCTGTGGGGGTGTGGTGCTGGAGGTGTGATGGGGGAGATGGTTGAGGGAGGTGGGAAAAGTGAGAATGGTTGGGATGGGGAAACAGGAAAGAGGAAAGAAGAAGGTAGATGACATTAGGGTGATCCCAGATGGTTCTTGTTGGAGCTCTGGCATACAATATCTGAAACAACGATAACGGGGTGACTTTTGAGTCGGCTTGAAACGGCGATAATGGTACGAATATGATGGCAGAGAAGCTCGAAACTGAAATTTCTGTGGCGCCCATGCCCAAGCCCAACATGCCCATGCCCATGCCCATGCCCCTGGCCACCCCACAACATTCACCCCAATCCCCCACTCACCCCATCTACTGTGGTGCAAGCAGCAGTGGCAGCGGCAGAAGCAGCGTTGGCAGACGCGGAGGCAGCAAGGCGGGCGCGCTCCGTGACCTTGCGCAAGCCCAACATGCCCATGCCCATGCCCATGCCCATGCCCATGCCCATGCCTATGCCCATGCCCATGCCCATGCCCATGCCCATGCCCATGCCCATGCCCATGCCCATGCCCATGCCCATGCCCATGCCCATGCCCATGCCCATGCCCATGTCCATGCCCCCACCTGGCCCACACCATAACATTCACCCCAATCCCCGACTCACCCCATCTACTGTGCTGCAAGCAGCAGCAGCAGCAGCAGTGGAAGCATTGGCAGCGTTGGCGGAGGCAGAGGCAGCAAGGCGGGCTCGCTCTGTGACCTTGCGAACAAACTCCGTGGAGTCGAATGAAGAGGTGGAGGAGGTGCTGTCCGCGTCATCGTTGTCGCCCGCAACAGGCTGGGGTAGCAGGATTGAGGGGTGGGGGGGAATGCAGGGGGGGTGGGGGGAGAGAGGGGAAGGCGGGGTTGGGAAGAGGTCGGATGGGGAGTGAAAGGAGGAGCCTGGCAGCTAGGCGGGCACGCTCTGTGACCTTGCGGACAAACTCCGTGGAATCAAAGGAAGAGGTGGAGGGGGCGCTTCCCGCATCATCACCATCATCATTGGTGGTTGCTGCTTTGGGCTGGGTGTAGCGGGACAGGACAGGAAGCGGGGAGGAGAAGATTTGTGAGGCGGGCTCGACTCGAGCAGTGACCTTGCGAACAAGCTCAGTGGAGTCGAAGGGAGCAGGTGGAGGAGCAGGAGGAGGTGGAGTCGAAGGAGCTTCCCGCGTCATCGAAGGGGAGAAGAGGGGAAAGGAAGGGAGGGGATACAAACGGATTGGTCTGGCATGCCATTGCATCACCAGTAACCCACACACGCGGGCTGTACTCCAGACAGACAGGCCTTAGAAGCATTCTCAGTTACCTCAAGGAAAGCCTTGTAAAAGGGCTAGCGTCTGAATCGACTTTTGAGGCGCCTCAAAAGCTTTCTTAAGGTAAGCCTTAGAAAAAGGGCTAGCGTCTGAATTCGTCTTACATAGTTGCCCACAGCAATTGTGTTATTGAGTCGACCAAAAAAGAGTGTCTTTGAGTCGACTCAAAAATTGGCTCATCTTACATGGTTGCCCACAGCAGCAGTCGGCCCAGCAGCCTTCCCTCCGCTGCCCCTTTCTCCACCCTCCCCCTCCTCCTCGTCTTCCCCATCCTCCCACACCTCTGCATCATACCCCCGCCCCACACCGCCGCTGCCTCGGCTCGACCTCACAACAGCGGGACCACCCAAGTCACCCAAGTCATTGAGGTCCCCTTGTGCAGCCAGTGCATCGCGCAGCATATTGCTCCCTGCACCCCCACTGCCACCACCGCTGCCGCTGCTGCTGCTGCTCGGGTTTTTTTGGCTGCCCGAATCTGTAACGTTGCGGCTGTTGTTAGGGCAGCCGCCGCTGCTGCCGAGATAGAGATCGGAGCTTGAGGAGCGGGGGTTGCTGGGGTGCTCGTCCTGGTGGTGGGAATGTGGGAGAGTGGGGGGAATGGATGGTGTTTCTGGAGAGGGCGGGGAGAAAGGGAGAACGAGAGAGATTGGAGCTGGAGGAGTGGGGGTTGCTGGGCTGCTCGTCCTGGTGGTGCGGGGGATGTGGGGGTGCGGGGGATTGGGATGTAAAGAGGTTCTGGAAAAGGAAGAATGAGAGAGGCAGAGGGATGAGGAACAAACGTGAGGGAAATGAACGAGACTGGGAGTAGAGAGGACCATAAGCAGAATGAAGAGGCCAACTTGAGACAGTATGGCATGAGACGCACCGCAGTGCAAATGCAAAGAACAGAAGTACACCGCACCGCACCGCACCCCACAGCACAGCATACAACAGCACCGCTCAGCACCGCACAGCACCTTGCAGAACTGAGCCTGGGCCGCAGCTTGCTTGGCGAGGGCCTCTTGCCTCAGCTGCTGCAACTCCCCCATCAGCATATCCATATCCAACCCACTCCTGCTGCTGCTCCCACTCACACTCCCCTCTTCCACTTCCCCTCCTCCCCCTCCTCCCACTCCCCCTCCTCCTCCCCCTCTTCCAGAAATCTCCTCCCTCGCTCTCCCTGCCTGCACCTCCCCTCTCCGACCTTCAGCTGCTGCACCCTCCCCCTGAATCCAATCCCGAACCAACCCTCCCCCTCCCCGACCAACCTCCAGCAGGCCCGGCCGGGCCTCCTCGCCGAGCCTGCCATTACTGGAGGGCATCTTGGGCAGCCTGTGCCGAGCCTCACCAACGCCGCCACGTCCAGACCCCGAGCCTGGCAGGTCCGGCGAGCCAGTGGTGGGGAAACTAGTGAGCAAGCCTGAAGCGAAGCCTGCATGAGCATCCATAGAGGAGGAGAGGCCTGGGGAGGTGGAGGAGAGAGCACGACGCAACGGCGCTCCTCCCTCCATGCTGCCTTCTTCCTCTTCCTCATCATAATCCCTCTCCCCATTCCCCTCAACCCTGTCCGCCCCAACTCTCCCCTCACCTCCGCTTCTTCTCCCTGCTCCCGCTCCCGCTCCCACACCCGCCCCTCCTCCCCCTCCTCCCCCTCCGCCCATCCACCCGCCAAGCCCCTCCCCCCACTGCCCACTCCCTTTCCTGCGCAGCATGCCCTTTCGGAAGCTTCCTCCTCCTTTCCCTCCGCCTGCTGCCCCTTCCGGTGGCAAGGGGGGAGTGCTGCTCCCCCCCCCTTTCCCTCCCCCTCCTCCCCCTTTCCCGCCTGCCCCTTTCCCTGCCCCTGCCGCCCCTCCTCCTCTCACACTCTCCAGAAACGGCTCCTCACTCAGGCCCAACCTGCCCGGATCCCAGCTACCTGCCCGGAAATGTTTCGGCACAGTGCGGCGGGGGCGCGAGGACAAATCAGTCGCCTGACCCAGCCTGGCAGTCCCGCCTCCCCCTGCTGTACCTGCCCCCGCTGCTGCTCCCCCCGCTGCTCCCCCAGCTGCGCCCCCTGCTGCGCCCCCTGCCCCTTCTCCCCCCTGTCTCCCCCCCCCCATCTGCGCAAGCACCTCCCACTGCCCTGCCAGTGCCACTACCTGTTGTTCTATGTTAGGGCGGGTGGAGGTGGAGGAGGAGGGGAGGGAGGAGGGGAGGGAGTAGGGGAAGGGAGAAGTGGAGGAGGGCGAGGGGAGGGGAGGGAGGCCAGCAGCAGTAGGGGAAGCGAGATGAGAAGTGTAACGCCACTGCCCAACATTATAGCCCCCCCCGTCAACCCCACCCACACCATCACATACACCCCCACTGTCACCCCCACCATCCCCTCCACCAGGTGACAGTCTAAAACCCCCACTCCCGCCCCCTCCCCCCAGGCCCTCCGGACCAGCCCAAGACATTCCCCTACTGTGCCGGCCCCTCTCCCCCTGCCGAGCCTCCATCCCCTGGGTCGGGCCGAACCTAGACGCTCCCAGCAACCGGGCCTCTTTCTCCGTCTCTCCCCTCGGCGTTCCAGGCCTGGGCTCCTCGTTATAGTCACCATTCTTATTATCACCCTCCGTGATAAGCACACCGGAACCGGACACGAAGGGCGAGGGAATGAGGAGCTTGGGAGAGAAGTGAAAGGGGAGGGAGGAGAGAGGGAGAGGAGTGGTCGAGGGGTTAGAAATAGCAGCAGCAGCACTGGTAAACGAGCCCAGCCCTGCTCCTCCTGATCCTGCTGCTGCTACTCCCGCTGCTGCCTGGTGCTGCCTGCGTTCCCGGCTGAGCGTGCGAGACATAACACGCCCAGACGAGGCAGCAGAGGGCGACGGCACACCGAAACTATAGCCGCCACCACTACCACCGGTGCCAGCACCACCAGCACTGCCAGCACCAAAGCTGGGTGGTCTGCCTGCTGCTGCTGTTGCTGCTGTGGCTCCATCCATCTCGCCTGCTCCCCAGGTTCGTCCAGAAGGGGAGGTTCGGGAGCGTAGGACAGGCCTGGGAGGGGAGTGCTCCCCATCCTCCCCGTCATACTCTCCGTCCTCCAGTTCCAAACCTCGTCCCGAGCCTCGGGGAGGTCTGGGAGGAGGCTTGGCGCCCCTGGCTTGGATCGGGTCGTCTGGATCTTCAGCTGGTCCGGTTGCCGAGCCTGAAACCGAAGCTGCCCGCTTTCCCGGACCCAGTATGTTGAGGTGGTAGGGCGTGCGGTGTGTCTCCAAGCCTCCGGTGCTGGTTCGGACAAGCGGTGTTTCGTCTTCAGACTCGGAAAAGCTGCTGCTCTGCTTGCGAGATCTCCTCTGAAATACACGCCTCATACCCCCACTGCCACCACCCCCACTGCCACCACCACCACCCCCACTCCCACCACCACCAGAAGCACGGCCACCACCACCGCTGCTGCTGTTCCCAGGGCTGCCAGTGCTGCCACTGATGGGAAACATCCCTCCTATACTCCGACTCCTTATATGCCGCCCGTAACTACCCGCCCTCACAAGACCCGCCACCCCACCACCCCCCACCCCTCCTCCTCCTCCCTTTGCCCCTCCTGCCGGGCTTCTTTCCGCGCTTCTCCCTCCGCTGCCGCCGCCACCGATGCCACCGTTGCTGCTGTACATGCCGGGTCGATACCGTCGGTTCCGCAGCTCGTTCCCGGCACTGATGCTGCGCTTTAGTTCCGATTGCTCCTCCTCCTCCTCCTCGTCTGCTGAATGCTCCTCCTCACGCAACTGCTGCTCAAAGTCCTCGTAGTAACCTCCGTTCTGCTGCTGCTGCTTCTGCTGCTGCTGCTGCTGCTGCTGCTGCTGCTGCTGCTGCTGCTGCTGCTGCTGCTGCTGCTGCTGCTGCTGCTGCTGCTGCTGCTGCTGCTGCTGCTGCTGCTGCTGCTGCTGCTGCTGCTGCTGCTGCTGCTGCTGCTGCTGCTGCTGCTGCTGCTGCTGCTGCTGCTGCTCATGCTGCTGCTGCTGGTGAAAATTCTGGCTCTCCCGTTGCTGCTGCTGCTGCTGCTGCTCCAAGTGCGTTTTGGAGCGAATCCTGCGACCTCCTGCGCCCACCACCGCCGCCAGCACCAGCAGCCGCACCGCCGCCGCCACCTCTGGTAGTAGCAGAACTGCCCTGGCTGGTGGGGTGGCTTGTTGTACCCGCTATAAGCTCCTTGACTCGCTTACCGCCCTGTGTGAGCACGAGCAGGCATCCCTGGGGCAGGTGGGCCTCACAGTAATGCACCACTGATGAATCGCCACCCCACAGAAGCTTCCTGGAAGGAGAGGCGAATCGCAGAAACCAGAGAGCAGGGAAGGGGAGAGGGAGAGGGTGGGAGAGAGGGGGGGAGGCGGAGGAGGGAGAGGGGGGTTTAGTTGTTTCTTAGTCGCTGTTATGAAGCGTAAAAAATAAACTGCCACTATCAGTATAACAACCATCCAAGGAAAGGGGAGGGGAGGAAAGGAAAAGGGGGCATTACCTATTATTTGAAAGTGTTGCCCTTCACCACCTCACCCCACCGCGTGTGATGAGTCGATTTTTGAGTCGACTCAAAAATCGCCTTACCAGAAAGTGTTGCCCTTCACCACCTCACCCCACCTCACCTCACATCCCCCCCTCAAATCTTGACGCCGATGTACAGCCTCTGCGCTTGCAGGTGCGCCACAGCGGCACACAGACCTGCTGAAACCCTGTCCCACGTCATCCCCTCACCTCCTCACATCCCCCCCTCACCTCCTCACATCCCCCCCTCACCTCCTCACATCACCCCCTCACCTCTTCACACCAATGTACAGCCTCTGCGCCTGCAGGTGCGCCACAGCCGCGCAGAGGCCCGCCTCCCTGCTCTCCCCGCGCTCCATGTGCGCCTCTGCTGCCACCTGGCGGGGGCGTGAGGGGGGAAGGGGGAGGAGGAGGCCGGAGGAAACATTAGAGACGACTCAAGGCTCACTTGTTTTTCACTGCAAAGGAAGGGAGGAAAGGGGGGGCGGGGGGAGGGAACAAGGGAAGAGGGGAGTAAAGAAAACAAAGACACGAGGGACACAACCAGATTATGGAACAGAAAGCTACTAGAGACAGCAAAGCCTAAACCCAAAGCCGACAATATGTCAATCATCCAGGAAGGTGGACGTGAATCGTTCTACTTTTGATACCACCTACGAACGAGACAGTACCCTCAACGGGTTCGAACTTTCTAAGAAAATATCATTTCATTCAACTCTCAGTTGGTTTTAATGAAAGATTCTGACATCACTTGTTTTTCCTTCACTCTTTTGATTTTTTTTTTTCGTCTTTTTTTTTAGTATTCTTATTATTATATTTTTCCAGAATCCGCAAGAAACTTTTGCATTCAGCTAATTTTTTATCATTCTTCTGAAGCGGGTTTTCTGAAATCGGTCGGTCTTTTCAACTCCTCAGAAACAAACCACTCGTCACCAACCTTGAGAATTTCGTTTTCCTGCCTTCCTTCCCTCGGTTAGATCGAACCAGTTTCGTTAGGGCGACGCATATCAACCAATGAATCACCGAGTCTTGAATCTGCCTCCCCGCTTAGCAGCTGCATCAGATACGCAAAAAACCCTAATATCTTCTGACTTAGGCGCCTCGTACCAAACCACCTCAAGTCGGCGATAACAACTACTAACGCACTATCGCTCCAGCAGCACGGAAAAGAAACGCGTGGGGCTTTCAAGATCCAAGGTCCAATATACTGTGAACCCTTTGAAGTCAGCTCAAAAGTCGCCTCGTTACAATGGCAAGGACAGAGTGAGGCTTTCAAGCTCCGAGGTCCAACATATTGCAAAACCTCCATCGCTTCTTCTACTTACCATCCTTAGCTCCTTTCCCCCTCTTCCGAGTAGTTTCCAAGCTCACCTAACAGCTCTCTGCTATCGGCGCACTTCCCCCTCCCTTATCCCTTCCCGACCCCCCGTCCCCCAGCGCGCCCTCTCCCCCTCTCCTCCTTTGGCTTCCCGCACGAGCTCACCTTTCTGCTCTCCGCGATGGCCTGCATCGGCCGCACGACGCTGCGCAGAATCAGATCCTCCGTTGCGCCGTTCCGCGCCCGCTCCTTGCGCTCCGCGGCTGTTGGAGGAAAGGCGAGGGCATGTGGAAAGGGGAAGGGGTGAAGGAAGGGAGGGCACGGCGGAAGTGGGGGAGGGAGAGCGAGTGGCGAGGGTTAATAGTGCAGAGGAACGGAGACGGCTGAACACTCTGCTGGAGCCGTGAGGCGGCTTGGGACGCTTCTAGAAGTCCTGATGGGATTGGGGCGCTTGAAGCGCCGCCTCAAGAGGATGGGAACACTTTGCTGGAGTCCTCAGACTATTTCAAAACTTTACCCTCTACAAATTTAAATTATTCTTTTGTCAGACGTTTAAGAAGTCCTGAACAAACTTGCGATGCGTTGATTGCAAGAACAAAGGGTAAGCGCCATAGGGATTCGTCGTCGCATGGTTGGGATTGAATCGGTCGCATGAATCGCGTCAGCAGCGAGTCCGTTCGTACGAGCGACGGAGACACGCACCTAAGCGACCGTGGGAATGGCGTGAGTGCGAGAAAACCAATAGCTGCGCGAAGAAGACCTGCTTTCTCACGTTTGGATCGCCCCGGCTCGATGACGACGGAGACGAGGACGATGACAGGTGTCTCGCCGTCATTGGCTCGCTGAAATCTGTCCACGTCAGCCAGGGCGACACTGAGCGTGCTGCGACTGCTCTCGTGGTCCGGCGACACCTCCAGCAGCCACAGTGGCGTCGCAGCGTCGTCGCTGTCGTCGTCTGCGCGACGCTGATCGCCGGGTACCATGTCGAGACTGGGTCGGTTGCGACCTAACGCCGCTAACATCGAAAAGGGGAAAAAAACGTCAAGCGACGCTTTCACCGCGTCAGTGGTCTCGAAAGAACACGATACGAGGACGACGAGAAACGTCCAGAAGCGGGACGGAAGAAGAGAAACCAGATTCACTGAGGTGGATCAAAGGAAATGGCTCAAACCAACTGTTAGTCGGCTGGATTCGCAACTATCACGCTAAAGTGTCACCATCATGGCCGAACCATGCGAGTGTACGGGCTTCGCTGGCCATTAATCATCGTCATAATGAGCAAGGAGGCCACCTAAGGCGGAGTCTGCAATAATCCACTTCACAGCTATGGAAGACAAGGAGCCATCGACCAAACAAAATGCATTGCTGGGAGCAGCCGTCATGGTAGGGAACTGCATGATTTGTATTTGGTCGGGATTCTGACCAAGCTGCCCGAGTAAGCGGGATGCGTCCAGTCTCAGTGTACAAGTGGTGCTGCTTTGTGAATCAGTGCGGCTTGCAACACTAAAGTAAATTCGGTTGTGCAAGTTTTTGATAATTTCAGTCAGATGCAGTACGTTTCAGCGTGGCGGAGCTGGTTTCAAGAGGACAGGTGGTTGCGGGAGGTTGGGGTTGTGGGGTGGTTGGAGAGAAGTTACACCAACGCGATTGGACGTTATTTTTTCCGGGCAGCAGCAATCTGAAATTCCTTGTGCCTGATGGGCTTCCGTTGCAAGCCGACAAAACAAACAAGACGCCCAACTTCCATCGAAGCTGCGAGGAGAAAGACCGTGTCCCGCCCCTGCCCGCCCCTTTGCGCCCCATGAAAACACCCAGCCCCACCTGCCTGCCCACACACCCAGTCACGAATCGCGCAGCCTGTGGCATTGGCAACTCTGTTCGACTTCCACATCAAATATTCGCTACGCAGCGCGTCCCGTTTGCTGTGCGACAGCAGTTTAGTACAGAATGGATGAGATACTGTATACGATAAGGAGCATACGTTGTGAGTTGCAAGCAGCACAAATTTCACCCACCCCCCATGATGGGCTGGATTTTCATGATGTGCTGTTCTCCTGCCCATACTTCTACTGAGTACGACGTATAAGATTTCTCCTACCTTTTGATTCCCACCCATTTGAAAGGCCGTATTCTGAAAGCCTCAAGCAACTAACCCAGGATATTCTGGCAAAGGCAATCAACCACTCCTTTACTACTTACAAGCACATTTGGCATGTGAACTAAGCTATTCACATTAGGCCCTCTGCCTAGTCGGACCTAAGAGCAAGCACGAATGACAAGTTAACCCATGAACCTCTTCCCCCCCTCCTTCCCAGGCCCTCCTCTCCCTCACTTTCCACCTCCACTTCCCCCACCACCACTTCCCTCCTCCAACAAACCTCCTCTCCCCACCACGTCTACGACCCCTTTCGATAACCTCACCCTCCTCCCCTTGCTCTCCTCATCCCTACCACCTCTCTCCCTGCCAACTTCCATCCCTTAAAACCCCTTAACGACCCATTCAGGAGACCCAAGGAGGAGAGCAGATCGAGGAGCGGGTGAGTATACTTGAGGTGACTAGAAAACATGCACCATCCTACCAAGCCCTTTACGACCCATTGAGGAGACCCAAGGAGGAGAGCAGGTCGAGCAGGATGAGATTGGGGGTGAGGTGTTTGTGAGGGAGGAGGAGGTGGGTTGTGGGGGAGGTGTCATGTGCTGCGAGCCACGCCTCTATCGCCTCCCGCTCGTACGTCACTCCGTCTGCTGCCACCACAGGATCGTGCAGCCGTTGCTGTTGGCGCACGGGGAGGGGCGAAGAAGGGAGAAAAGGTAAGAGGGATACGGAAGAAACGGGAGAAGAGATATGGAATGTGAGGGGGGGAGTGCGTGCACAACAAAAGAGGACCAAGGCATGTGGTGCAGGCGGTGCCTCAATCGCCTCTGTACCTCATATGTTCACCCACGGCCAAGACCAGAGGGCTGCACCCACCAGTCTTGTAAGCAACTCACATGGGAAAGCGGGCAGATAAAGCGACTTTCCAGCTGCAACTCCTGCCCTTGCTTCACTTCCTCCCGAGCCTGCGCGTCCCGACCCTGCTTCTCGTCTTCCCGAGCCTGCAACTCCCGTGCCTCCTCAGCAATGGCAGCCAGGGTCGGGTGCACCACGGCCTGCAGGTCCGGCCGATCCACGCCGCGCCGCTCCACACACTGCAGCGCCACACGCACGGCCCGGGCAGCCAAATCTCTCGGCCAGCTGCCCGCCCGCTTGTCGAGGCGCTCAACAAAAAACGGCACGGCAAAATCTAGGTTGCAAGACGCGCGTGCATTTGTGCTTGCACTCGTGCCTCTGTCTGCGTCTGTACTTGTGCTTGTGCCTGTGGTTGCACTTGTGTTTGTGCTTGAGACTTGCCCCAACAACCGATGCACCTCCTTCACATCCTCGATCCCAGTAACCAGCAGCAGCAGGACCACGCCCAGCGCATACACATCACTCGCCGCAGTAACCTCCCCGGTGGTAACCACATCCGGATCAAAGAACCCAAACGTCCCCCTCACTTTAAACGTCACCTCCAGCTGCTTCTGCGGAAACAAGCCAAAGAAACTAAGTCCCGCCAGGCCTGTATCAGCTAGTTTGCTGGTGCCTTGAGCGTCTAGGAGGATGTTCTGGGGTTTGAGGTCGGAGTGTAGGATGGGGGGGTTGTGGGAGTGGAGGAAGAGGAGCGCTGAGGCGATTTCCGATGCGATGCGCAGGCGATGGTGCCATGGGAGGTGTGGAGGGAGAGGGGAGGGAGGCGGGGCGGTGGCTGCCTCTTGCTCCTGCTCTTGCTGCTGCTGTTTCTGTTGGGTTTTTTTCTGCTGCTGCTGCTGTTGCAGCTGTGGGTGAAGCCGGTCCCAGAGAGACCCCCCTTCCATGAGCTCATACACGAGGGAGAAGTCTTCAGGGCAGCACCCCACCATGCCCACCACGTGCGCGTGCCGCGCACCCGCCAGCACCCCCACCTCCCTCCAAAACGCCTCCGCCTCTGCTGACGTGGCCGCTGACGTGGCAGCTGACGTGGCGTGAGGTCCCCGTCCCCTGGGGATGATCCCCGGTCCTTGCAGTCTCTTGACTGCCACTGACCGGCCCATCAGCTCGCCCCGATACACACTGCCACCAGCGCTGCCCCCGCTGCTGCGGCCCAGCAGGCGAGCCGGGCTGAAGCTGTCAGTAGCTGCAAGTAGCTGCTGCAGGGTGAATACCTGACAGGGGCCGAGAGACGACAGGTGCGGAGGGATGCTGGATGGGGATGATAAGTCCTCAGGGATTTGTGCTCCTACTGTTGCTTCTGCTGCTCCTGCCGCTGTTGCTCCTGCTGCTTCCGGTGCTGCATCATCTGTGCCCGCCCTCAGCTCAGTGCCCGTGCTGCTGCTCCCACTGCCCTGCATGAGCCTTGTACCACCACCACCATCGCCATTGCTACCCCCTCCTCTGGGCACAGGCCTGCCGCCCATGGCTAAGTCAACAGACTCGCGCCGCTCAACCTCACCTGCTGTCTCTGCCGGCACACCAAAGTCAAACTCCTCTGCTGCCGCCGCACCTTCTGCCCGTGCGGCGTGCTCCGACTCCCCGCCTCTGCCTTTCTCTGCTCCTGTTGCTTTTGCTGCCCCTGCGGCTCCTGATGCCTTCACTGCTCTGCGGGCAAGCGAACCTCTCCCTGCTGCAGCCTGTCCTGCATCCACTGAACCTGACACTCGCGCTGGCAGTCGTTTGGAGGTGCTGCTGCTGCCACTAAAGACCCCACCTGCCCTATCTGGCCCATCCGCCCCCTTATTCCCCCTAGCCCCATCAGCCTCATCAGGCCCGTCACCTAGAATGTCATCCCAAGCCAGCTTCACCTGCTGCTGCCGCTGCTCCAGGCGCCATTCAGGGAACCTTTCTAGAGCCCTCCTCTGCTGCGGCTGCTGGTTGCGGCCTAGCATCTCTCCGGATTTTGTTCGCAGCATCGCCGCACCTGCTTCTGCTGCCACTGGCAAAGCCCCTCCTCCATCTGCTCTCCCCTGCTCCACCACCTCTTTAGCCCTTCTCCCCACTCCACCAGTAACAGCATCAACAGTAGCAGCAGCAGCAGCACCAGAAGCAGCATGCTCTGATCCTTCGATTCTGCTGCCGCTGCTGTTGCTGTAGCTGTTGCTGTAATTGATACAATTGCTGTCACTGTTGCCGCTTCGGCTTCTGCCGCTCTCCCCATTGCTGCTGCTGCTGCCCGCACTAGCAGATCGAGGAAAGGCGGCAGCAGCAGCATTTCTTCGAGCGGAGCGGGGTGGAGACGCGTTAGCAGCAGCAGCAGCAGCAGTGGTAGAGGGGAGGAGCGGAGGGGGGATGCGCCAAGAGGGAGAGCGAGGAGGGATGGGGTGCCTGGCAGATTGACTTGTGACTGGCACCTTCATTGATCCATCCAGCTGCACAGGCAGCTGCTGGGATGATTTCAGAGGCGCCTCAGGGATAGACTGCTGGGCTGATGGCACAGCTTGTTGAGAGGGGAGGCTGGTAGATTGATGAGAAAGGAGGCTGGCGGATTTTTGAGAGGGGATGGTGGATTTCTGAGAGGGGCTGGCACCGCTGCCACTGCTCTCCCCGTAGTCCCTGCTGCTGCGCCTGCTCGCGCTCCTGCTCTGCTTATACCTAACGATATCAATCGTGCCGAGCGATCGTGTCCGTTGATACACATCTCCTTCAGGATCCGACGGAGGAGGGGACGCCAGGGGGCTTTGGGGAGAGCTGTCCCCTCGCCCTCGCCCTGTGCGACTACCCACACTTCCCCCGCTAGAAGACTTGGGAAAGAGCATTCTTGCTGCTACCAGGCCTAGACCCAGCCCAGAGGTCAGACGAGATCCTGAACCTGAACCCGAACCTGAACCCGAACCTGAACCCGAACCTGAACCCGAACCTGAACCCGAACCTGAACCTGAACCTGAACCCGAACCTGAACCAGATGCTTTGGTGGTGGTGAGCGCCCGGAGCTTAGGGGATCCGCCCGAACCTGTGGCTGCCACCGAGGCTGTGGCTGCCGAGGCTGCAGCTGTGGTGTTTAAGATCTGGTGGGACGGGTGGGCACCGCTGTTGCCGGCAGTGGCATGATTATGATCACCGTTGATTTTATCACCATCACCATGCATACTGCCGTTACTGTGATTGTGCTGCAGGTGCACCTGACATCCAGCAGCAACGACAGTGGCCAATGGAGGAGGAAGAGGAGGAGCGGGAGAGGAAGAGGAAGTGGCTGATGCATTGCGGGCAGCACTGCTGCTGCTGCTGGTGCTGTTATAGTTGCTGGTGCTGCTGCTGCCGTTGACCTTGCTGTTGCTACTCACTGCATCCAGCTGGCGCTGCATCAGCTGTTCAAACACGTCATCATCATCCTTGTCCTCGTCAGCATCACCAGCGGAAGCAGCAGCAGACGACACATTGCTACCAGTCCCCCAGCCATCCCCGCTCCCTCCCATCTGCCTCCCCCGCGTCTCCACTGAACTTCCCTGCATGCGTGCGGGCAGCACATCACAGGTGGAGGAACCAGAGGCTGATGCGGTGCGGACATGACTGTTGCTGCTGCTATTGCTCTTGCTGTTGCTGCTTACTGCATCCAGCTGGCGCCGCATCGGCTCTTCAAACACGTCATCCTCATCCTCGTCAGCATCCCTGTGGGAATTAGCAGCAGCACCACCACCACCACCACCACCACCAGCAGCAGCAGCAGCAGCAGCACCACTGCCCTCTACACAAGTCGACTTTTGCGTCAACTCGACCATCTGCCTGCCGCCCGTCTCCACAGCACTGACGGCCATGCGCGGCGACTTGAGAGTCTCTCCCCACATCTCCCTACCCCCTGTCTCGACTGCACTACCTCCTATGCGCACGGGCAGGGCGTCCCAGGCGGAGAGAGCAGAGAAGGGGCGCTCGGGGGAGAGAAGGCTCGAGGGGGAGAGCAGCTGGGAGGGGGACAGAGGCACCTCGCTCACACTCGCACTGCGCAGGTGGCTATGCCGCACTCGCCTTGCCTCCTGCCCGCTCCCACGTGCTCCTGCGCCTATGCTTCCTGCTTTGCCCGTGCCTGCTGCTGTGCCCGTGCCTGCTGCTGTGCCTGTGCGTGTTCCCGGTCTTTGCCCCCAGCCCCTCATCTCCCCACCAGCACTCCCACTCCCATCCCCACCCCCACTCCCATGCCTACCCCCACTCCCACTCGTGCTACCATCAATGGCGAACGCTCCAGGCCCAGCCATCCCATTGGTGGGACCCTCCCTGCCGGTGCCTCTCCCTGCCTTCCCCTCGTCCCTGGGAGTCGTGGGAGCTGACGCCCCACACGCACCAGACCCCCCAGACGCCCCAGGTGCACCTGTGGCATCCGAGTCAGCAACATCTGGAAGGAAGGACCAGTCCTCTGGGGAGAAGAGGCGGGGGGTGGTGGGGTTACCTCGCACACTCAACGGGCCGAACTGGCTGGCATGGTCACAATAGCCACTGGAGAGGTTTTTCCTACCATGGGACCCCATCACTTCCTCCTCCTCTCCCTCCACTGCCTCATCAGCCTCCTCCTCTTTGACGCTCCCCTCTCTCGCCTTTCTCCCCCCTTGCCCCGAACCCCTTTTTTGCCCCGCACTGCCCTCTGGTTCTAGGTCATCTGGTATGGACAGGTGCCCCGGGTGAGAGGGAGGGAGCGAGGGGGAGAAGAGAGCGGTGGGGTGCGGTGACAGCAGGTGCATGGAGTGGCTCCGCTGATGGCGCCCTGCTCGCCTTGACCCCACTGCACCTGATGCAACACCTGATGCGGCACCTGAGGCAGCACCTGGCGTTCTACCTGACGCTGGCGCCTCCCTCCTCCTGCTTCTAACCCATTCCTCCCCTAGCTCCGCTAGTGCATCATCTTCCCCATCCCCATCGCCCCCATCCGCCTCTAACTCTACCCCCCCCTGACTCTCCTCCCTCTGTCGCTGCTCCCCCTGTTGCTCAGCCCCCAGACTCTGCTCCACCCGACTCTGCTCTCCCTGAATCTGCCCCCCCCACCCGTCCACCTCTCTATCAGCCGGCACAATCACCCTAAGCCTGCCAGCCTGGGCTCTGCTTTCTCGCTCTCCTGCCTGGACCTCCCCCCGCCTCCTCTCTCCCTCTCTTCTGCTGCCAGCCCCGCCCTGCCCTCCGCTGCTGCTGCTCCTAACACCACCACCAATCACAGCACCAACGCCAACTACCGTGCCAGTAGTACCAGCACCAGCACGAGTGCTGCTACCAGCGTCAGCCCACCGCTCTCCACCCCTGCTTACCCCCTCCAAAGCAGCATTCGACGAAGCCGAGCGAGGAAACCCCATGCTTGCCCCCTTCTCCGCCCCCCTCTCTAACCCCCTACCCACACCCCTGCCCACGCCCCGTCCCCTGCCCCTGCCCCTGCCCCTCCCATCCCCCCCTACCACACCACCACCACCTGCGCTGCCGGTAGGAGTGAGGGGGGCATCTATTCCTGCCTGGGAGCGTTTGGAGCGGCTGAGGGTGCGGCTGCGGAGGGGTCCCTTGGGATGCACGGGGATCTCTGCCACGCGCCGCGACCCCTGTGCTACCACCAGCAGGCAGCCGTCCGGCAGGTTCGTCTCGTAGTAGGCTGTTGGCGCGCTGCTGAGGGAACTCGACCATAGGAACTTCCTGTGAGGGGGAGGAGAGGGGGTGTGCGGGGAGTGGAAGGGGGGGAAGCGGGCAAAGGGAGAGGGTAACGTGCATTGCTGTTAGTGTCTCTCAGGCAGGTAACGTTCGTCTCGTAGTAAGCTGTTGGCGCGCTGCTGAGGGAATTCGACCACAGGAACTTCCTGTGAGGTCAGAGGAGGAGAAAGGGGGAGGGGAGGGGGGAGAGGGAAGAGGGGACAGGGGAGAGGGGAGAGGGGAGAGGGGAGTGGAAAGAGGAAGAAAGCGGGGAGGAAACAAAGAAATCATGGTAAGCCAGTGAGGCGGTCCCTTCCCTTCTCTTCATGGCTGTTCTTTAGCTACGGCCTTCCTTCCGTCCTTCCACTCCAGCCCTGTTTTTTGAGTCGACTCAAAAACAGACTCAAAAATTGAGTCGAATAAAAACAGTCCCTTCCCTTCTCTTCCCTTATCTATGGCCTTCCTTCCTTCCACTCGAGTCCTTCCCCACCTTGAACTTCCAGCTTGTTTTGAGATGTCTCAAATTATCTACGGCAGGCGGAGAGGAGGTTGGCAGGCGGAGAGGAGAGGAGGTTGGCAGGCGGAGAGGAGGTTGGCAGGCGGAGAGGAGGTTGGCTGCATAGCAGATCAGCTCACGCGCTCTCTCACCCCACCCTGCTACAACTGATAGCGACACTTGTGTTCCACATGCCCTGGATTAAAGCCCCGGACTCACTTTCTCACCCCAATTGACTTTTGAGTCGACTCAAAAGACAACTGATAGCGGCACTTGTGTCTCACACGCCCTGGATTAAAGCCCCGGACTCACTTTCTGACGCCGATGTAGACCCGGGACGCGGAGAACCGCTTGACTGCGTCACACAGGGCCTTCTCGTGGTCGCTGCTGCGCTCCAGATGCATCACTGCTCGCACCTGGGAGAGGGGGGGATATGTGCGGGCAGAGGAGAAGGAGCGAACAACACAGCATCCTGTGTAAGTTCCGAGGCGTCTCAAGACTCTCAGCCTGGCAAGCAGCTAAGCAGCATGTGCGGGCGCCTCACCTGGCCTCACTTATTCTGAACAAGGGTCTCCTGTGTTTGCAGTGGCTGCAGCATCTTGCGAACAATGGGCTCCTCTGCCAGTCTCAAGACTCTCAGCCTGGCAAGCAGCTAAGCAGCATGTGCGGGCGCCTCACCTGGCGGCTATGAACAAGGGTCTCCTTTGCCAGTCTCCTGTGTGTTTGTAGTGGCTGCTGTATCTTGCGAACAACAGCCTCCTCTGCCAGTCTCAAGACCTCTCAGAGCCATCAACCAAGCAGAAAGCACGGCGTTATGATCAACTCACCTGGCGGCTGTGTGCGAGAGTCTTGAGTGGCTGCAGCATCTTGCAAATGACGGCCTCCTTTGCGAGTTTTGAGACCTCTCAGAACTATCATCCAAGCAGTCAGCCAGCGTCACGGGGGGCTCACCTGGCGGCTGTGTGCGAGAGTCTTGAGTGGCTGCAGCATCTTTCGAATGACGGCCTCCTCTGTAAGTTGCAAGGCATCTCAAAACCCCCAACCAAACAGCCAGCCGGCATCACGGGCAACTCACCTGGCGGCTGTGTGCGAGAGTCTTGAGCGGCTGCAGCATCTTGCCAATGACGGCCTCCTAGGTAAGGGTCTGCGAGCGTCTCACAAGGGGTCTCCGCGAGCGTCTCACCTGGCGGCACCCCGAGCGGCTCACTCACCTGGCGGCTGTGTGCGAGAGTCTTGAGTGGCTGCAGCATCTTGCGAATGACAGCCTCCTCTGCGAGTTTTGAGACCTGAAAAGACCATTATTCGTGCAGCTGGCGGGTGTTATGATCGCCTCACCTGGCGGCTGTGTGCGAGAGTCTTGAGTGGCTGCAGCATCTTGCGAATGACGGCCTCCTCTGTAAGTTGCAAGGCATCTCAAAACCCCCAACCAAACAGCCAGCCGGCATCACAGGGGGCTCACCTGGCGGCTGTGTGCAAGGGCCTTGAGCGGCTGCAGCATCTTGCGAATGACGGCCTCCTCTGCCTCTGCTAGCCGCACTGCCTCGTCCATTGTCATTGTGCGCCGCACCATGGGCGCTGAGAGGGGGGAGAGGGAGAGATAAAGAGACATGCATGCATTAGGGTGCCTCGGGAGGCGCCTCCTCTGCTTCTGCCAGGCGCACTGCCTCGTCCATTGTCATGGTGCGCCGCACCATGGGGGCTGAGAGGGGGGAGAGGAGCCACGGGGGAGGGAGAGGAGCCGTGGGGAAGGGAGAACGAGACATGAATGGTGGCATTTAGAGGCGCATTTCTTGCCCCCGCCAGGCGCACTGTCTCGTCCATTGTCATGGTGCGCCGCACCATGGGGGCTGAGAGAGGGGAGAAGGGTGGGAGGGGAGAGGGAGTCATGTGCATGCATTAGATTGTGTGTATGCGCACGCACGCACGGATGCAGATGCGCACAGCTGCTGCGGCTCAGGTGCCTTAGAAGGCGTCTCTTCGGCCTCCGCTAGCCGCACCGCCTCGTCCATTGTCATGGTGCGCCGTAACATGGGGGGCTGGGGAGGGGGGCCGATGAGGGGAGAAGGGGAGTGAGCGAGAGGTAGAGACATGCACGCATTAGGGTGCCTCGGGAGGCACCTCTTCGGCCTTAGCTAGCCGCTCCGCCTCGTCCATTGTCATGGCGCGCCGTTCCATCGGGGCTGAGAAGGGGGAGGGAACATGGATGCACGTGCACGCATCTGCTGCTGTTGTGGCGTGCATAATTTAAGAGTACCGTACGCGCACAATGTCACACGCGCTTCATGTCACGCGCGCAATGCCACGTGAATAAGCTCACGCGCATCTTACAATGCCCTACCTCCACAATGTGTTGGTTTTTGAGGCGCCTAAAAAATCGCGCGCAATGCCACCTGAATAATGTCACGCGCGTCTGACAATGTCCTACCTCCACAATGAGTCGGTTAAGGAACATATTAGTAGATGTACACGACCGGTCGGCGAACCGTTGCCACCGTTAGGCGTGAAAGACTTCTCATTTTGACGCACGCGAATTTGGAGTTGCGAATTCGACACAAACAACGTCACGCGTCGACGTTCTGACGAGGAAAAGAAGACGAGGCTGATACATTCAACGGAAAATGTGCGACAAAAAGCTGGAAAAATACTACTTAGGTAACGTTAAAGCTATCACAGACGCATATCGAGGAGATCTGTTATCGCGTACAAGGAGGTGCGGTAGCGTCCTGCATGACGGCGACGAGAATGAACACGGGAAGCTCCGCGCCGGCTCCGATGGCTCCCGAATCCGAACCCCCGTGCGACGCCTCGTGCGATTTTTTCAGGCTCTCCGCGTCGGCGAGAGCGACGGCGAGAGTGCTGCGACTAACGTCCAGCTGGGGAGTCACCTCGAGCACCCATTGTAGCGGCTGCGGCTCCAGCGGCTCGGGCTGGCCTCGCGGGCTTGGCTCCTGCGACCACTTCCAACTCATTCTCGCGGATGGCTCGCTCCTCGTGCTTTATAAGTAGTAAAAAACTACTGCATTAGAAAAATAACGAGAATTAGCATGACTACCGTAACATTTTCGACCTAGGAGATTTGGCGGGACGTGGATATGAAGCTGAGAAATGGCGGAAGGAGGTAGAATAGACCGGCGGAAATAAGAGTTGTTTGGAAGCAGATTGTCGAGCAAGGCGCCTATTGAGTTTTAGTCATAAAGGCAGGATGGACACTTAAAACTGAACCCGTCCTATTGACAAAGTCTTGAACGTAGGTATTCTGAAAACGAAAACATCGAGTCAGCATTGCTGTCACCATTTGAATTGGAGGAGCGTAGCTCCCCCAGTTCAGTCCTGCTATGCTAGCAAGGCCTTGTACGGATACCGTACGTTCTGTGCGGTCTAATTCGTCGCGTCACAGTTCAAAACGATATATTCCGAGAACCGCTTTTGACCGTGTAGAACCGTCCTGAGCCACGAAGCATCAATCGTAAATGTATGCCCTTCCCACCCATGAAGCATTGCTCGAGAATCTCCTCCCACCCAGCCACAGGCATTGCTGCTGCCTCAGTCCTCACCAGCAAGCCCCAAATCGAATCTGCTCTGCACACACGGAGTTCCACCAGGCAATAGAGGAGAACAAACTTGGTTCACGATGTCCATTGGTTATGTCAACGAGGTGTGCGAAGATAGGCGATTGAAATGTCTAATCTATCGTCAATCAGGTCCAGGCCTGGACTGGGCACCAGCTCGAACCAACACACTCCCACAACAGGCGAAAAAGAACGGGATTGGGTGGAGGATAGGTGGTGGTTACAGGGGTGAGGAGGCAAAGTTGTGTCCAAAGCGACGATTTTGAATGTTACGAGCTGTTCGAAAGCTGGCGAGAAATCCTGGACCGTTCATTGGAGCAGTGCATATCTCATGGCGAAGATTGACAAAGCGTAGCACCCTTCTCGATTGTATGTGTCCCGCTTGTGGCGAGCGATACTGTACGGTATGGGTGTCCAACCTTGCTGGACGCCAACTGTGTACGGTTCGTTCCAAGAAGCAGGCCAAATCAGCTTTCAAATGTATTTGTTCCGTTACCATCTTCCGCTACATCATTTCTCAACACAACTGACCTTGACCATGTTTTGCAATTAAATATGTCAAGGAACAATCCAGGAGGCTACTCATAGCCACTTGAAAGAGCAGATGCTTGTATACTTCTTCCCTTGTTTTCATCCTCCTCTTCAGCATCCTCGTCTTCCTTTAACTCCAAGATTTCTGAAACAGCATGAGATTTACAGGTTGTTGAAGAACTCTTTAACACCAAAACCCAAAAAATCACACACCCTCACACACACACGCACACACACACACACGCGCACACACACACACACACACACACACACACCCCACCACACACCCACCCACACCACACCCACATCCCCACACACCCACCCCCACACACACATGCACTCCCCCCCAACAGACACACACACTTGTCGGGAGCTCTTACCTTGCTTGGTCAGATAGTTCTCCAGTTCCGACGTTGAAAAGTTGTCACGATTCCGGAAGGCCTCAAACCCTACTATTCTATGAAAAGCGACGGCATCCCTGCATGTGGAAAAAAAGAATGTAAGCTGAGCTCGATGTCTTAAGTGCTGTAACATTTAGCCCATGCTTTCCACGTCTCTAGCCCCAACAAGACACTCTCTCCTCCCATCCCTCCTGAATAAACACGCTGGAGATGGATCCACGAACCTTAATAGAATTATGCATGGTAGAACTTTGATGTTTAATCTGGACACAAAGAAAGGGCATTTCTGTTGCACACACGAAAACAACAGGAGGGATAGTGAACACGATAGAGCATAAGGGGCCCTGAAACAGGGAAGATGGTGAGGAGCTAATCAACGGAAAGGAGAGAGAGATGGGCAGTGGGGTTATTTCCAACAGGGGGTAAAAGAGTACAATGATATCGTGTATTGTTGCCACTGTTGACAGTCCAGTTTAGTCGCCAGAAGAAGCCACTGTTCAAGGTTCCAAACAACTCCAGCACTCTTGTGCGCCCCAGAAAGGAGGGAAAGTTTCTGCACGCAAACTTATCGTACAACTGACCTCTGCGTCGATCTTTACAAACTTGGCCTCCAGATGTTTTGGCGCCAGAATGGCCAGATGCTTGTCAACGATCCTGAAAAGGCCCAGAAAATAAAACGCTCAGTTGCGAGGAGAATGTATGAAGAAGCGAATGCACGAGGGTGTGAAGACATACTTGCAACGAGGGAACTCGGAGTGATAGAAGTGGCATATGACGCGATCGCTTGACTTAACCTCTGGTAGAAACTCTTCCTCCGTGATCTGAAAGGAAACATCAAACGTTCAATACTCACGTCAGTACCCTTACAACCCTAGCCATGCTAATATACGACTAGGCATTCTCACCTCCCGGTACTCCCCGTGCCCCTTCTTTCTTAGGTTTTCGCGCTTCCGGGACTCGGCCTGGGTCAAAGACGATGTGAACATAACGAGGGATACGGTCAGGCTTCTTGAATCTTACACACGAACATGAGAATCACCGTACACTTGGCGAGCAACAATGGACGGAAAAGCGTGAACGTGGTGACATCCTTACCATCATGGATTGTAACCGTTCGGCATGTAGCTTTTCAAGCTCAGGGTCCTGCCGCACATGAGAAAGGTCAACGAAGCGATGGTTGGAGAAGATCGATATGAGTACCAGAAAATTCCGATCGTATGCATTCGGTATGGTCAAGAATGTAGGGACTGCATTCTGCTTACATCCGCAAGGTCGTCGAGATCGAAATCATCCTCTACAGCTGCGGAAGCATTCTTCTGTGACAACTCTTTTTCCTGAATGCGTGATGGACAGAAACACAAAGGCTCACACGAGTGTTGAGCGTGACAGCCTTTTGGCCTACAAAAAGGGAAACAGAAGTCATCGCCGAGTACTTGGTTTGTGGAAAAGTGACACGCACCACCTACTTTCTTAAGATCGCGTGCTGCTGCTGCGATCACGTTGCCGAACGCAATATTCCCGAGGCGTGACGCTACCTCCTTCGGATCCGTGCAATCCATGTTGCCTACACAACTAAACTTAGCTGCTTCAAGGTTTCCTGTGCACAGTATAAAATACAATCGCGAACAAACGCTCGGTTGCAGCACTAATGTCCTTCACTTCGTAACAGGTGGTACGCCGAGTATAAGGTAAGCAAGCCTTCATAGAGAGTGAGAGAGAGCCTCCCGTGGCGACAGCTTCAAGGTTGCTCGCACCCAGCCTAGCATGAATTTCAGATGGAGGGTCTGGGCGGTTTGGGAAACGCCTTCTGACACAGGCCTAACTAGCCATACCCAACGCGCCATTTGTCGATTATTGGTTAATCAGCACAGTCCGCGTTAGAGAACTCTGCAATTTGTTCTACTGTTTATAATGATATACAACTATATCATCTTAAAATGTAAGTGTCGAGGAAGACCTCTAGCTTGAAAACCCTTTTCCTGTCCTTAGTTTCCCAGTTTATAGCAACATGGTATGAGCGCAAGGTTTCATATAACTTCCTCTAAGAGTAATTCATGGAGAATGTCAAGCGATGACACCCGTTCTCCAATAGACTCATGTGTCCGTTCATATAATACAGCCCCCCTTTCTGTCCGTTCCTTGCTGGCAAGTACCCTTACTGGTACATCATACAACCACTAGTGACTGTACATCAAACAAAAACTTGTTACGACCCAACAACTAAAGCCGCCTTGATCCCGTCACTACAGTCGCTGTTGGCTTTGCTGGTGAAGTAGATGGTGTTGCCATAGTCCTTGGGCACCACCTTGTAGACGTAGTTCCCATAGTTCCGATTGCGCGCCAGCGGAGTCGCGTTGAGAAACGTGCATGCAGCATAGTCCGCCGCGTCAACCTTGTGTACTGAGTGTACCTCGCCCATCCATTGAAACACTGCAGGCAGGGGGACAGGGAGGGAGGTATCGAGGGGCATGGGGGAGAAGTGGTGATGATTTTAGCAGCTGACTGTGTGACCAACACTGTACAATGCAGCATCTGTGCTGCACCTGCACCGGCAGAGCCTCTGCAATCAATTACCTTTCTGGGGCAGCAGCAGCAGCAGCACACTCAACATTGGCACGGACGTACCTAGCAGGTCGCCTGGCAGCACCTTGGGTGCCTTCCAGTCCTTCACCGCGAAGCCCCACGGAGACAGCCACCTGCCCATGTTGCCCCCCACATACACCACTTTCTGCACACGGAGAGAGGGCGGGAGCGGCGGGGGGGGGGGGGGGGGGGGAGGGGAGAGAGAAAGAAGGGTGAACTTCTAAGTCGACTCAAAGATACCCACATGGGGACAGCCACTTGTCGCTGTTGCCCCCAACATACACCACTGTCTGCACGCGGAGAGAGGAAGTGGGGAGAGAAGAAGGCGGGGGAGGGAGGGAGGAGAGCCACACAGAGGTGGGGGGGATTCTTGAGTGGACTCAAAGATAGCTCTATGGTTTAAACCACCTGCTGTTGTTGCCCCTCAAATACACCACTTTCTGCTCGCGGGGGAGGGCGGGGGGGGAGAGAGGGGGGCGCGAGGGAGAGACAAATGAGGGTGGGATTGCGAGGGAACGAGGGACCGAGGGGAAGGGAGGGAGGGAGGAGGGAGGGAGGATTAAAAGGGAGCACAAAGGGTGTGAAGAGAAGGGAAGGTGGTGTGAGGGAGAGAAGTCAAGTAATACGAGCATGTATCACTTATGAGAGGAAGGGGAAGCGGGGTGACGGAGAGGTGGGGGGGGGGAGGGGGGGGGGGAGGGAAGGAAGGAAGTCCTTTTACGAATTTCTTGAATGTGCTTCCCTTGAACTTCCGCCGTGCTTCCCCTTCACCGAATTCCTTGAGACTCCTCCGACCCGGTGTGCAAGCCTCGTGCAATGTATCCAATATCATTCCTGGTATGCACGCCTTAAAAGACGTCTCAAAAATCCAAGTCATTCCTGGTACGCATGCATACGAGACTAAAAGCTAGTCCTTCCACCCACGCAGACCTACCTGCGCCTCGGCGCCGCCTGAGGTCGCGACGAATGGCGGTGACCGTTGATCATGGTCGCCGGAGGGCACGCGCGCGGAGAGGCGGACACCGGCGATGCGACATCGGTGATTGCGGAAAGGGGGAGGTGGAGGGGGATGGCGTCGAGGGAGGAAGGCGAGGAGGGGAAAGGGGGAGAAGAAGGTGGGGGGCCGGGGGTGAAGGGAAGGGGGGGGGGAGGGAAAAGGGGGGAGAGTGGCGGTGAGCAGGAAAGCGACGAGGAAAAGGGGAAAGAGGAGAGTGGCGGTGACACGGGAGCGCACTTTGGAAGATCTGGGCGCGAGGCAAATGGAGAAAGCGCGACGATTCGGGGATTTGGAGAGGAGCCTTGCGAGTACAGGCGACGCGGTAGGGTTGAGTGTAAAAGCGGCGCGGCGGAGTTTCAAAGCGTGAGACGGAGTATGACGCGGTGGCGCCTCGAGGGGGAGAGAACGTCGCTAATGGTACAGCGCGGGGAGTCCGATTGCACAAAGGGAGTGGAGGCACGTACCGACGAGGATAACGAGTGCGGCAAGGAGGAGCCGCAGATGATTGGTTGCGCGCACCATGGTTAGGAACGTCGGAATGGGTTGGTACTGTGGGCCGGAAGGGGACTCGTTCGAGCGAATCTGGTTACAATTGCAGTATTACTACTTCATGAGCGGAAGCACAGCGCCGAATCTAGCGAGCTCTGTTGAGAAAAAGGGCCAGAAATATGTACAATGGGTTTGGGAGCTAGAGGTTCGGGAGGAGACATGGAACATGTTCCTTCGGTTGGGAAGGTTGGATTGTAGGCGGTCAAGAGCAGGAGAACATGGGGTTAGCATGCGGTGAATTGTGGTGCAGAGGGATGAGGTGGGCAACGGAGGTGCTGGCGCTGTTTCATTGATTTCACGGAGTTTATGAGGCCTCTATACCGCGTTCAAAGGCTTCTAAAACTGAATGAACCGTGCAGAACACGAGCGATCTCAACCCACTTGGAGGTACCTTTGTTGGTGCAGAAGCTATATGGATAAACGGGGTCCAAAAAATGTTGGGCAGATACTGACCCTGGTTGTTGGCCGAAGCCAATTCTTTTGCTTCCGACTAGCGAAAAGAACGACACCGATTCGCCCTTCATGGCGGCAGTAACTGCCCGGAAAAATACAGTTGCATTGCCCTTCTGTTCACGCATCTCTCCGAGTGTATGGGTGGGATGGGAAGTTCTGCGCCGCCAGAAAATGTCGTGTGGGGACAAGACCTGTGAGCGCGGATGTTGAGAGCGCCATAAGGTTGACTCGGTACGGTATTAACAGTTCTTGGACCAACTACACCAGCAGGAACTGACTTCAAATCCTCTGGAACTTCACTAATACTGTGTTGCACTTGGCTCCAATGTGTTCAATCATGTGTGGAAGTTCTGGTTCGTTGTTTTGGACTTGTAATCTTGGCTTGTCCCATAGCATAAATTATCCCCTCCCTTTGTAACAACATCCTACCTACCAAAGGTGGTGGCGAAACCACGAATGCCAATGCAGAAATTGGAGGATAGCCTTCCTGTAAGAGGCACAGTAATTTTCAAAGCACAGTAATTTTCAAATCAACACGAGGAAAAGGAGGGGAGAGAGAGACCACAAATGGTGTCCGCTTCTGATTTGGCGTGCAGATCAGTCTGCCTGCCTTATCAGATGTATCCAAGAGTTGCCTAGCAGACTAGGTCCCTCCTGACTCCTGACTCCTGAGGTTCCATCCCCAAACCAAACCAAACCAAAGCATGCACCCTCCCTTACGAATTGTACACTTCCCCAAGAACCATAGCCGACACAAGCAGTCACTACAATACACAAACACTCTCTTATTAAACAAAACCCAATGCTGTTACGGCGTGACATCGAGCGCCACTTTGATCCCGAGGCTGCAGTCCTTGTTGGCCTTGCTGCTGAAGCCGTCACTACCCAACAGTGAATGCCACCTTGATCCCAACGCTGCAGTCACTGTTGGCCTTGCTTCTGAAGCCTTTTGCGGCGCCCCAAAAGCCGTCACTCACTACCCGACAGTGAATGCCACCTTGATACCAACGCTACAGTCATTGTTGGCCTTGCTGCTGAAGTAGATGGTTTTGCCGTACTCCCTCCAGTTCACCTTGTACCAGTAGCTCCCGTAGTTGCGGTTGCGCGCAAGCTGCTTCGCATGCAGAAACGTGCACGCGGCATAGTCGGCAGCATCAACCTTGTGCACTGAGTGCACTTCCCCCGACCACTGGAACACTGCGGGTTGAGAAGTGAGGGGGGAGGGAGGGGGGGGGTGGTGAAGGGAGTTAAACGTGCATGCGGCGTAGTCGGCACGTTGGGGGAGCAGGGGGACAGGGAGTTGAGAACCGAGCATAGTCCGCCGCGTCAACCATGCACCGAATGTACCTCGCCAGTCCACTGGAACACTGCATGCAGGGGGGCAGGGTGGCATCGAGGGAACAGGAGGGGAGGGAGTTGAGAAACGTGCACTTCATCGGTTCACTGGAACACTGCAGGCAGGCAGGCAGGGGGGCAGGGGGTCAGGGGGGCATGGACGCAGGGGGGCGTGCATGCAGCATAGTCCGAGTGGACATCGCACTGCGATACCCACTGGAATACCCACACTGCGGGCAGGAAGGCACTGAGGCATCGAGTGAGGGGGGAGGAGGAGGGTAGAGTAGAGTTGAGAAACGTGCATGCATAGTCTGCTGTGTCAACCTCGTGAACCGAGTGGACATCGCCAGGCCACTGGAACACTGCATGTAGGGGGGCAGGGGGGCATGGAAGCAGGGGGGGCGTGCATGCAGCATACCTTGTGAACCGAGTGGACATCGCCAGGCCACTGGAACACCGCGGGCAGGGAGGCAGTGAGGGGGACATGGAGCAAGCAAGCCACCCACATGGGTACACCCACCCCGTGCACTCGCGTAGCACACCCGGACTCTCTGTTGCTGCACTTGAGTGACGCAGCAGCAGCAGCACACACACAACCAACACGGACGTACCTAGGATGTCGCCAGGCTTCCAGTCCTTCGTTGAGAAGCCCCAAGGCGACAGCAACTAACCCACACACTCGCATACCAGCACTGTCTGTTGCTGCACCTGGGCACTAGAGAAGCAACAGCACACCCAACATCCAATACGAACGTACCTAGGCTGTCCCCCGGCAGCACCTTGGGTGCCTTCCAATCCTTCATTGCGAAGCCCCATGGGGACAGCAACCGGTTGGAGCTTCCCCCCACGTACACGATTTTCTGCCCGCGGAGAGAGGGGGAGGGTGTGGGGAGAGGAGTGAGGGGGGGAGGAGGGAGGGAGTCTTGATTTGACTCAATAAAAGCCCCCATGGGGATAGCAACCGGTTGGAGCTTCCTCCCACGTACACGATTTTCTGCCCGCGGAGAGCGGGGGCAAAGGGGGTGATGGGACGGGGATAAATTCCAGAGTGCACAGGGATAGGGGGCGGGGGGGGTGGGAGTGAGATGGGAGGGAGAGAGGCGAGAAGAAGAGCTTCGGGAGAGAGAGAGAGAGAGAGAGAGAGAGAGAGAGAGAGAGAGAGAGAGAGAGAGAGAGAGAGAGAGAGAGGGGAGGGGGGGGGGAGAGCAGGGAAGGAGTGAGGAGGGAGGGAGGGATATCAAGCAAGGGAATGAGGAAAGGAGGAAAGGGATGCAGGGATAACAGGGGGAAGAGAGCATTGTGAGGGAAGGGGTGGGAGGGAAGAGAAGGGGTGAGGGAGTGAAGGGGTGAGGAAGAGAAGGGGAGAAGGAAAGAAGGGAAACAGAACGAGCAAGTTTCCCGTATGCGATGAAGGCGACGAGGGGAGAGGGAGGAGGGGAAGGAGTCAGAGTGAAGGAAAGGAAGAGGTGCTTTCAGGAATTTCTCAAATGTGTCTCCTCGCATGTCGCGAATGTGCCTCCTCGCATGTCGCGAATGTGCCTCCTCACATGTCGCGAATGTGCCTCTTCGCATGTCGCGAATGTGCCTATTCGCATGCCGCGAATGTGCCTCTTCGCATGTCGCGAGTGCGTCTCCTCGCATGTCGCGAATGTGCTTCCTCGCATGTCGCGAATGTGCCTCCTCGCATGTCGCGAATGTGTCTCTTCGCATGCACACGAGGTTGCACGCGAGTCAATCCACGTAGGCCTACCTGCGCCTCGGCGCCGCCTGAGGAGGAGGGAGCGGCGAATGACGTTGAAAGTCGGCCGCGCCGAAGAGTGGCGAATGGAGCGCCGCGTGAGCGGCGCCGAAGAGCGCGCGTGAGCGGCGGGTATGCGGCGGGGGAAGTCGGGAAACGCGGAAAGAGGGAGGGCGAGGACATCGAGAGAGGGGAGAGGGGGGAAAAAGGGGGGAGGGAGGGGGAGGGAGGAGGGGAAGGGGGACAGGGGGGGGGGGGGGGGGAGAGGGGGAAAAGATATGGTCACGAGGCTATTTGAGAAATGGCAGGCGAATAGAGGCGGAGCTTGAAAGCGTGAGAGGGAGTATTAAGACGCGGAGGCGGTCCGCGAGGGAGAGCACGCCGAGGGAGAGGGAAAAACGCGGAGTTGCACAAAGGAAAGTAGGCACGTATTGTGTGTCCGCGCTGGTTTGTGAGAATTCTCAAAAAGAGAGCACACCGAGGGAGAGAGAAAAACGCGGAGTTGCACAAAGGAGAGAAGGCACGTATTGCGTGTCCGTGCTCCGCTCGCTGCTCCGCGCTCCCCTCATTTGCGCGTCTTTCGATTACGGAACAGTAAACTCATTTTAAAACCCTCGATAACAGAACAACGAAGTACGTTACAGTGCGGGCAGTGTGGAGGCACATACCGACGAGAAGGACGAGAGCAGCAAGGAGGAGGAGGAGGTGGAGTCGCAGAGGAACTACTAGGCGCGACATGATGACGAAGGTGGGATGGGTTAGAACTGACTGGCTCGAAAGAAGACTTTGGTCGGGCGAATAAAATAAGGTGCGGCTGAGTGGGAAATGTGAAGCAGGATTAGGCAAATACCGTGGGGAAAAGGCGCAAAGAATGGGACTATTCTGGGGAGGTAAGACGGCATTGCGTGTGTGGTAGAAGTTCAGTTGGTGAGCTGGAAGGAGGGAGAAGATGCGGCTGGGATTTATCGAGTTGAGATAAGGTGCGGTACGTTGCAGAGGGATTCTGTGGGATGTTCGAATTTTGACGGGGGTAACTAGGGAGATACAATACAAGAGGTCCTGCTCCTTGCGCACATATTGTCCTTTGTACCGCACTCAGAATTCTGGAAACCTGGAAAACCGCACACCGCATTAGGGATTATCAGCGGGATGACGAAGCGCCCAGAAAATGCCGGACAGATAGGGACCCAGTGGTTGGTCGCGACCAACATGAACCGAAGTCTTCTGGAACCTGAACTGTATGCCCTCTCCCCTCTCCCACCACATGTTTCAGGGTCGAATGTCCTGCGCCGCCAGATGCAGTATGCTCTCCAACATTGTCTCCGCAATTAACATAAGCACGGAAGAAAACAACAGTTGCGACTGTTGTGTTGCCCACTTTGTAGTATGTTTCATACAGAGAAAAAGCTAAAGTTTATTCACAATCTTCGGTTATTAGGAAAACTAGAAACCGGTTGGAATGTAACAAGAAACAAAAATAAATAATAAATGCCAGTGTTTCTAAGCCACTTTAGAAAAGTGTAATTTACGATTTATAATGATGAGTTTCGTTTCAAAGTGGTGAGATTGTAAAACCGCTTTAAAGATGCACTACGCCGCGCTCAACTGCTTTAGATGAACAGTTATGGAACTTTCACAGCGGAATACTGTACAGTATCACTTTTCTTGGCCGATCTATTGGCCAGGTGCTTGTGCTTGGCCAGGCCTAATACACCTATCCTGCGATAATTCCACACCCCCTATCTTCATGCCTTGGGTACCTACCCTCGAAAAAGTCTCATTTCGAAGGTAGTCAGAAACGATCGCGGGAGTTTCGAGGGTGTTAGACACGACCTCAATGAGAGTTTAACACTCTAGTTTTGAGGCACTGAGAATTTTGCCCGCTCACTCTGATTACAAATTTGAGTTTCGAATAGCCAGAACGCTGACGGTTCTTTACTGATAGATCCGTAGTGTCAGGGTGTCCGTCTCATCGATCCTCAAGCCGTATAGGGTGTCTGGCAAAAACGAGGGTAGGGGGTGTGGAAATACCGGAGAACAGGTGTATCGAGGGGCTTGCTTCCAGGAGCTTCTTCACATGTCAGACAGTTCGAGCTGTCAAATACCCATTCGCCTTTTACAAGCGCATCACGTGAGATTCACATGGATATCACATGCGTTTGTTGCGCGGGACATGGAAAATCAAGATTAGGCAGCATTGGGATTGGGTTTTCCCAGCAAGCTCTCATTGCATGACGCGGGTTACCTCGTGAGGAGGATTCGGCAGCGCCCCCAGCGAAATCTCTTGCGGGTGGAATTGTGATTGCTGCGGCCTGTTGGGAGAGATTCACCTTCTAGGACCGACACCCCCTGCTCTGTGCTGCTTCCGCGTGGAAAGGAAACTACCTTTTTTTGCCAGCAGCAGCCACAACACACACTCCAGGCGTCCACTCTACAGCCACCGCTATGGCAAAAAGGGTTTGTCCTCGAGGTTCCCTTTTGCCAGCTAAAGCGACTCGACGGCCACACCCTTCTCATTGGGTCGCGGTTCGTCTGGCTTTGGGGTTGTTACCAGGATGAGACGAGAGCCACGTGACGTTTGCAATCGACAGTTTCCTTAGTGTCTGTGACGGGGCGTGACTTGCGGTGAGACATCATAATTTCAAAAGAATTACGTCCTGATCTTACATTCGCCATAAAGAAGCAGATACAAGCGCTGAGCAGAAGATGATGGATTTGTCTTTTTATGATCTGTTGGACTGACGGATTTGAAGAAAACCTGTGGGTCTACCAACGGAGTAACTTAGCTGTTGCGTCAGCCGCGTCTCTTCGTTCCCCTCTCTCATTCCTCCCGTTGCGAGCAGTACAGAACAAGTGCGTCCCATTCCATAGGCATCTCTAAAGCAGAAAACGAACCAAGTTTGATAAAGCAACACCACCCGAAGCACCATTACTAGGCATTCCCCCGAGAAAGGCGGTGGAGACGATTTATCTAGTCCGTTTAACAATGGCAAATTCTCATTGGACCTGGAATCTTGACACTGGCTGGAATAACCGACCCGATTCGCCAAGACCCCTCACCCCGCCACATCTCAACGCTCCGTTCCCCGAACCAACGGTCGCGATGGACTCGTCGCGTCCGGCTGCCTCCGAGCGACCCGTCCAGGCGACGCCAATGCACGACGCCGCTCCAAAGAGCCGTGCTTTTCCCGTACCAGAGAACCTCACGTTTGACCTGATAGGCCAGCCGTTTGTACAGTCGCTTTTATCTCCGACCTCACACGCTCAACGGCCGCCATTCTCAGAACCGCCACCGTCGGTTTTAGTACCGTTTAGCCACGAACCGCTGATGTCAGCACCGTCCGTAGGCCGTTTCTCAGTGCGTGGCTCAGGGTCGCAATTGGAGCGTCGCTTAGACGCCCAGTCTCTATTACCGGCTGAGAATAATGGGCTGGAATCGAGACCGTTTTCTCAAGGACCGCTCTTCGCGCCGTCGCCAACGGGACCGTCGTTAGGACGATCCGTAGGCACCCATGGTTTTCCTCCAAGGTACCGACTCGGGTCATCCGAAGCCGTTGGGTCTGTAACTGCTATAACGATTTCGACTGCAGCAGCTGACGTGGCGTCTTCTGACGTGGTGGCGCCGTCCTGGCCAATGGGCGTGCCCCGTACAATGCTATGGAGTAACCCGTCTCAGTTGGGACCAATCACGGGGATCGAACCGCAACCGCTTCAGCAAACTGCTACAGACGCGCGCGCAGAGGCTTCGCGGGACGCAGCGTTCCCGACGGGCGAACGGGGACAGGAGCCCGCGCACCCGTATCTCAGCGCGTGGGCGCCTTTGGTTGAGCGGAGCGGAAGTCACGGGCGTGAGGGCAGCGGAAGCCGCGGACGGGATAGTGGCGGAAGCCGCGGAAGCCCAGCAACTTCCCGACTGCTTCCGCTCTTCCCCCTTTCATCTCCCGCCACGGGTTCCACGCCCCCCCTTCCCGCTTTCCCCGCAGCCCCCGCTGGCGCGGCGTCTGCAGCAGCGCCTGACGCGCTGAAAGCGCCGATGGCGCTAGGGGGTATCCCCCCGGGCTGGGAGGACTGGGCGGCGATAGCCCTGATGGCGGAAATGGCTGGGGGGATTGGCAGCGCGCCCGTAACACCCGCCTTTCCCGCGCAACCGCACCTTGTGTCGGGCTCGTCAGCGCGCAAAAGCGGAGCGGCGGCGGATGAGTCCGCGCGGAACGCGCAGCGTCGGCGGGGTGGGCGGGCTGGTGGCGGAGAGCCCTACGACTTGTGGCAAGGCCCGGCGGTTCTTACAGGTTCCGCTTCTGCTTCCGCCTCCGCTCCCGCCGTCGCTTCCGCTTCTGCCGCCGCTTCCGCTTCCGCTTCCGCCTCCGCCTCCGCCTCCGCCGCCGTCACCGCGTTTCCTAGTCAGGCACATGGACCGAACCTTAAGGTGCTGGGGGGGGGAAGAGGGGAAGACGGGAGATTCGGGGACCGTAGTGGCGGGGATGAGCGCGAGGGATTGGAGACGGCGCGGTCGCTCAAGCGGCGCTCAGCCTGGAAACCGACACAACGGACTCAGCCCTCTCATCCCTCTCAACCGATCTATACCACTCAACCGGTTCAGCCAATTCAAGGGACTCAACCCTTTCAACCTTCTCATCCCTCTCAACCGACTCAAGTGCCGCAAGCGGAAGGCGTGATCAGACGGAGCCTGTCAGTTCCCAGGACTTCAACTAACCCACCGCCAAGTGTGGTACGAAGCAGGAGCTGCAGTCGGGGAGCCGTTGGGGTATCAAGCTACCCGCCTCAGAGTATTCCCAAGGCCCTTGGTCCGCCGGCCAGGGCGGTAGGCAGCGCAGGTACCTCGCGCGGGGAGCGGAGCGAGGGGAGGGGTTTCGCTGGTCCGGGGGTTAGAGGGGGCGAGTTCAAGACTCCGCAGCCCGGGTCCAGGTCAGGGTCCCGGTCGCACTCCGCCTCCGCGCGCGGAGGCGTTCCTTCCGCCCCCGCGCCTGGTTCCGCGGGTGAGCAGGGGTGGCGGAAAGGGGAGCAGGGGGACGGGCGCGGAACCAGGGGAGCGGGAAGCGGGAGCTCGAGCAGCAGGGGGAAGAGCGGCGGGTGGGGCAGCGGCGGGCGAGGGGAGGGGGATTATGGTCGGTCGTACTTGGTGGAAGGCGCAGGGGGAGGTGGTGGCATGGGTGGAAGGGCGCTGATGGATGGGGATGGGCATGGGCGCGCGGGTGTTTGGGGGAGCGCCTGGGGAGGAGAAGGGGGAGGAGCGCCTGCGGGTGAAAGAGTAGCAGGCAGAATTGCGGAAGCCGGGGGGAGGAGGGAGGCTAGTAGAGACCCAAGCACAGGGAAGATTCCTACTCACCCAAGCAGGACGAGTGATCACGTGCTAGGGTCGAAAAAACAGTCCAGCAGCAGTGCGTTTAGTCAAAGCAGCAGGAAGCGGCAGTTGGAGGAGCAGGGCGAGCAGGGGGCGGAGTTGCAGGGTCAAAAGTCGCCTGAGTCACGCGTGGAGCATAGTAAAAGACCTGCGGGGACTCCGCCTGGGGTGACCCTTTCCGCGGGGACTCCTCCTGCGGGGACCCCTCTCCCAAGAACTCCGCCTGGGGGACTGGCGTGGCGGCTTGAGGTGCCTGTGTTGTGCGGGTGGCAGGCGTTTGGCGAGGATGCAGAGGGAGAGGGAGAAGAACGCGGGTGCACAGGTGGGGCAGGAGACGTAGGTGGGGCATGTGGAGGGGCAGAGGCGGGGGCAGGGGCGGGGACAGGGGCGGGGACAGGGGCGGGGGCAGGGGCAGGAATGGGACCAGGGACGGGGAGGGGGATGATAGGAAGAGACACGGAGTCTGGGAGCGGGGGCCAGGCAGGTGGTTACAGGGAGAAGTTCTGTGTTGTGGAGATGGAGGGAGGTTTGAGTGGGGAGAAAAAGAGCAGTGGTTGTGCGAACGTGGGGGAGGGTGAGAAAGGGGAGAGTGCGAAGGGGGAGAGTGTGAAGAGGGAGGCAGGAGGCGAGTGGGACGCGTTTGTGCTTGAGATGACACGTGACGCCTCTCTCCCAAGATTCGTTGCATCTGGACAGATCCTGAGTTCACATGGTCCTGATTTGCGAACCACCGTTGCTCTCGCTACTCCTCCAACTCCTTCCTCTCCTGCTCCCGCCCTGCCCACTACCACCACCACTACGAAACCCGACTTGCCTCGTCCTACCGACCCGACTCCTGCTATCCAACCGGCACACAGCACCCATCTGAACCGTTCTGTCAGCCGACCAGGCGGCTCGCAAGCAGGCTTAGCGCGGCAGCAGAGGAAGGCAGTTGGCGGGTCGTTTGGAGGGTGGGTCAGGGCTGTAAGCCAGGCAAGATCGGTGGGTCAGCAACAGAGAGTTGGTCAGGCAAGGGAAGGGGACCAACCAAGGGTCGTAAAGCAGCAAAAAACTATGGTGTTTGAAGCGCCTATGCGCGACGCTGCTGGTACTGGTGCTGGATTAGTCGCTGAGGGAAATACCAAGAGGCTCAAACTTGCAGTGGCAGAAGCAGAGGAGGTACGGAGAAGAGCGCGTGATGGTGACGGCAGTGGTGCTTCCGGCGCTCGCCTTGGCTTTGCTGCAAGTCCTGTTGGCTGTGATGGCAGTGGTGCCACTGCTGGCAATGCTGGCTGTGGTGGCAGTGCCGCTGCTGCATGCCATATGACAGCTGCAAGTGCTGCGGCTGCTTCTGCTGCTGCTGGTAGTGCTGCTTCTGCTGCTGCTGCCGTTGCTCCATCTGAGTGCCTTGCGATTGCCCATTCTGCAGCACTGCCTGCGTTTCTGCCTTGTTTGGTTGAGCCCAGTAACCACATTGACACCAGAGGATCCAGTCAGCCTAACGACGAGCCTATGGAACCCGTGGCACCTGTTTCTCCTCTCTTTCCTGTCCCTCCTGCTCCTCCTGTTTCTCCTGTCCCTCCTGCTTCTCCTGTTTCTCCTGTCCCTCCTGCCCCTCCTGTTTCTCCTATCCCTCCTATCCCTTCAGTATCTCCTGTCCCTCCTGTCCCTCCTTTTTCACCTGTTGCACCCGCTGCACCTTATGCTGCCCCTTCTCCTGCCGCTCGTGTTGTGTCTGCTGACCAGCCTGGTACGGATCTTGCAGCAGCAGCAGGCACTACCCCTGTTGACTCTCCACCTCTTGCCCCTGCACCAGTTGCTGCCACTTCACCTGTTATTGCCTCTACCGCACCTATTACTGTTGCCAGCTCACCTGTTGCTGCTTCTCCTGCTGCTCCTGGTGTTGCTGTTGCTGCGCCTCTTGCTTTCCCCCCTGCCACTGCTCCCCCTCCTGCCACTGCTCTTCTCCCTACCACGGCACGTCGTCCAAGGCCAAGACCAGAGCCCATAGAGGTTCCAGCGGCCAACAACAGTGGGGGCGACAGCGGGGGCTCAGACGAGCACGCACTTGTAGTGGCAGTCGAGTCAGAGGACCAGCTTTCCGTTCCTGGGCCTATCGCACTCACAGGTGCACTGCAGCAGGGGCAGCGGCAGCAGCAGGGGCAGCAGGGGCAGCAGCGACAGCAAGTGCAGCAGGGGCAGCAGAGGCAGCAGCGACAGCAGGGGCTGTGGCGGCAGCAATGGGAAACGCTGGGGCATCAAGGAGTGGAAGGAGTGGGAGGAGTGGGAGGGAGAGCGGGTAGGGAAGGAGAAGGCGAGGTGCCCACAGGGCCTCTGTTGATGCATCTGAGGGAGAGTCTAGGGGAGGGCGAGGGGTGGATGTCGCAGGGGAGCTTCACAGCAGATGAAGGGGAGGGGGGGAGCAGTGAATTCGCGACTGGTGAAGAGGGGAGCGGAGGTGATGGGTTGGACGGGAGGGGCCGAGAGAGGCAGGGGGAAGGGGAGAGGGGGGAGCAGGAGAGGGAGGCGGGAACAGAGGGAGGGGAGCGGGAAAGGCAGGGGGAGCGGATAGGGGGGAGAGGGAGAGGCAGGGGGAAGGGGAGAGGGAGGAGAGGCAGAGGGGCGTTATGGGCGTCAGGGGGATAAGGAACATTAGGGAGGTTAGGGGCGTAAGAAATATTAGGGGCGTTAGGGAGGTGAGGGGTGTTAGGAACATTAGTGGCGTTAGGCCTAGAAGGCGGAGGGAGAGGGATCTGCTGGTGCTGCGGCTGCTGCAGGGGAGAGATGGTGGGAGCTCTGGAGGCGGCAGCAGAGGGAGTGCAGAGGCGAGGAGAAGGAGGAGGGCGAGGAGGGGCAATCAGCAGAGAGAATCGGGTGGGGGAAGAGGAGGGAGCCAGGGGGTAGTGGTACGAGGCAGGGGAGGGAGGGGAGGGAGGGGGGAGGCGGAGACGAGATTAGGGCAGAGTCCTCTGCAGTTCTCGCCTGTGAGAGGCCATGTGAGGGGACAAGGGGCGGGGAGCAATGTGAGGGGGCAAGGGGTTGGGAGCAATGTGAGGGGGCAAGGGGGTATGGAAGGACCAGGGGTCTTGGGCAGGGAGGGCGGTGTGGAGAGGGTAGGAGGCATGGGAGGTTATAGACGGAGGCATGCCAACAGTGGCAGCGGTGGGGTGGGAAGCAACAGCTGCCCTGTCCCTGATCTAGGGTTTCTTGGAATTCTGGGCGGGCCTTCAGGTGGTGCTTCAGGTGGAATCGCAGGTGGTGCTTCCGGTGGAATCACAGGCGGTGTTGCAGCTGGATCGTCAGGTGGCATTCGTGGTGGTGTTTCAGGCGTTTTGGGTGGCGGCAGCGGTTTAGGTGGCAGCGGCCTGGGTGGCAGTGGTTTGGGCGGCAGCGGTTTGGGCGGCAGTGGCCTGGGAGTGGTGACAGAGCAGGGCACGGACGATCAGCAGATAGAGCCTCCCCCTGCTGTTGCTGCTGCTGCTGCTGCTGCTGTGGAAGGGGCAGGGAACGGGGACGCTGAGGAGGGAATGGGGGTGAGAAGTGGTGGAGGCGGGGGAAGGGAAAGTGGGGGGAGGACAAGCGGGGGAAGGGGAAGCGGGGGGAGTGGAATGGGGGGTAGGGGGAGTGGGGGGAGAGGATCGGTAGGGAGGGGAAAGGGGGCGAGCTGGATAGAGAGGTTGATCGGGCCTCGTTTGACATTGATCAAAGCTGGGGCCGAGGGGGGCGAGGGGGGCGAGAGGGGCGAGAGGGGCGAGTGTGGAATTGAAAGAAAGAGAGGGGAACAGGCGGCTGAGAGGGGGCTACTAGCAGCACCGCAGCAACGGGGCGGTTTGGGTGTGGGCAGGCGGGATATGGCGGGAGGCGAGGGACGGGTGCAACAGGTTGGGGTGGTGGTGAGGGAGGTAGGAGGTGGTATTGCTGGAACTGGAAACGAGATGGGTCAGCAGCAGCAGGAGCAGCTAGAGCAGCAGCAGCAGCAGCAGCAGCATGGGAGACAGCAGCAGGATGAGCAACAGGATGCGGGTGCAGGAAATGCAGCGAGGCACTTGGTAGCAAGCCTGCCTCGATTCTCTCCGTTTCTCACGGGCAGGCGCCCACAGTCGAGGAGGAGAGAAGTGGAAGCAGCAGGGTCGTGCGTCCGCGCACCACCACCACCATCACCAGTGGGAGCGGGCGCAAGAGCGGGAGCGGGCGCAGGCGCGGGAGCAGCAGCGTCAGACTCGATGTTTGCAGCCAGCAGGTGCGCTGGTGCTCCTGCACGTAAGAGGGTGGTGCCTGGCGAAGTGTGGAACAGGAAACGCAGAGGCAAAAGGCAGAAGAGATGCGCTGCTGCTGCTGGTGATTCTGCTGATGCTGATGCTGGTGCTGATGCTGATGCTGATGCTGCCGGTGCTGGTGCTGGAACTGGCGATGGTGCTGGTGATGGCAATGGTGCTGGTGGCAGCGGTTGCGGTGGGGAGCAGTATGGGGAGGGGGGGTTGGTGGAGAGGGCGTGTTTGATTGCAAGGGCGGTGGCGCGGAGGGCAGTGTTGGATGAGGAACAAGAGGACGCCAGGGCCTCGCACTCTAATCAGGGAGGTTCAGTAGAGGATATTGATGACGCTGATATGCTGCTTGCCGCCCCTGAAGGTGCCCATGATGCTGCTGCTAAGGATGCTTGTGATTTTCTTGTTGCACATGGTTCTGATGTTGCTGCTGCTGCTGGTGGTTGTGGTGCTGCTTCTCTTGGTGGTGTTGGTGGTGCTGCTGCTGCTGCCGCCGCTGCTGCTGCTGCTGCTGCTCCTGATCCTACAGCTGGTACTCCTACTCCTATTGCGCCCTTCGGTCTTCAACTTCCAAACCTGCAGCTGCCTCCTGCTCCAACTTCTCCTCCTCCTCCTCTTACAGCTGAGGCATATCAACTGCATGGACCCCAAACTAACCCCCAATCCCCGCTTCCCCCCATCCCTCTCAATAGCCCCATCTCCCCGCCTGCTCCCCTTCCCTCTCCTAGGCCCCATTCTCTCAGCTGGTCGCAGCACTCTGCCAACGTGGCAGCTATCAGATCGTGGCTTCAAGATGCTGCCACGTGGCGTGAGCTCATTGGCCAGCAGGAGCGCGACCTGGGTTTGGCTGGATGGGTAGAGAGGGAGGTGGAGGAGGAGAAGGAGGAGGAGGGAGGGGAGGAGGAGAGAGTGGGGGAGCAGGCGGAGAGGGAAGAGGCGGTGGAGGAGGAGGGGGAAGGCGAACAGAGGAAGGAGTGCAGACAGGATAAGGAAGGAGGAATGCACTCAGGATGGGAGGGGGAATTAGTAGGAGAGGAGAAGCACAGGATAGAAGAAAAGGAGAAGCAGGGAGAGCTGCTGGACTTGGAACATTCTACCAGGAGAAACGAACACCAGAACTTGGAGGTCAAAGTTGGGGATGGGTTTGGGATTGGTATCGGCTCTCCACAGTGCATGTTCTGTGGGGCAGTGGGGCACACTGTGCTGCGGTGCTCCGAGGCTCGTGTGGCGGAAATGCCTTTTGATTCGACTCGAAACACTCCCGCTCGGTGCATGTTCTGTGGGGCAGTGGGGCACACTGTGCTGCGGTGCTCTGAGACCCGCGATGGAGAGGTGCTTGTGCTGGTTGCTCGGCTGTGTGACTGGGTTGAAAGCGGTGGAGAGGTGTTGGGAGGAGGTTTGGTTGGAGGAGGGAGGATTGAGGATGGGAAAAGTGAGGAGGAAGGAGAGAGGGAGGGAAGAGGGATGGAGGAAGGAGGAGGCGAAGAGGGGAGTGGGAAGGAGGAGGAGCGAGTAAGGGAGGAGGCAGCAGGGCTGCAGGAGGGGAGGGGGAGAGAGTACCGAGAGAAGGGTAAAGGGGGTGCGGAGGGTGACGGGGGAGAGGAAGACAGCAAGAGTGTGGAGAGTGAGGGGATGGTGGGGGTGGTGAGGACTGTGCGGAGGGGGAAGACAGTGAGAAGGATGGGACAGACAAAAGAGGAGCTGTACTTTTGTCTTTGGTGCGGAACGGGCGGCAGCCACTGGGCAGCAGACTGCGCAGTGCTGATGGAGGAACGGAGCCTGTTGCCCTTTGGTCCTGAGATACCTGCTGCTCCCTCTTCCGCTGCCGCCCCTAACTCTCCTGCCGGCCCCTATCCCCTTGCTGCCTTCAACCCCCCCGCCCCCCCTGCTCTCCCTGTTCCCCCTGCCTTTCCTGTCCCCGTTGACCCCTCTGCTCCGCCTGCTCCTGCTCTCCCTGTTCCTCCTGCCCCATCTGCCGCGGTTGCTATCCCTGCTGCAGCAATTGCTATCCCTGCTCCCCCTGCCTTCCCTGTCCCCGTTGACCCCTCTGCTCCGCCTGCTCCTGCTCTGCCTGGGCTGACTTCCGCTGCTCCTGTCGTTGCTGCTCCGGAGGAACCTGCTGTGGATGCGTGCGGTTCCTCTGCCCTTCCTCCTGCTGCTCCCCTGCCTCCGCTCCCTGCTGGCACTGCTGCTGTGGATGGTGCGACTGCAGACCATGTTCATATGGCAGCAGCAGTCGCTGCAGCAACAGCAGATGGAACAGCGGCAGTCGCAGCAGGAGCAGAAGCAGCTTCAGAAACAAAAGCAAAAACTCCAGCAGCAGCAACAACCGGAGCAACCGCAGCCGCAGCAGCAGGCATGGATGCTGAGAAAACTCCAGTGAACCATCAAGCACCAGAGGCAGCAGACACTCGCCCTCCCACTTTCTCTCCTTTCATCCCTCCTCCCCTCCTTGCTCCTCCCCCTCGCACCCCTCCTCCTCCTCGTTCTCCTTCCCCTCATGCTGTGGGACTCACAGCAGCAGCAGCCACACTGCAACCAGAGCAAGGCTTCCATCCCTGTGGCCCTCTTGCTTGGCCATCAGGTTCGGCACCAGCTTCGGTGCATGACTGGGCATGGCTGCTCGCAGCTAGGCAGCCGGCTCGGACGCCCGAGGCTCGGCAGCAGGCTCGGCAGCAGAGGGTTCAAGGTGGGGAGATACGGGAGTGGGAGGTGAGGGATGGAGAGGAAGTGGGGAAGGAAGGAGGGGCAGGTGTGGGGGATGGAGGAGGAGAGGCAAAGGAGCAAGGAGGGGAAGGTGTGGGAGAAAGAGGAGATGGGGTAGGAGAAAGAGGAGGAGAGGCGGGGCTGCCTGGTGTGATATTGGAGGCAGTGGAAGGGGCTCGCCTGTCCAGGAGAGACTTCCAGAGGTGCGTGCATTCTGTGGCAGATGGCAAGTGCAGGGCGAGCTGTCAGTCAGCGCAAGGCGAGCCGTCAGTCAGCGCAGGCAACAGGGTGTTGCTTGCTTCACGCACGTGCTTCTTTTCACACCCTTCTCATACTCTGTCTACGATCGTGCTCTGTTGCTCGCTGCTGCGTACCGTGTCCCCCCGTGGCAGGTGGCAGGTGCAGTGCAAGCTGTCAGTCAGCGCAGGGCGAGCTGTCAGTCAACACAGGCAACCGGGTGTTTCTTGCTCCGCTGAATCCTCCTTCTGGGACCTGTTGTATTCCTTGCCACCCTGATTCACTGTGTGTGACTGCTCTGTACTGCTGCGTACCATTTCTCCGTGGCAGGTGGCAGGCGCAGGGCGAGCTGTCAGCACAAGCAACGGGGTGCTTTCTGCGGCTGCGGCTGGGCAGGAAGGGCGAGCATATGGGCGGCACGGGGTACTGCATGGGACGAATCACAGGTGCGCGTTGAGTCGAGGGAATGAAGGTGGGAGAGAAAGAGATGTGTGGGGGGGGTTTTGAGAAGTCTCAAGACGTGTGCTGCTGTGGGGCCCCTGTGTGAGAGGCTGGGCAGGAAGGGCGAGCACATGGGCGGCACAGGTTACTGCATGGGACGAATCACAGGTGCGGGCAGGGTGGAGGGAGACAGGATTGTGAGTCCTGAGTTGACTGGGTTGAGAGGGTTGAGTGGGACGAATTACAGGCAGGTGAAGGCAATGTTTCGGGAGTCAGTTACATGCATGTTGTGAGTCGTGTTCCTTCTCTGTGAGGTGCTGGGCAGGCAGGGAGAGGAGAGCACATGAGAGGCAGGGGGAACTGCATGGGGCAAATCGAAGGTTCAGACCTGATAATCGAAGGTTCTTGCTCACCACACAAGCGACACCACCGCATCTTATCTGCACCACCACCTCACAAGCTGCTTCCATCCCGTGTCCCTCTCACTTTCTCACCATCCTCCTCTGCAGCTATTGCCAGCATGAGCAAGAAACCACCCACAGGAGGCACAGGAGCGGGAGAGGGGGATGGTGCAGGGGCAGCCAAAGGAGGGCCAGCAGGGCCGGCAGCACTGGATGTGGAGCTGTCGTCGTGTGTGGACTCTTCGCCGCTTGCGCTTGTGGTGGACCTGGGTGATCGAGAGTACACTGTGGACGGCCAATTCCTCTCCAATAAGCCATTTCTCGAGGTGAATTCCCCTTCTTTTTGTCGTGGCGATCATGCTTAGGTGGCATGTTTCATGGCTGTTCTGCTGATGTTTGTGATGGTGTTGGCGTTTCGTTCTTGTGTAGCAAAATCGTTGTCCTCCTTTTGTTCATTGTTCGCTGTGCCCAGGTGGAGGTTTCTGATTGGTGCGAGAAGATGTGGAGGCGCGGAGGGAGTGCTCTCCTTGCCTCAGTGCTGTCACACGAGCTTCTACAGTCCAAATTGAATGAACGGAGGTCGTGGAAGTGACTTTGCTTGCGGATTTGTTGTTATTCGACAACTGTGTGGAGATGTGAATTGGAAATGCGAAATGGATGTTGTGTCGTGTACCGCATGTGACTGCTGTGTGCGCGTATGGATCTCCACTGCACCAAAGGTCTTCCTTTCCATCTGCAGTGCTGCTGACTGCTGGCTTGAGCCAAGTTCATCATCATCACCCTCCACCAACAGAGTTCTCTGCTGAGCTGAGAGAAGCCGTGCTGAAAGTACCGTACCATACCGTAGCGTACCATATTTTTCCATTATCATATATCCTAGCACAAACAAAAGCAGGAAAGGAAGCTTTCAAGCTCGTCCATCAACATCTCCGTCAATTTCAGGTGCAACTTCAGGGAGTGCAGGTTTCAAGGATTTAGGGGTGGACACAAACAAGAACTGAATTGGGTGTTTAATGAAGGATATGGTAACACAACTATTGTGTGTATATAGCACCCGTATATGTGCCCGTGCCAAAAACGCCCAAGTAGTGCCGCTGGAAATGCAGGAGTACACAGGTTTCAGGCATGCATATGCACTCTGGTTTGTGTAAGATGTAGGCTTGTACAAAATTATAATTTTTAAACACACATGTAGTGTTTTTTAAAATTGTGTATTGTGAAAGCGAAGCTGCTTGTACTGCACAATTGGCATCGTCGAAGCGCGCTAAACGCCCTTCTCCAACTACAAAAACCGTGGGTTGGAGCTCATTTCCCTCCACCCACGTTTCTCAATTTTCAAACGGCTCACTCAACATTTCCGCTCGAGTAGTTTTTCCCTCCAAGCTGGCTAGGATTAAATCGCTTCCTAGAGGCGAGTCACCCTCTACTTTACTCAGCGACATTTTCAACTTCAATCGCTCAACGATGGCACCTACGCCGACACTTAACAACGGGAACTCGTCAACCCCCGCTTCCGACTCCGACCGTAACGCCCGCGATTCTGCGGGCGAACGCCGTAACAAGCGTCGGGCAGAAGACGGACCGTCCGCCCCGACTGCAGTGGACGTGCTGCTGGGCGGGCTCGAGGTCAACAAAAACGCCGAAACCCAGCAGCACCCTTCGGTCCCTGTGGCGCCAGTGGCGCCTGTGGCGCCAGTGGCACCTGTGGCGCAAGTGGCGACGGGGGCTGGCGCGGCACACGCGACTGACGCCGAGCACACGCCAGCACCCGCTGCTGGACCGTCGCGTCAGCGCCAGAGGAGGCGGACTGCAGTCTCCTCGTCTGACGCGACCGCCGCCCCTGCGCTGACGCAGGCGTTGACCCCGGACCAGGTCAACGCGCTGCTGTCCCTTCTACAGCAGCAACCCGTCAGCGTTACAGCCGCGGAAACTGCACTACCCGCCGCATCTGCGTCGGCTAAAAAAGAAACCGCAAAAAAGGAAAAAGGCACGCGGGGAGCACGGACGAACCGGCATGATAACGACGCAGCGACCGCCGCTCCCCCTGCTCCAGCGGTCGACAACGACACCGACGACTCTGAAGATGAAGCCGGTGAGGCTCCCGTCAACAATGCTAATTTTATTGGCACGGAACACCTCCCCCCCCTCCCTTCTTCTAACCTTACCTTCTCGGCGGCAACCTTCGTCAACGACTCCGTGCGAGAGCAAGCGGAGCTGCTGGAGGACCTGCGGGCGTACCTGCTGCACGCCGAATACAAGGCGCAGCGCGGCGATCCGGCGGGCGGACTCGAACTCATCTCACACGCTCTCAACCTCATCGCGGGGCGTTTCGAGGTGCTTCAAGTGGAGGACGCCTCCGACTTCCGCACGGCGAAGCGCTTCAAGCTGTACCAGCAGAAGAGCCTGCTGACTTCTCGACCCTTCAAGCAGGCAGTCGCGGACATGGCGGCGATGGACCGTGCGGCAAGCGGATACGCTCGTGTCAACCGCGGCGGAAACAACGGGCCGATGCCGTTCTTACCCAAGCGAGGCCCCCCGCCCACGGCCAATTGCCGTGGGTTCCGAGGCTCATGCTTCCGCTGCGGCCAGCCGGGCCACGTGGCAAGTGCCTGCCCTCGGAACGGGCATGGCGGCCAGGGACCCGCTCCGGTGGTGTAGGAGCGGGCCATGGGACTAGGCGCTTGGGCGCTAGGCACGGTGCACTCTTGAGTGCGAAGACCGTGGGCAACCCTAGGGGTTTGCGATGGCAAGAGGCCAGCCCTAGTAAAGGGTGGGATAGGCTTTGGGCCTAGGAGAGGGAAGGGGAACAACAACCCCTCGGTCCCATATGTTTGGCCACTTGGTGGCATGATGCATGCTAGGAAAGCATTGCTATGTGTGTTGGTTGATTTAATAAAAACTACCTTCCTAAAGGCCTATGGTTTTGGCAAAGAGACTATGAAAATCAAGAGGAGGAAGAGAGAGAGAGAGAGAGAGAGAGAGAGAGAGAGAGAGAGAGAGAGAGAGAGAGAGAGAGAGAGAGAGAGAGAGAGAGAGAGAGAGAGAGAGAGAGAGAGAGAGAGAGAGAGAAGAGAGAGAGCACAATGGACAACGGTGTCCATGGCCCTAGGCATCAGCCCCCACGCACTAAGGGCAGGCACAACCGTCCTACCAAGTGGACGACGGGACAAAAAAAAAAAAAAAAAAAAAGAGGAAACGAGGAGAAGAAGAGACATGCGTTGACATGCGTTAACACTCCCGACACATTCGTTGACATTTCATTCAATGGTTAATTCTCGTCACACCTTCGATCAATGGTTGCCCGTACATGTACATGCACACGCATGCTTTAACATGGAATACTCAACCCTTATACCACTTGGCCTCACATGTACAGGAGCACGACGGTGCGAGGCGGCATGCTACGACGATCCGTACGAATTTGCCGTTACAGACAGAACTATTACACACATGCGCGGTCGTCTCCGCGCGACATTTGCGTGGTGGAGCTCATGGTGCCCCAGCAGCCTTGTCCTCTCCGTCATCGCCAAGGGTTACTGGTTGCCATGGAGCCACGGCCCACCGCAACATTTCCACGATCGCAATCATGTCGGGGCAAACACGCATGCCACGTTCACACGTACCGCCATCCAAGAACTCATAGAGACGGGAGCGGCAATTCCGATGGCCGCAACGGAGCTTACGTGCATAAGTCCACTCAACGTGGTCGAGCAAAAAGACAAATGCAGGCTCATTCTTGATCTGAGGAAAGTCAATGCCAACTTGATCATCCCCAAGTTCAAGTACGAGGGGCTCAGCCGCGTCGCCGACCTGGCGCGCGTTGGGGACTGGATGTTCTCCATTGACCTCAAATCTGGTTACCACCACATCGACATCCACCCATCGTGCTGGAAGTTCCTTGGCTTTGAATTTGACAAGCGCACATACGCATTCCGTTCACTACCATTCGGCCTCGCGACAGCTCCATTCGTTTTCACGCAGCTCATTAAGCAACTAGCTCGGCGTTGGCGAGAACAAGGCATCCGAGTCGTCCCTTACGTGGACGACATCTTATTTCTCTGCCAGTCGAAAGACGACGCGCAAGCAACTTGCCAACGGGTGATATTGGATCTTAAAGAGGCAGGCCTTGTGATAAACGCGAAGAAATCACAACTGTCACCATCGCAGCGTCTCAGATTCCTGGGCGTAGAACTTGAGACCGATACCGGCCGATTCTCCATCGGTCCAGACCGACGAGCCTCACTACATGCAACCATCCGGAACCTCCTGAGCGCAAGCAAGGCATGCCGACCAGTCCCGGTCCGCCACGTGGCCAGAATCACTGGCATGCTCGCATCGATGGGTGTCGCACTTGGCGCGACCGCTCGCGCATTCAGCCATGCTATGTTACAAGTGATCAACGACGCACCGTCATGGAAAAGCAGCGTCGTTATCCCCCCATCTGCAGCAGAAGAGCTCCAATTTTGGCTCGAGGAGTTCGACCGTTTCAACGGCGCACCTTTTCACGTCAAGAACAGCTACGACGCGGTAATCCATGTGGATGCCAGCTCTCATGGTTGGGGCGCCACTCTGACCACATTTCCGGGTGGCCTCGAAGAAGCTAGCGCGACCATGTCAGAGCCGCTACGAGGAACGTCTAGCACACGACGGGAGATCGAAGGCGTCCTTTGGGCGCTACAAACGTACGCGAACAAGATCAAGCAAAAACACGTTCTCGTGCGGGTGGACAACCAGGGCGTATTCTTCATCCTTCGCAAAGGCGGCTCTCACAGCCCCGACCTCACAACGGCATGCAAGAGCATCATCCGAACATGCATGGCGCTTGGCACGCGCTTGATCATTGAATGGATTCCGCGCGAGCTCAACACACACGCCGACGAGCTTTCAAAAATGGTCGACCACGACGATTACGCGCTGAAAACGCCGTGGTTCCGGATCTTGGAACGTCGTTGGGGTCCTCACTCCATCGACCTCTTCGCAAACTTCCGCAACACCCAACTGCCGCGATTCTGTTCGAAGATTCCCCACCCGGCAGCCATTGCAGTTGATGCATTCTCGATCGCGTGGACACCTGAAAACAACTTCGCCTTCCCCCCACCTCAACTGATCCCAGCCGTCCTCCATCACGCACAACGCACCCATGCATCACTCACACTGATAGTTCCGCACTGGCCAGGTGCAAGCTGGTGGCCACTCTTGCAACCCTCCCCACGCACTTGGGCACCATACATCCACGCGCACATCCCCCTGACACACGGAAGCCAATGCCTAGACGTAGGGTCCCATTCAACTGCTTTTTCGGGCATGGGACTACCGCACAGCCCAATCACTGCACTGCGAGTGGCATTTGACTAATTCAAAATATCTACACCTTGTGTTCAGATTTGCTCCCAAAGTTACACGACCAACTGATCAACATGCTCGCGCAGTCCCGCGCCGATTCTACGATCCGGACATATGAACCATACTGGGCCAAGTTTCGAGCCTTCTGCACAAAAGTGAACCTTCCATTCCTTCCGGCATCCGACATGACCCTCGCGCTGTACCTGGTACACGCAATCCGACGCAAAGCCACCCTGTCCGTAGTGCAGCTAACGTGCTCGGCGGTCAGCTTCGCTCATCGCATGACTGGGAGCAAATGCCCGACAACCGGACCGTTCACCACCCAAGTCCGTGACTGTGCAAAACGACACTGCCCTCGCCCTACTCGTCTGAAGGAACCCGTCTCGATCCAACAAGTCCGGGACATGGCCGCGAGTTACTTGCAGTCCGACGATCCTGCGCAATTTCAGAAAGGGTTGATCCCCATCCTCATGTACTCCGGATTTCTGCGATACTCTGACCTAGTAGCCATAAAATGGCAAGACATCCAATTCGACGACGAGGTCATGTGGATTCTCATACCACATTCCAAGACCGATCAAGCTGGTCACGGCACTTGGATACCCATTGCAGCAACGGCGGACCCCTGCTGCCCAGTGCGCTGCACCCGACGCTTCATCCGACTCGCTGGCTATGGTCCACGGTCAGAGGGACCATTGATTCGTGTCTTCGGTCACGGTTCAACCAGCGAGGGCCAGGCTAGGCCACCTTCTTACACTACGATCCGGAACTGGTGCAAGGAAGCCTTCGCAAAGGTTGGCCTTGGAGAGCTGCAGCTAGGCACCCATTCTTTCCGAAAAGGTGCAGCCACAGTAGCAGCCAACACGGGAGTGCCAGATAGAGTCTTCAAACGGCTGGGCAGATGGCGAAGCGACACAGCAAAGGAAATGTATGTTACGCCATACGTCGAGCCTCTTATCGAAGCCTCCCGTACCCTCCAAGATTCGACGCATGCGGTGTCATCGGCACAACACACAGAGGCACTCGTACGCAACCGAAGGCCCCCGCTGCCCATGTCTCAGGGAACCCATTTGTAATGAGAACGATGCCAATTGATAAGAAAGAAAGCAAGCTTTCTCAATATTATAATTTTTAAACACACATGTAGTGTTTTTTAAAATTGTGTATTGTGAAAGCGAAGCTGCTTGTACTGCACAATTGGCATCGTCGAAGCGCGCTAAACGCCCTTCTCCAACTACAAAAACCGTGGGTTGGAGCTCATTTCCCTCCACCCACGTTTCTCAATTTTCAAACGGCTCACTCAACATTCCCACCACCCACCCCAGAGTAAACCGCCTTGCTAATGCCACTTGGATAGGGTATATCCTAGCTAGCGTTATTAGTCCGCACTAGCTTGTGTCGAATGATGATACAAATGTTGTAATACGCCATTTGTAATGAGAACGATGGCACTGGATGTGGAGCTGTCGTCGTGTGTGGACTCTTCGCCGCTTGCGCTTGTGGTGGACCTGGGTGATCGAGAGTACACTGTGGACGGCCAATTCCTCTCCAATAAGCCATTTCTCGAGGTGAATTCCCCTTCTTTTTGTCGTGGCGATCATGCTTAGGTGGCATGTTTCATGGCTGTTTTGCTGATGTTTGTGATGGTGTTGGCGTTTCGTTCTTGTGTAGCAAAATCGTTGTCCTCCTTTTGTTCATTGTTCGCTGTGCCCAGGTGGAGGTTTCTGATTGGTGCGAGAAGATGTGGAGGCGCGGAGGGAGTGCTCTCCTTGCCTCAGTGCTGTCACACGAGCTTCTACAGTCCAAATTGAACGAACGGAGGTCGTGGAAGTGACTTTGCTTGCGGGTTTGTTGTTATTCGACAACTGTGTGGAGATGTGAATTGGAAATGCGAAATGGATGTTGTGTCGTGTACCGCATGTGACTGCTGTGTGCGCGTATGGATCTCCACTGCACCAAAGGTCTTCCTTTCCATCTGCAGTGCTGCTGACTGCTGGCTTGAGCCAAGTTCATCATCATCACCCTCCACCAACAGAGTTCTCTGCTGAGCTGAGAGAAGCCGTGCTGAAAGTACCGTACCATACCGTAGCGTACCATATTTTTCCATTATCATATATCCTAGCACAAACAAAAGCAGGAAAGGAAGCTTTCAAGCTCGTCCATCAACATCTCCGTCAATTTCAGGTGCAACTTCAGGGAGTGCAGGTTTCAAGGATTTAGGGGTGGACACAAACAAGAACTGAATTGGGTGTTTAATGAAGGATATGGTAACACAACTATTGTGTGTATATAGCACCCGTATATGTGCCCGTGCCAAAAACGCCCAAGTAGTGCCGCTGGAAATGCAGGAGTACACAGGTTTCAGGCATGCATATGCACTCTGGTTTGTGTAAGATGTAGGCTTGTACGAAGGTATTGATATGCAACGCATCGAACATCCTCGAACGTACAACCAATATCGCGTATGGATAGAAAGAGGAAAAGGGAAAGAGGGAGAAGGAAAAGGGAAAGAAAGACACCAGAAACAACTCAAACGCAACACCCATAAAAAGCCCCATAAAAATACGAAGGTATTGATTGTGGTATATGTCAACAATACATACAGAAGTATTCACTTTATCTGTTGTGTTAGCATATCGTTCAAATGTTGAGCGTGTGTACTCTAAGGTGCGTCTTGACTTTTTAGAGGGGTCAGCCGAAGTGGGTTTTGAGGGATGCCCGCCGTAAACACAGGCGCTTTCAGCACCCAAAACCGCTCGGGCGGGTCCTCCAGAATATACGTCCTTGCTGGAGTTTGAAACCCGTAATTCCGAAGTTCCGAAGTGATGACGAGAAGGGTACAGTGCATTACTAGAAAACACGAAGCCGCTATTTGCGCAAGAACGTCGATTTTGACGTGACCAAACAGAACAGACATTTTTCTCAGCCCAAAGCCCCGACGACCAATCAGACAACGGGAATCCCGCCGCAACGGCACAAGCTACCAGCCACAAGGCAGGGTGTGGCGGAGTTGAGGCACGTGTGGCCTTGTCCATGTCGGTTGATGGAATCCTCTTCGCCAGAATTCGCCTAACGTCGGAAGCACGCCTATCTGGCCGCCCAGCTTGACGTTACCTAAGGGCGTGGAACATTTTTACGACCACGCCGATTTATCGACCATAAGGTTGGGTCTGACGAAAGCGAAACATGTAACAGAGTTGCGAAGGGTGCGAAATGTTTAAGCTATACTGCTCGCCAGCACGCGGGGCACCCAATAGAAACCACCCCCACTTAGCAGAAACATTTGTTCCCACTTTAAGCATTCGAAAGGGGTGTGGGATATTGGGGAGGGCGGGAAATGAGTAGAACGTGGGGCAAACACAATTGAGGGTAAGTACTGGAAGTCAAATGATTACCCTTTTTAATAAATAAGTGTGAGGAGCGGCTCTAAATACTTACGAGAGATCCCAATGATTTTCGGTCAATTCAGGGTCACTACTATCCATGCCAGTCAATGGGGTTTCCTTAAATTCTTCGCCATCGCCAGAAACAACCATCGATCCGACCAAATGGCGTGGTCGTAAAAATGTTCCACGCCCTTACCTTTCCAGGCCAAAGTGTAGTTCGGATCAAACGCAGGCTCACATTGTACATCAGGTTCGGCAGGGCAACCTAGCCTTCTCCAGACCAAAACCACTTGATTCGGTTCGGGACAGAACACCACTCGCAGGAAGACTCCACATATCCACATCCGCACCACACATCCACACACAACGGCTCTTCCTGCTTCTTCTGGCTCCTCTTCAATTTCACTCACATACTCCACACACATCCTTCACTTTTTCATGGCCTAGAGAAAGGTCATTCTTCAGTTCCTTTGATGAGACGAGCACGCACATGATGGCGGCAACCATGGCATCGTACTACGTCCCGCAGGCTAGTTCCTTCTTCTCTTACAGCCCTTCGCGCCTTCCCACATGATGTGTGCGCTGATACGCGTTCGTTGTGTCCGTTGACAGCCTTATCTTCTCCAGTTTCTGTGTTATCTTTGAGAAACATAATCAAGTAATAGGTGTCTTGTGCTGCACAGCTTAGCCTCACCGGTTCGTAACGAGATTCCGGAGCGATCTTTGTATCGTGTACGTATTGGCACTTCGCTCCTTTTGTCCGGCTACCCCATCCACACACCTGCTTCTGAGACGCCTGGAAACGCATTCCAAACCGCTCCTCCTTTTCCACCGTCGTACTATTTCCAATCGTCCGACCGCGCACCCGTAGGCGATATACATCGGGTAACCATGTCGTTACTCACGTTCGCGTTATTCTTCGCCACCACCAGGGACGAACAGCCAACAGCTTATCGGACATGGGAAGAGAGCTGGAGGAGCTTCGAGCGAGTTACCAGCAGGTGTGTTTTCGCTTAGGGTTCAGCTTGATGCTCTTTCCGCTTGATATTTTCATGCGTATGTCCTCGTTAATGTCGCTCCGCCGCTCCGGGTTTCTGTGATTGTTTTCTAGGGTTCAGCTCGATTTTTGTAACCTCATGAAAGATAATGCAGTCTGTACGCGGATCAGGGTGACCAATATTGTACTCACATCCGTGTCTGTGTCAGCGAATGATCGCATTTCCGTCCCGTATCTCCTCGCGTTGTTATAACCGTTGGTTCTCAGGCAATGTTCGATGGTTGATCGCTCGCTGATGCATCCGTGTGTTCGCATGCTCTCAAACGCAACCGTCTTCGCATATCATGCATTCCGGTCGTGCATTCTCTTCATGCATTCCGGTCATCCCTCTCCGTCGTGCATTTCCATCATGCATTTCATGACTTCGTGACCATGTATGCAGGTGTGCGAGGAGAGGGACGCCTTAGAGGACCTACTACTACAGGAGCAGCTCAAGAATGGCACTCCTGCTGTGAGCTCTTCCTCCTGCCATTCAAACACTTACACCTCCTTTCACTTCGTAAGGTGCCTCCAGGGAAACATAACGCCCCTTCATCACCGCGGTGTTGCCACATTGCCTCTCTGGTTGCACATTGTAGGGCTCGTTTTCTCTTCGCTGTTTCGTTTCCTTGTTTGTTTTGTCTGCGTGTTTCCACATGTCAAGGAGTTTCTAATTCATGTGGTGTAATGTGATGGTGTAGCGCTCGCGCTTGGTTGACAAATATAGGACCTGTCTGGTTAACTCGTCGATCTGCTGTTATCGGGTTGGCAGGACAAGCAGGTGGAGGAGGCGAGGGCGCATGCAGCAGCGCTGGAGATGGTTTATAAATTGCCTCATATCGTGGTTGATGTGATTACTGAAATGTGATTGATTGATGTGATTGCGCTGGCTGGCAGGACAAGCAGGTGGAGGAGGCGAGGGCGCATGCAGCAGCGCTGGAGATGGACCTGCAAGCCATGGCCTCCCGCTGCGGTGAGTGTGCTGCTGCGGTGAGTGTGCTGCTGCGGTGAGTGTGCTGCTGCGGTGAGTGTGCTGCTGCGGTGAGTGTGCTGCTGCGGTGAGTGTGCTGCTGCGCCATGCCTGCCGTGCCCTGCCTGCCGTGCCGTTCTGTGCTGTGGCGTGCTGTAGAGCGTTGTAGATACATCCAGCCTTGATGCCCTCCCCCTCCCCCTCAAATCCCTCCCCCCCCTCTAACCCCCTGTGCGCGCAGAGGAGTGAAAGCGGAGGGCAGGGGAGCGGGCGGCGGAGATGCATCCAGCGTTGGTGCAGGCGCTGCTGGGGAAGCGCCTGGAGAAGCTCGCCGACTCAAATCCCCCTCCCCGCTCCACCACCCCCTCTCCCAACCCTGTGCGAGCAGAGGAGTGGAAGCGCAGGGCGGGCGAGCGGGCGGCGGAGATGCATCCAGCGTTGGTGCAGGCGCTGCTGGAAGAGCGACTAGAGGAGCTCGATGAGTCGGGCGTGCTCGCGCTGCAGGTAGGTGGACTGTGCGTGTGAGAGTTATATGAATGAAGAGTGGTCGTTCTAGGGAAGAGCGGAGGTGCAGGCGCTGCTGAAGGAGCGACTGGAAGAGCTCGATGAGTCGGGGCGTGCTCGCGCTGCAGGTGAGGGGCGGGTGTGCGTGAGAGGGCTGTGAGAGAGAGTTTGTGTCATCTGCGACACGACTCACGAGCTCTATTCTGAGTTGGCTCATTATGCTCCTTCCTTTGCTCCTTCCCTCGCTCGTTCCCTTGCTCCTTCCCTCGCTCCTTCCCTTGCTCCTTCCCTCGCTCCTTCCTTTGCTCCTTCCCTCGCTCCTTCCCTCGCTCCTTCCCTTGCTCCTTCCCTTGCTCCTTCCCTTGCTCCTTCCCTTGCTCCTTCCCTTGCTCCTTCCCTTGCTCCTTCCCTTGCTCCTTCCCTTGCTCCTTCCCTTGCTCCTTCCCTTGCTCCTTCCCTTGCTCCTTCCCTTGCTCCTTCCCTTGCTCCTTCCCTTGCTCCTTCCCTTGCTCCTTCCCTTGCTCCTTCCCTTGCTCCTTCCCTTGCTCCTTCCCTTGCTCCTTCCCTTGCTCCTTCCCTTGCTCCTTCCCTCCCTGTGCGCGTGTGCTCTGTAGGTGGAATGCGCTCGTCTGCGGGACGAGCTGGCGAAATCCGAGGTGCTGCGCTTCGAGCTCTATCGCAGCCTGGAGCAGGGCGCAGGTGAGGGCGCAGCGCAGGTGAGGGCAGGGCGCAGGTAAGGGCTGTTTAGCGTAGGTGGCAGACGTATCTGGTGCATGTTGCATGGGGAGGGGGCAGGCGAGGTGCTGCCCTTCTAGCTCTATCGCAGCCTGGAGCAGGGCGCAGGTGAGGGCGGGGCGCAGCGGGCAGCGTGTCTGGTGCATGGTGCATAGCACAGGGAGTGTGCAGTGAGGTGCTGCGCTTCTAGCTCTACCGCAGCCTGGAGTAGGGCGCAGGTGAGGGGGTTGGGGGGGGCCATGTGAGGAGAGGTAGAAGGTGAGGATAGGGCGCAGGTGAGGGCCGCCCTCACCTGCGCCCTGCCCTCACCTGCGGGGCGGGTGAGGTGATGGCTGGGACTGGGTGAGGGCAGAGGTTGCAGGTGAGCATTCTACTGCAGAGGGGGGAGATGGGTTTGGTATACTTCTGTCACTTTTAGAACTGTCAAACCCATCTACCTTTCAGGCAGGTATAGAGTATCCTGCACATCGTGTGTGCATAGTCGATTTTTGAGTCGACTCAAGAATTGACTAATCACACACAGTACCCTGCATAGCGTGTGTGCACCTGAGCTCTACCAACGCCCTCCTCCCTGCCCTCTTCCGTCCCGCTCCCCCCTCCCCTCTTCCCCCACCTCCCACTACTCCCTTCCTACCCCCCAAACCCCTCGCCCCCTTTTCCCTCCCTACCCCCACCGGGCACGGTCTCACAGTGGAGGTGGAGAGCCGGTGGGAGTCAGAGGCGTTCTCGAGTCGACTCTAAAGCCAATTCTCCACCCACACCCTCCCTCTCTTTCCCTACCCCCGACCTTCCAACCTACCCCCCACCGGGCACGGTCTTTTAGTGGAGGTGGAGAGCCGATGGGAGTCAGAGGCGTCAGGCATGTCCCCTGCGAGACAAGGCAGCTCCAAGAGCAGAGACGCAGAGAGGTGGGTGGGGAGGCGGTGCAAATGGAAAGGGGGAGCTTCGTGTCACTGTGTGGAAATTCTCAAGGGCGAGTGGGGCACTGTGTCCTGTCCTGTCCTGTCCTGTCCTGTCCTGTCCTGTCCTGTCCTGTCCTGTCCTGTCCCGTATGCTGCCTGTCATTGATGTGTTGATGATGCCTGTGCTTGTTTGTGTGTCTTGCCAGGCACAGCAATGGCAGTGCGGAAGATGCACCAGCGCGATCAACCACCCCTGTCACGGTAGGTCCTGCCATTCCCTCTTGTACTGTACCATATCGTACCGTACTGTACCGTGCCGTGCAGTGTGTCTCGCCAGGCACAGCAATGGCAGTGCGGAAGATGCACCAGCGCGATCAACCACCCCTGTCACGGTGAGTCATGTGTGATACTGAGCCATGCTGCGCAGTGCCGTGCCATGCCATGCCCTGCTGTGCCATTCCTTGCCATGCCACGTCGTGCTGTTCCATGCGATGCCATGCCCCATACCCTTCCATGTTGCCCCCTCCCTGCCCTTCCCTTGCTCCCTCTTCACCTTCCCCTCCCACCTCCCACCTTCCCCCAGGGGAAGGCGCAGGAGCTACTGGAGCTGGGGTAGGCAGGCATCAACTCAGCTCCATCCACCCCTCCTCCCTCTCCCCCCTCCGTTCCCCCATTTTACATATCAGATGGAGTGTGACGAGTCGGTGGTGCAGGAGCTACTGGAGCTGGGGCAGGCGACGCTCACACAGGAGGATGTCACTCGCTTGACAGAGGCTGTCGAGGTACGGTGGGGCTGTAAGGGGTTGTGTGAGATTTATGGGCTGGAGAGGTAGGTACAGAGTTGAGGCGGCTTTCAAGAGCTACTGGAGCTGGGGCAGGCGTCGCTCACTCAAGAGGACGTCACTCGCTTCTCAGAGGCAGTGGAGGTGCGCTGGGGGGACTGTGGCGGGGAGTGTGAGAGTTATAGGTTGGAGAGGTATGGGGTTGAGGATGTGAGGAGCTACTGGTGAGAGGGGTTTAGGGTTTAGGGTTTAGGGTTTAGGGGTGGGGTGGGGTCTCTTACCCTCTGCTCCTTCCCTACCCTTTCTTCCTCACAGGCAGCGGAGCAGTGGGCAGAGAAGGCAGAGAGGGAGGGAGGCGTGGGTGCCCCTCCCTCTTCCTAACCTCCCCTTTTCTCCAATCCGTGATTTTTTTGCCCTTTTTCTTTTTCCCCACAGGCAGCAGAGCGGCGGGCAGAGAAGGCGGAGAGGGAGGCGGAGCAGCGAGCAGTGCAGGTGCAGCTGCTGGAGGCGAAGATGGCTGCCATGCTGGTACGCGGTGATGTGCGGTGAGATGTGGTGATGTGCGGTGGGATGTGGTGAGGCGAGGTGGGATTTGGTCAGGAGAGGTGGTATGTGGGATGATGGCATGTGGTGGTGATAATGAAGTATCCTCATGCTCTCCGCTTTCCCTTAAACCTCGTTACCCTTCCGTCACTCACTCACTCCCCCCTCCACTCTTTTTTGCTGTACTCACGCTCTCCACCCCTCCCTTCCGCTGCCTCTCTTGAGACGTCTCAAAAGTTGCCTCTCCAGAACTCCAGCCCAACAGACGAGCAAAAGCGCTCTCCCTCCCTCGTGTCCACCGCTCCCATATATGCTGTGCCCAAACCTCCCCCATTTCTTATCCCCCTCCACCCACCCCTCCTTCCCTCTGCCTCTCTCCAGAACTCCAGTCCAACGGACGAGCACAAGCGCTCGCCCTCCCTGGTGTCCTCGTCGCCCATCTCCTTCCGCCTCTCCCCCGTCGCCTCCTCCTCCTCGCCTGACCCCGCCTCCCTCACTCGCTCCAGCAGCGGCAGTGCCACCTCCCAGCACAGCCCGCAGCAACAGGGCCAACCTCAGCAGGAGCAGCAAGGAGGGCAGAGTCAAGAGAGCAGAAGAGGGGAAAGAGGAGCAGGAGGAGTGGAAGGAGAATTGACAGGAGCAGCTCAGGGTTTGAAGTTAACAGGAAGAGCCGGGGCAAAAGTTGGAGTGGCGGGAGTGAGAAAGGGAGGCGTCTTGACACATGAAGCAGTAGCCAGAAGAAGCGTTGTGGGTGTGGTTGTGGAGCAAAAATCAAGGGCAGAGACAGGGGAGGTGCAGGAGGAGGAGGGTGAGATAGAGGGACTGGAGGAGGAAGGGGAGGACGGGGTGGAGGAGTTGAGGCAGATGGTGCAGAGAGTGCAGAGGCAGAACCGCATCACCCATGTGCTCCTCTCTGTGGTCGTGGCGGCCTCTATTCCCCCTCTCGTGGCCTTGGTTCGGGGGTTGTTTGGTGGTTGGGGTCGGCGGTACGAGCCTAAGAGGCCGGGGGCAGGGCAGGGTCCGAAACAGGTTTCACGTGTCTCGATTCGGAGCAAGTAGGTGGGCTGGCGGATGTGAATGGTCACCCTGTGTGGGTGTCGACAGATTTTGTGAATTGTATTGGCCGCAGCAGCAGTAGCAGCAGCAGCAGCAGCAACCACTCTGAGGATCACCATCAGCATCAGCATCAGCAGCATCAGTAGTAACAGCAGCAGCAGACAGCAGAAAGAGAGACAGCATGAAGTAACCAAACATGGGTTACTGTTGGATTTGATCCATCCATCCATCCATCCATCCATCCATCCATCCATCCATCCATCCATCCATCCATCCATCCATCCATCCATCCATCCATCCATCCATCCATCCATCCATCCATCCATCCATCCATCCATCCATCCATCCATCCATCCATCCATCCATCCATCCATCCATCCATCCATCCATCCATCCATCCATCCATCCATCCATCCATCCATCCATCCATCCATCCATCCATCCATCCATCCATCCATCCATCCATCCATCCATCCATCCATCCATCCATCCATCCATCCATCCATCCATCCATCCATCCATCCATCCATCCATCCATCCATCCATCCATCCATCCATCCATCCATCCATCCATCCATCCATCCATCCATCGCCTCTTGATGACCCACCATCTTCGATCAACACTCATAGCCACTCCCACCGAACCCAACACCACCAGCCCCATCCCATCTTCAAAGCAGTCAAGAGATCATCACCACTGTTGCCACCACCAACCATCATGTCTGTTCCTTGAGGCGCTTAAAGAAACCGTTTTGCCATTTCACCACAAACCCGCACCACCAAGCCCCCAATATACCAGCCAACAGATCACCCATCATGACCACAGAAGATTTTCAAGCTGACCGCTGCGACCATCTCCATGTCTCACTCCTGAATGTCTTACCAATTGACTCGACTCACAATGACTCGTGGCTTTTGAGTTTGAGTCGACTGAGAATATGCCTTTTGAGTCAACCACTGCCACCATCTCCATCGCCCACTCCAGAAGTTCTAGTCACGCATGCGAGTGCGATCGTCATTCGTCTAAGTTATTCTCCAGCAACAGCAGCTGTGAGCAGCAGCAAACGCACCAGACCACCATCATCACGCACAGGCAAACACCGCCACCACCGCCACAAGCGCCATGCACGGCAGCAGCAACAGCATCAACCGCCGAAAGGGCGGGTTGGAGCAGGAACCATCATGTGTGGTGGGTGCGTGCAAATTTTGGGCCATCCATTCGTAACTCCAGCCTGACAGTTGGCATTTGACTGACCCATGGCTCCCTTCAATCCGCCCCATGTCCTGCCATGCATCGCCGCCCATCCTTCCACCAGGCAGCCATGCTGGCTGCTTTGAGTTTACCATGCAACACAATGCACCACCATGCAGCACCATGCAGCACCATGCTGCACCATGGAACACCATGCCGCACTATGACGCACCATGCAGCACCATGCATCACCATGCCGCACCATGCAGCACCATGCAGCACTATGACGCACCATGCAGCACCCCATGCACCGCCATTGACCAGCATGAAGCATGCTTGCACATAGCACGGTCCCCACCCCATCCTGCCATGCACGGTCTCCAGTTCATCCACCATCCAGGTCATTCCTTCCTCCACCATCCAGCCAGCCTAAGCCCACAACGAATCGAACTTGTTCTTCAGCACAGCAGCAGCAGCCTCTATCAATTCGTTAGAAGCGCAGAGCAATTGGATGGCTCTGTTTCAAACCCATTCTCCCCTGCACCAGCTCCTCTCCACCCGCCCGCCGGGCAGCAAACTGCCTAGCTGCGAGCTTCAATGGGCTGGGCTGCATTCGTAACTTTATGTAGAGTTCCCCGGTAGAGCAATCTGTAGAAAACCGCACAGCCACAGCCGGATTACATTGAGGATGCTTTGGCATTTTTTTCCTGGGCTTCGCCCCTCGCTAGTAGTTATGCTTTGCTTCATAGGATTCGTGTTGGTCAAATATAGTTTGTGATGCTTATTTATTATTAATGAAGGTATAATTTCGGTATCGAGCTGGACTGTAGAAAGGTAAGGACCAGCTTTTCGCGCCAAAACGGACCACACCGATTGAATGGCCACACGGCCAATCAGCGCTGACGCGGTTGCGGTTGGCCCGAACAGGAGGGCGAGGTGGGCACGCTGTACACACGATGCTGCGTCTCGGCAACCCCAAGGGTCTACTCAGAGCATACACACGATGCTGTACTCGATATTGGAGTTCTGTGACTCTGTTGCACCGCTAGTTCCTCTGCTAATCGCACTGTTCCGTGTGGACTCAGAGATGTCGCTTACACTTGAAGATTTGAATGACCCCGAAGAGCGATGTTCGAACAATTCCGGGAGCTGGGAACACCTCCTCGTCTCTGGTAGCAGCATACCCCAAGCGTTTTTCCGAACAAAATGGCAACCAGAATCAATTACCTCATTGAAGGCAACCCGTTACCTCACCTAGAACCTGCTTGTTCCTCACCGCGTTTCTTTTGCTCATTCAGCCACCTCAACCAGCAACTATCAGAACCGTCTTTGCGATCCCGTTGGGCTTGGTTTAGGTTCTATTTTATGCGATATCGCAAGCATCTCTCTTCGCCTTCACGCCGTACACCATTCCTATCGCGTCAATCGTTCCTATGAGTCCACTCAGAAGCCACCTTTTCGTTCACCGTTCCCCTGACATCACGCGTTTTCATTCGTATAAGGCCCCGCTTCTGACCCGCTCGCATCTCTGTCGTAGTCGCTGCTTATCGTCGCAGATCATGACGACGTCGCTGACTGTGATTGTAACGAATAGCCACCCGATCACGTGCAGCAGCGGAAACGGGAGATGCAAGTCAGTGATAAGTAGTAACAACGATAGCAGTAGCACTAGTGAAAGGAACAGCAACATCAATAGCAGTAGCACCAGTGACATACGTATTGTCAGGCTTGGTTCTAGAAGCGTAGGCACGATCGACAGTTATAAACCAGACACTGTAGCGAGAGGCATCGACAAGGCGGCGACCTCTAACGCTAGTTCAAGGACAAAACGCACAGACTTCGCTACAGTCACAGCCACAAACAAGAGCCTTAGAATGTCCGCAACATGTATTCTAAGATAGCACACCTGCTTGAGGTCCCAGGAACTGCCAAACCTGACCACTCCGAGCCTGTCCCTGCCAAACCTGGCTCGCCACGAGGCATGACTGCCGAACCTGCAAGTTCGCGGCGGAGAATAAACAGCTGGTTTCGGAGACTACATAGACCACATAGACTACAGCTTTTTCTTCTACTGTTTATACAAGTGTTCCTTATAAAGCGGACGGCTGCTCAGAACCCTGCGGATGTGGATAAAGCTGCATTGTTGAACTTTAAAGCCCACGTGACAGACGACCCTACAGGTGAGAAAGGCGATACTCGTCATACCCTCTAAAGTGTTCTTCTTTACTGTACATTGCGGCCATCCTCACCCATGCTCCCCGTGTTCTTACCCGCGCTGCTATGCTCTTGACCCATTTTCTCCCCTTTACCTCCCCCTCTTCCCCCCTTTTCCCCCCTCTTCCCCCCCTTCCCCCCTCCCTACTTCCCCAGGTGCGCTTGACAGCTGGAACCCTGACGACCCCGACCCATGCAGCTGGACGGGCGTCGACTGCAACCCCTTCTCAATTCTCCATGTCCTTTCCTCGCTCTCCCAACTCCCCCCCTCCCCTTTCCCACAGGTGCTCTGTCCAACTGGAACCCCAACGATCCCGACCCATGCAGCTGGACAGGCGTAGACTGCAACCCCTTCGCTTTTCTTGTCCCTAACCTTTCGTCGTGCTCATCTCCCCCCACCATCTCCTTCCCCAGGTGCGCTTGACAACTGGAACCCCAGCGATCCCGACCCATGCAGCTGGACGGGCATCGACTGCAACCCCTTCTCTCGCCGCGTCACCTCCCTCTCCCTCCCCTACCGCCACTCTCTCGGGCACTCTCGACCTCCCAGACCCATCCCTCGCCTCCCTCTCCGACCTCCTCCATCTCTCCCTCCCCGGAAACTCCTTCCCAGGCTCCTTCCCCTCCGCCCTCTCTCGCCTCTCCTCGCTTCAAACGTTGGATTTATCAGAAACGGAGCTTTCAGGGGAAATCCACGGAAATACCCTCTCCGCCCTCCGCCGCGTAGCCGTTGTAGACCTTCACAAGAACGCCCTCTCAGGGTCAATACCCCCAGAAATCTCCGCTCTCAACTCTCTAATCAAGCTAGACTTGCGAGAAAACGCCCTCTCCGGCTCCTCCCTTCCGAAATGCAGACACTAGGACAGGTGCAGGACATTTTACTAGACTACAACCAGCTCTCCGGTCCCCTCGCGCCGGCTCTTCTAGTCTCACTCCCGATTGTCCAGACCATCTCGGTCCGTGGGAACGGGTTCGAAGGGGATGTGCCGAAAGAGTTGGGTATGCGCAGCGGCTCTCGAGATTGGATTTGGGTGGGAACAGGCTCACAGGGAGCATTCCCGAGACGTTTGGGCAGATGTGGAGTCTGACTTCTCTTCGGTTGGATTCTAATAACATTGGAGGGACGATTCCGACGAGGCTGAATACGCTGAGCCAGCTGCAGGTGCTGACGCTGAACGGGAATGATTTGGTAGGGGAACTTCCCCGTTTAATGGGCTGGAGAGTCTGGTCCAGTTCGACGTTTCTAATAACAATTTTTGGATCGACACCCACGAAGGGCCGTTAGCGAAGTTCCCTCCATCCTCGTTTGAAGGCAATCCGGGGTTGTGTTATGGGGAGTGTCCGCCCTCCCCCCTTGGTGGTTACCCAGTCCGCCCTTTCCTCCCCCGAGGGCCCCCCCGCCCCCTTTGTCTCCCCATTTCCTCCCCCTCAGATTCTCCCGCTCCCCCCGCCCCGCTGTCTCCCCTCCCCTCCTCCCCCCGTTCAACCTCCCCTCCTTTTCCTTCTCCTCCCCCCCCCCCCTTCGTCCCCCTCCTCTCCCGCCTTTCCCTTCCCCGCCTGTGCTTCTCCTGGCTCCCCCGTTCCCCCCCCAGGCCCTTCCCCCTCGTCTGCGCCAGCTCCCACCCCTGCCTCCTCCCCCTCCCCTGCTCCCGCCTCCTCCCCCTCCCTTCTTCCCGCCTCCCCCCATCCCCCCCCCCCCCCCCCCCCCCCCCCCCCTGCTCCTGCTCCCCTTCTCCCTCCTCCTCTTGCTCCACCGCCCACTTCCCCCCCCCCACCCCCCCAAGCACCCTCTCCTCTCCCCCACTCCTCTCCCTCCCCTCCCACTCCTCCCTCCAACTCCCCACCACCACCACCATCACCACCTCTCGACTCATCTGGAAACCTAGATGTATCCTCTTCCCCCGCCCCTCCTCCCCCCGCTACAAGCACCAACCCCTATAGTAACAACAACCTGGCCTGGTGGCAGCTGCTGGCGTTATGTGCTGCCTCGTTATTAGCAACTCTGCTCTTTGCAGCGCTGTTCACATTCGGCTGCCCGTATCTCTGCGGCATGGCAGCCCGGGCGAAGCATAGGTATAAAGGGGTGCCTACTAACGAGGATGCGGCTCTGAAAGCAGAAGCTGATGCAGCAGCAGCAGCGGCAGCAGCAGCGGCGGCAGGCGGAGGGGCAAGCGCAGGGGCTTATAGCGGGCCATACAGTAACGAGTATGGAATGGAAGGTACAGAGGGAGAAGGAGGAACGGGAGGGGAAGGAACAACAGGAGCAGGAGGAACAGGAGAAGGAGGAGGAGAGGGAGCAGCACTGCTAGGAGCAGCAGCAGCTGCAGGTGCAGTTGGGATAGGCGCCGCCGCTGCTGCAGCAGCCGCCATCGGCTCAAAATCAACTGAAGGAACAGACGAGGATGACTCTAACGAGGATATAGCCATCGCAAATGCCGTAGGGGCAAGGGAAGCAGCAGGGGCAGCAGGAGGAGCAGGAGCAGCAGGGGCGGAGGGAAGCGCGTCGCTGGTAACCATGTTTGACGGGCGGTCGGTGCGTGCATCCGCGTTATTAGCCGCCACGGACGAGTTTGGGGCGAGCAAGATGATCACGCGGGGGCCGGGGCCGAGTGGCAGCACGGCGTTTGTGGCTGACATGCTGGCTGATGGGCCCATGCTCGTGGCTAAGCTACTGCCGACTGTCACGGAGCAAGGGGAAGACGGGGAGGAGTTTCCTGTGCCTATGAACCTCAACATGGAGGTGAGAATACCCGTCTGGGTTGTGAAATTGTGGCTGCTGGTTGTTGGTGTTTTGATGGAGTGGAGGTGAGTTCAGAAGCAATTTGGTGCGAGCAAGATGATCACGAGGGGCCCGGGCCCCAGTGGCAGCACGGCGTTTGTGGCTGACATGCTGGCGGATGGCCCCATGCTCGTGGCTAAGTTGTTACCAACGGTGACCGAGCAAGGCGAGGATGGGGAGGAGTTTCCCGTGCCTATGAATCTGAATATGGAGGTGAGTGCACAATGCAGGCTGGGTTCCAACCGTTGGGGGAAGGTGGGCCGGGCCCCAGTGGCAGCACGGCGTTTGTGGCTGACATGCTGGCGGATGGCCCAATGTTGGTGGCGAAGCTGCTGCCGACTGTTACGGAGCAAGGGGAGGACGGAGAAGAGTTTCCTGTGCCTATGAGCCTCAACATGGAGGTGAGTGCACAAGGCAGGCAGGGGGAAGGTGGGCCGGGGCAAGATGATCACGAGGGGGCCGGGCCCGAGTGTGACCAACGGTGACCGAACAAGGGGAGGATGGGGAGGAGTTTCCTGTGCCTATGAACCTCAACATGGAGGTGAGATTGTAGGCTTGTTGTTGGTGGTGTTTCGGTGGACCTGAAGGCAGGTGGGTGGGCCCGAGTGGCAGCACGGCGTTTGTGGCTGACATGCTGGCGGATGGACCCATGCTCGTGGCTAAGCTACTGCTGACTGTTACGGAGCAAGGGGAAGATGGAGAAGAGTTTCCTGTGCCCATGAGCCTCAACATGGAGGTGAGTGGGAATATCAGTCTGGTTTCTGATGATCCAGAGAAAGAGATGCACTCATATCCGCTGGATCCCCGCCCACATTCCCATCATCCCTGCAGGAAATTTTTTAGTCGACTCAAAACGAGGTGACTTTCAAGTCGACTCAAAAGTCACCTTTTGAGTCGACTCAAGAGATGCACTCATATCCGCTGGATCCCCGCCCACGTTCCCATCATCCCTGCAGGAAATGCGTGTGCTGGCAGGAATTGACCACCCGAACGTGCTGCTTGGTGCTTCACCTAACCACGAGATTTGTTTTCCGTAACCTGCACCCGCATTCTCACTGTGCCGCAGGAAATGCGTGCGCTGGCGGAGATAGACCATCCGAACGTGCTGCCGCTGCTGGGGTGAACTATCTCAGTATCCCATCAATTTTCTTTTCTTTTCTGAATCCGCACCCACATTCTCATTACAGGAAATGCGTGCACTGGCGGAGATAGACCACCCGAACGTGCTGCCGCTGCTGGGGTGCTGGGAGGACGAGATCACTGGCCGGCGCGTGCTGCTCTACGAGCTCATGCCCAACGGGGACCTCAACGATTTCCTGTATGACGAGGTGAGACGGTGCATGCAATGGTGGAGGTCATACGTGAGAGCGAGGGTGCTGCCGCTGCTGGGATGCTGGGAGGACGAGATCACTGGCCGGCGCGTGCTGCTCTATGAGCTCATGCGCAATGGAGACCTGAACGATTTCCTGTATGACGAGGTGAGACTGTGGACGTATGATTGTGGTAGCCTGCTGGCATGGCTGGCATGCAAGCGGTGCTGCTGTATGAGCTCATGCCCAATGGGGACCTCAATGACTTTTTGTATGACGAGGTATGTATGGATGGGCACAAGCACAGTTGTTCACAGCCCCGCCTTTGCTCCTTACTCACAAGCACGGTTGTGCTTACAGCAAGCCCTCTAATGCAGGGTCTGTCACGCTCTCTACATCTTGCCTTTGCTCCTTACTTCCCTTCCTTTCTCCTTCCCCATCAGGAGCTCTCTAAGAATTCCCTCACGTGGGACGCGAGGAAAAGAGTGGCCTTGGGAATAGCCCAGGGAGTGGCCCATCTGCACACGCTCACGCTCCCGCGCCCGCCTGGGTCTCAACTCGCCCCCAACCCGCTCGTGCACGGGTCGCTGCACTCCTCACACCCCCCTCACATTGCGTCTTCTCCGTTCCCTCCTTCCGTTCCCCCTTCCATTGCCTTCTCCAACAGGAGCTCTCAGAGAACTCGCTGACATGGGACGCGAGAAGAAGGGTGGCTCTCGGCATAGCCCAAGGTGTCGCGCATCTGCACACGCTCACTCTCCCGCGCCCGCCGGGGTCTCAACTCGCCCCGGACCCGCTCGTGCACGGGTCGTTGCACCCGGGGAACATTCTCCTGGGGGATGATGGAGAGGCAAGATTGACCGACACTGCTGGCGCTCGTATCGCGTTTGACTCGGATGATGTGCACGTGGCTCCTGAGACGCTGGGGTATACCCCTCCTGGTGAGTGTCAGAGCAAGGGTTAAGACAGCGCAAGGTGAGTGCATGGTGTGGGGTAAGACGACCCTTGGTCTGGGTGAATGTGCCACCCCCGACCCTCTCGTGCACGGGTCGCTGCACCCGGGGAACATCCTGCTGGGGGATGATGGGGAGGCGCGGCTTACAGATACAGCAGGGGCGCGCATTGCCTTTGACTCGGATGACGTGCACGTGGCTCCTGAGACGCTGGGGTACACCCCTCCTGGTGAGTGCTTGTGAGGGGTGAAACTGCTCTCGAGTGCAGTTTCTCCCCTCCAGGTGCGGTGTAAGATGACCAATGGTGAGTGCCTGGTATCTGAATAGGGATAGGCGGCAGGCAGCAGATTGTTTTTGAGAATTCTCAAAAACAATCTGCGGTGTAAGGTGACCGTTGGTGAGTGCCTGGTATCTGAATAGGGATAGGCGGCAGGCAGCAATGCTCTCTCTCCCTCTCCCTGCCTCTGCCCCCTTCCCCCTTCCCTCCGCACCCTCGTCTGCCTCCTGGCTTTGCCCATCCACCCCCCTCCGTTTCCAAGGTACATGTCAGGCCCCACCACAGCCACCCCAGAGGGCAATGTGTTCAGCTTCGGAGTCATTCTCTTGGAACTCCTAACCGGCCGCCCACTAGACCCGTGGTTTGCAGAGAACGAGCTGGGGGACGTGATCGGGTGGGTGAACGTGTGCGTGGAGGAGGGGGCGGCGGGCACCAAAGCTCACTGCCTCCCTGCCACTGCACCCTTCCCCCTTCCCCTTTCCCTCCCTCCGTACCCCTTCTCCGTCTCCCTAGAGTACATGTCGGGTCCTACAACAGCCACACCAGAAGGCGATGTGTTCAGCTTTGGGCTTGTGCTCCTCGAGCTATTGACAGGGAGGCCGCCTTTAGACCCGTGGTTCGCTGAAAACGAGCTGGGGGACGTGATCGGGTGGGTGAACGTGTGCGTGGAGGAGGGGGCAGCAGGCTCCAACACTCACTCCCTCTCTTCCTCTGCCTGCTTTTGCCCCTTTCCCCCTGTACCCGTCCTCCAGAGTACATGTCAGGCCCCACAACTGCGTCTCTGGAAGGCGATGTGTTCAGCTTCGGCGTCGTTCTCTTAGAGCTCTTGACCGGCCGCCCGCCTTTAGACCCGTGGTTTGCGGAGAATGAGTTGGGGGACGTGATCGGGTGGGTGAACGTGTGCGTGGAGGAGGGGGCGGCGGGGGACGTGTTGGACCCGCGCGTGGCAGACATAGCGGAGTGTGAGGGCGAGATGCTGGAGGTGCTTAAGATTGCGCTCGTATGTGTGGGGGAGGAGGCGGAGGAACGGCCATCCATGACAGACATAGTTGCGATGCTGGAGAGAGTTGGGGAGGAGGACAGTGGGTAGCAGGGTCTCCACTCGCAGAGCAGCATGCAGGAGGACAGGAGGAGGGCAGGAGGGTAAGAGGAGGGGAGGAGGGGGCGGCGGGGGACGTGTTGGACCCACGCGTGGCGGACATAGCCGAGTGTGAAGGCGAGATGCTGGAGGTGCTTCGGCAGCAGAACTACCGTAGCTGTGGGAACGGTAGCAACTGGTGGCTGACGTTTCCACAGGCTTACTAACAGGGTTTGATATTTGCACGCAGCGTGGTTGCAAAATGCATTGCAGCAGCCGCAGCAGCAGCAGCAGCAGCCACAGCAGCCGCAGGTCCACACTTTACTTTCTATCACCTACTCTGCTGCTAGCTGTCATCTGGGTGCGGGCCTCATTTAACATGATCATAGAACATTTGCCAGAAACGTGTGTGCAGTAAGCTGCATTACAACAGCCCAACCTTATTACCCGTCATACCCCGGATAGAAGCGCAGGCCTCGGATAAGCGCCGGCGCTTATAAAGGGATGAGGGCGCTTATATCCGGTCCTCGATTATAAGCGCACCCCCTAAAAATGTATGAGTTATTATAAGCGCATGTCGAATATTATCTGAAAATTAGAACGACACAGAAACGAATTTCACCTTACCAGGGAAGCGAAGTACAGTTCCACTTTCCCACTTGCTGCGCGTCTAGTCAGCACGCGCTGTCGCTTAGTCAGCATGTGTTGGCAGGGAATCAATCCCTGCCAAGTTGCTCGAGAGTCAAATTCGCGACCCCATATTTTCTCGACTCGATTACTGAGAACGAAATCTACAGTTTGGTGTTAAAAAAAAACTTTATTTCATTTCGCCGTTATATAAACGCCGGCGCTTATAAATTTCCTCAATTATAAGCGCACCCCCTAACAAACTGTGTTTTATTACAACCCCAGTGGCGCTTCTATCCGGGGTATGACGGATAAGGCCACTTCTAAACATTGAGGTGCTCCAATATTTACAAGTTGAGATGAAACCCTCCCCTCCCACCACAGCTCCAGAATTCGATCGGAATCCATTCACATGCTGTCCTGCGTCTCAAGAATCCGGAATATTATCTACAAATGGACAGACACGCGGGCAGCCTCAGCGGCACCAGCATTCATCATGCCAGGCGAAGTCAAGCTAGCTCGTAGATGAATGAAGTCTCTTGCACGTGCTGGTTACCAGGATTCACTTTCTTTCGCCAAGCTTCTGTCCACTTCTGCACACAAACGAGCGACAGTAGGTGACGGGAAAATGAGAGGAACACGAAGTCACAGACAAAGATCACCTCAACGGTGGAGATATTAAAGTGGTCTGTGACACTGGCGTAATAGCAAGGATCTGCAACAACACAATATCCGAAAAGGCCGATCACCTCTTTCGAGTCTTCTCGCCGTCTTTCTGCCAAATCCGCAAAAGAGGTCAGTAATAAGGCTACAAGGGGCAGCAACCCTCAACGACAAACAAACAAGGCCAAGATTTCGCTGCGCTTCGAGAACCAATTATTTCTTGGAGCTCAATTGGTTACTAACATGAATCGCGTAGGAAGTGCCGATTGAAACCACGGCGACAGCAGAAGCCATGCCCAGAGTAGCCGTTGCCAGGTTCCACCGTCGAACACTGTTAGGCATGAGGGTCGGCATTCTCACGTTTCCTCTGGCGTTTTACTGACAAGAATATTTAGTCACAAGCGACGCGCAACGGAAATAAACTAAAAGCTGTCGCGTATTCGGTGTGAGCGGAAGGAGAAAAGGCTTGGAGAAGCTTGAAAAGGGAAGCTGGAAGCAGAACGAGTGAATTTGAGTGTGAAATCGATTGCGGAGGGATTTTAGAGTTGTGTCGAATGTTGGAGGGGGGAGGAGAGGAGAACAGGCAAAGTTTCTCGGGCAGAACGGCTGCCGCGAAAAATAGATGATGTGGCTCGAGAGCAAGCTGGAGAAAGCAATGCAGGCTTCTGCTGTTAGTAGGCTGCGCTCTCCCGTGGTGGGGGGCTTCATTTCGGCAAGGCACAGCAGCCAAAGGGGGACCACAATATTTACGAATACCTATTCGTCTGCTTGTAAATTTGCAGCGGCGGGACCACGTGACGGAAGTTGATACAAAAGCGCATGGCTGATTCCACGTCACCATAATTTCGTGCTGAGTCCGCGACGGAAATTCCACGTGTCGTCTAGAGCTCCTCCACCTCACGCAGACCCGAGCACGACGCAGCGCGAAGCGGCTCGCAAATGCACGAAATTTCACATTGCATTGCACGACTGCAAATCAAACATGCAAAACATATTCCCCCATACTCCCACCCCACACATCAGTTTCTGGTCTGGACTACGGATAGTCGATGGAGGGCTCCTTTCCCTATGTATTGCGTGCTTTTGTGCGTCTAGTTGCAACTTTAGGACCTTGAAATGTAATCGCTGACGCATTGGTGATGCCCATCTTATCTTTCACTCTTACAGGCAATAATGGTGTCTCTCGAAACGAGCGACGATGATGTAAACACACATGGTGCTGCATAGAATAGTTTAGTCATCCTGAGAGGCGTAGCGTTAGCGTTAGCGTTAGCGTTAACGTGACAACAGCACGCACTCTCTCTGGCGCTTTCCTCCGCTTTAACGCACGTCAGAAATCGCTTGCATGCTCAGGAGTCAGGCGGTCCCTTCCCTCTCACAACCACTTTTCCGTCATGCCTTTTACCTCTCTCCTCCCGCTGCATGTCCCCATGCACGGCCGTCTCGACGCCCTGTCTTCGTCGAGGCGCCAAACAAAACATCAACTTCACCTTGATGTTGCAAGAATGGGCGAGGCGGCCTTCTTGCTCCGTTTGCATCCCCTGTCGCACCTTCCCCGGGATGCAGCATCTTCCTGCGCACGTTACGCTACTTTTCCTCGCCGCTCCCCCGGTTTCAGCTTTCTCGAGCCATGAGATTTCGTTTCATCCCCAAGAGGCTCATGCGTTCAACCCTCCCCCTGGCATGAAATATTTTACTCAGTCAGAATCACCCTTTTCACGAGGCTTTCGGCTTCGTTAGTCTTCGGCGATAGTATCAGTTTCGGCCCTCGGTAATTAGTCCTTTCGACGTTCTGCACAATCCTTATATTGAATCAATAAGTCGGCTCTTCGAAATCCGTCGCCATGACGAAGCTCTCCTCTCATGCGTTCGCGTCGTCGCTCGCCCGCCAGGTCGCTCGTTTCTTCGCGGCGTCGTCGCACTCAGCTGAAGCGGCGACGGCGGGTGCGGCGGCTGCGGCATCGCCGGTTCCCAAGCAGCAAGCGCTCCGCGCCACGGCGGCGACTTCTCACTGGAACGATCTCGGCGAGAGCTCGTCTGCCCGCAGCAGCGGCAGCGCGCGTTCGCTGCATGGCCAGGTGAACACGCCACTGCCGCTGCAGCCGCCGCCGCCGCCGCCGCCGCCGCCGCCGCCGCTAGCGCTGGCGCCACAGCAGCAGCGGCAGCAGCCTTCCTTCACTCGCATCGGCGCGACGAGCAGCTTCACCACCGCTCGCGGCGTCGCGTCGGATGCTGCGGCGCAGAAAACGGCGCGCGGGGCAGCGGCGGCGCGGGCGCCGCCGCCCACGAAGGAGTGGCACCTGGTGCCGCTGGGATTCCGCCCCGCGCACGCCGTCCCGCTGCAGGAGCGCATCGAGGAGATGTGGGAGTCGCGCGTCAGGCGGGAGGTGCGCCACATGGGACGGGAGGGAGTGGAAGGGAGGGTGGAGCGGAAGAGGAAGGGCGAGGGCGCGGAGGAGAGCGGCAAGGAGGAGGAGCGGCGCGAGCTGGAGGCGCTGAACTGGGCGTTCAGTCAGCTGCCCGTGTCCGTGTTCCCGTGCCAGCACAAAGGTTTGCCAAATTGCCACTCTACAACTTTCTAGGCGTCTCAGAGCGTTCTCTCAACTGCCCATGTCCGTGTTCCCGTGCCAGCATGAATGTTCGTCCTTCTTCTTGACAGACGCTCTTATAAGTTCTTGTGCACTCTTTACCGCTCCTGTGCACTCTTCTACTCCCGAACGCTCCTATCTCTTACCATAAGTTTCTCACCTTCCTCTTGTGCTCCCGTCCCCTCTCTCCTCCCCTTCAGTGCTCGAAATCCCCCTCCAACGCCCATCTGTCGGACGCTCTGCGCATGCTGCAGCATGCGGGCTCCTCTCAGCAACGCCAGTCAGGGACGCAGCGGCTGGGCAGTTCGCGCTTCACGTATACTGCCCCTCCTTTAAGTCTGTCTTCCTGCCCTTTCCCATCTTTCCTGCCTTTCCTGCGTTTGCTCTTCTTCCCGTCCCTTCCCGCTCCAGTGCTCGAAATCCCCTCCAACGCCCATCTGCCGGACGCTCTGCGCATGCTGCAGCATGCGGGCCTCACAGCAGCGCCAGTCAGGGACGTGGGTTTGGTGCATGACACCCCTCACATATTCCATCCCTCTTTTCCCTGCCCTTCCCTACCTTCACCCCTCCTTCCCTTTCTTCCCCCTCTCCCCTTCCCTTTCCTCCTCTCGCCCACTCCTTTTCCTCAGTGCTCGAGGTCCCCTCCAACGCCAAACTATCAGACGCTCTGCGCATGCTGCAGCACGCGGGCCTCACAGCAGCGCCAGTCAGGGACGTGGCGGTGGGGGATGACGCGCCTCTGCAGCAGCGGTACCTGGGCATGGTGGATGGCGCTGGAATCGTGCTGTGGGTCATGGGGCAGGTGAGGCGTGAGGTAGGTGAGCGAGGGGGGTGATGGGTTATGGGAAGGTCTACCCGGCCCTCACAGCAGCGCCAGTCAGGGACGTGGGGGTGGGGGACGACGCGCCCTTGCAGCAGCGGTACCTGGGCATGGTGGATGGCGCTGGGATTGTTCTCTGGGTCATGGGGCAGGTGAGACAAGGGGGGTGATAGGTTAAGAGAAGGTCCACCCGGGTGTCATAGCAGCACCCGTCAGGGACGTGGGGGTGGGGAACGATGCGCCTCTGCAGCAGCGGTACCTGGGCATGGTGGATGGTGCGGGGATTGTGCTGTGGGTGATGGGGCAGGTGAGGAATGGGGGCGATGGGGTTGGTGAGGCATTGGGCAGGTGAGGCATGGGGCCCGGCAGGTGTGGGACATGTATACCTGTGCGTGGCTTCACTCATTGTCTTCCTTTGGAACTCCCCTCCGCTCCGCCCTCCGCACTTCCCCAGCTCAACCGATCTTCCATTGAGGTTCGCATGGAGGCAGCAGCAGGAGGAGGGCTGGCAGGACTAGCAGTGGCAGGGCTGGGCGCAGCATCAGTGGAGCAAATGTCTGAAATACTGCCCCATGCCCATTCGCCCCTTCCCCAGCTCAACCAATCTTCCATTGAGGTTCGCATGGCGGCAGCAGCAGGAGGAGGGCTGGCGGGAATGGCGTTTGGAGGGCTGGGAGCAGCAGTGCTGGGCGCGCCAGATGTCGCCACGCTGGCAGCCATGTGGGCAGGATCGATGGCGGGAGGTCTGCTGGGCGCCACGTCAGCAGAGGCGCCAGGGGAGGGGGAGGCGGGGGGAGGGGTGGAGCGCCTGAGGGTGTCGGCTGGGGGACTGGATCGTCTGCTGCAGGGGAGTCTGTTTCAGACTGCCAAGGTGAGAGTAAGGGGAGGGGACATGGGAAACAAGGGGAGCGTGGGAATTCTGGGGGACATGGGGGAGGGGTGGAGCGAGGGTGTCTGCTGAGGGGCTGGATCGGCTGCTGCAGGGGAAAATGTTTCAGACGGCTAAGGTAAGCTTTTAGTGTGGGGGCTGGGGCAAGGAAGTAGGGGGGGCGTGGGGGCTTGGGGCATGGGGAAGGATAGAGCGAGTGAGAGTGTCAGCAGGCAGGCTAGATTCGCTCCTACAGGAAAACGTGATTCAAACTGCCAAGTCACCCCCGCTCCTCCCTCCTTCCTCCGTTTCCTTTTCCACCCCGCTGGCGCTCCTCATTTGAGGCGTGCAAAATGTCTTTTACCCCGCTACTTCTACTGGTGCTCGCATCGCTTGCCCTACTCCTCCTCTCACAGGTGTCGGACCTGGTGGGTTCGCTTGCAAGATTTCTTTTTCCCCGCTACTTCCACAAGCGCTCCTCATTTGAGGCTTGCCCTACTCCTCTCACAGGTGTCTGACCTGGTGGGCTCCTTCCGCTGGCGCTCCTTCCTGCCCCTCGCTTCCTCCGACTCTGTCCTCTCTCTCATGCTCCTCCTCGCCATGCCCCACCGCCCCCAAGTCCTTCCCATCGTCACCTACCCTCCCACCTCCTCCGCTCCCTTCTCCTCCTCTCCCTCCTCCGCCTCTCCCACCTCATCTCCCGGGCCTGCAGCCGCAACTTCGTCGGCAGGCTCGGGGCCAGCCGCGGTGCCGAGCCTGTCAGCTCTGGTGTCGCAGGCGGATGTGGTGAATTTCCTGGCGGAGTGTGACGGGCAGCCGTGGTTTGAGTGGGTGGCGGGAAGGAGTCTGCAAGACATGGGGCTGCCAAGAATGGGTGCAGAAGCAACTGTGAAGGTGAGTTGAGTTGTTAAGGTCCTTCAAATATGACGGGCAGCCGTGGTTTGAGTGGGTGGCGGGGAGGATTCTGCAAGCCATGGGGCTGCCAAGAATGGGTGCAGAAGCAACTGTGAAGGTGAGATGAGTTAAGGATATTGAAGTGTGACGGGCAGCAGTGGTTTGAATTGGTGGCAGGGAGGAGACTGAAAGACATGGGGCTGCCAAGGATGGGTGCTGAATCGACTGTGGAAGTGAGACTGGGTGCAGTCTCTTGGAGTGTGATGGGCAGCCTTGTTCGAGTGGGTGGCGGGCAGGAGTCTGCAAGACATGGGGGGGCTGCCACGAATATGGGTACAGAAGCAACTGTGAAGGTGAGACTGGGTGAAGTCTCTTGGAGTGTGAGAGGCAGCCTTGTTTGAGTGGGTGGCGGGGGAGGAGACTGAAAGACATGGGGCTGCCAAGAAGGGGTGCAGAATCGACTGTGAAGGTGAGACTGAGGGTTCAGTAGTGTGAGTGGAACAAAGCTGTTGGTAGAGAAAGGGCTGGACTGCTGGTGCTCTATTGCTGTTTCGCAATTTCATGAAGAAAGAAGAAACACCTGTGCCAGCCGGGAATCGAACCCGGGTCTGCACCGAACTGATGGCAGGGTGCTATTCTACCACTAGACCACTGGCACTGAGCAGATGTTTTTGAAATTCCTTGAAATTATATTGTAGGTGTTACTACGGTTTCGGTCTTTCACTTGTGATGTGAGGACTTCTGGGAACAATGGAAGAGTTTATGGTCAAGGTGAGTGCATGACTTCCAGGGTTAGTTTCTGGGTGAAGACGACTAGAAGCACGTGGAGTATGGTTGGAAGGTAAGTGTGGTTAGGCAAAATTGAGTGGACAACATCATGTTTATGATGCACCTGCCACAATGACTCGCCAAGGTGAGATCAGCTACTTCAGATCAGGTTGAGATTGAATGACAAAGGTGCATTCAGGGATATCAGTGGGTGATGGAATTTTTTAAACTCATATGTTTGTGTAACGAGGTGGCTACCATATGGGAGGCGACGTCTGCTGTGGCAAGAGCTTTTACTGCGACTATGGGTAATTGTTGTGTCGTTCAAAGGAATCAAGAAAAAGGGCCTTGTGCCAGCGGGGAATCGAACCCGGGTCTGCACCGTGCTGATGGCAGGGTGCTATTCTACCACTAGACCACTGGCACTGATCAAATACTTCTTGGGATTCTAGCGTTGTTCACGTGTGGGTCACACAAGGACTGATTCGCTGTGATTTCTGCCTGTTGGTAATCACAACAGCAGCTGAATGGCAACACGCTGATAGCAGAAGGATGGGTAGGGAGGCTGAGTGTTAAGAGTCAATGCCATGATGTTTGAGTCACACATGGCGGCACCAACCTCCTATGTTGCAAAATACGCGTTTCACGTACCAGTCGCGTACGTACTGTACGCTCACGTACGTACGTGATACGGGCGATTTCAGCCCCACGATACGCTCGAAATACGGTCGCCCGGGCAGGTGAAAAAAAAGTTCCGGGCAGGGAAAAAAAGTATGGGGGGGTGAGTCACGCTGCCTATGTTCATTTTGACCTTGTGCAGTTGCGCCTCCGAAGTCGAGGCAGAAGGATCACTATGCTGAGTAGACGGACCAGAAGGCTGAGTGTGGTTAGAAGGGACTGGAGTAGACATAGCTCAACACTGAACTGAACAGGAATGAGAGATGTGTTGTGGTGGGGTCAATTATACCTACCACGAATTGGTTGCGGGGTGGGGGACGTGCTCTGGTTGGTCACGAGTTGTTGGGGGTGATTGGGCAATGTTGAGTTTCGTGGGGTGAACGTGGCGATTCGGTTTTGCACGTCCACAGGTTGGAAAAACGCGACCCGAAATGTCGGAATACGTGCGTACGGAAAAAGCGCGAACTTTATTTTTTTTTTTTGAATTTTTTTTGCCCTGCCCGAATTCACGTATCGCGTATTTGTCCCCGTTTCACGTTTTCCCGTTTATACGTGAACGCATATACGCGATACGTTAAATTTCAAAAGCGTATAGTGCAACATAGCCAACCTCAGCACTTGCTTCTTGGGTCACTTTTGAGGGACTTCAAAAGTGCAAGCCGTCCCAATCATAATGTGGTGCACATTTAGGGACGGAGATGCATGGGGCTGATGAGGAAGAAGACGGCAGAATCAGTGGTTCAGGTGAGGGACATGGGAGATGTAAAGGCTGACATGGGTGAAAGGTAGGAGCAAGTGGAGGGGCTAGGGACTTCGGATCATAGATGACAGAAGAGGCGTTTAATGGCGCCAAGGAAGGGACGGTAAGGGATGAGAGTGGAGTAAGTGGTCGTTCAGGTGAGAGCATGGCTTTAAGGTGGGTGTGCAGGTGGCAGAAAATTAGCGCCGATGGAATAGAGTAAGGGATTTCGCTGTATGGGATGGTGGTTGGGCTGACCTGAGCAGAGAGGAAAATCCGGAAAATGGGGTGTCACGGGTGAGTTGGTGCATCCGGGAAATGGGGGTGTCATGTGTGAGTTGGTGCATGTTATGCAAGGTGTAATGCGGGTAGGTGTGGTGATGATGAGACCAGCTGTGGGAAGGGGTGGTGATGGTGAGACCAGGTTTGGGAAAGGGTGTTGATGGTGAGACCAGGTTTGGGAAGGGGAGGTGATGGTGAGACCAGGTTTGGGAAGGGGTGGTGATGGTGAGACCAAGTTTGGGAAGGGGTGGTGATGGTGAGACCAGGTTTGGGAAGGGGTGATGGTGAGACCAGGTTTGGGAAGGGGTGGTGATTGTGAGACCAGGTTTGGGTTGGGAAGGGGTGGTGATGGTGAGACCAGGTTTGGGAAGCGGTGGTGATGGTGAGACGAGGTTTGGGAAGGGGTGGTGATGGTGAGACCAGGTTTGGGAAGGGGTGGTGTTTGTGAGACTAGGTTTGGAAGGGGAGGTGATGGTGAGACAGGTTTGGGAAAGCGTGCGAAAGGAGTTTAGTGGTTGAAAGGAAGGTTAGTGGTTGAGAGGAAGGTTAGTGATTGGGAGGAAGGTTAGTGCATAAGCTGAGACGAGGTTCAGGAAGCTGTGTGAAGGGTTAGTGGGTGGGAACTTATGATTTAAGATATGATTTGGGAGGATTGAGATCGGTCTTCAAAGCTCATCTTCATAGTGTGAGGCAAGTGTTAGTGGCACAGGCTTTCTTGGGCGTCCAACGGGATGGCCCAGTTTGAGGCGAAAAAACAAAACGCGTCGTGTGCCAGCCGGGAATCGAACCCGGGTCTGCACCGTGCTGATGGCAGGGTGCTATTCTACCACTAGACCACTGGCACTAGGCAGATGTTTTGTTGAGCAAGTCTCAATTGTTCGACCGCTACACAGCTCCTCAGACCTTGGTGCTGCTCATGCTCCACTGAGTTTTTCCTCTTCTGCACGCGTTATGGTGGCAGGTGGAAGAGTCAGACCCGGTAATGGAGCCTTTCCGTCTGATGCTGCAGCATGACATCGGCGGAGTGCCCGTGGTGGCGCCCGGAACCAATCGCATCACGGCAAATGTCAGTGCGAGGGACATTCTGCAGCTGCTGACATCACCACACCTTGCAGAGCAACACCACCTCAAGTATGATGCCGCCATTGTGTCCCTCGTTCCATTGCAGTTCGGAAATTTCGCAATTTCTGCACCTGTTTCCTGCTGTTTCTGTGAATGTCACCGAGTTATTTTCCCTTGTACACTCACTTCTCCATTATCCCTGGATTCACCCCCCCGCCTTCCCCCCTTGCCCCTACTCATCCCCAAACCGCCCACTGTGGCAAATTTGATGCACGAAGCGCAGCTCATTCACATGTTCTCCTCCTCTCTGTCACCCCTCGCCCCCAATGGGCCCCACTTTCCCCCCTTTCCCCCAGGCCGCTCATAGTGGTGGATTGGTGCACAATGCGCGGCACATTCACATTATCTCATTTCCCTCCCATCCCCGTGCCCCCCCATTCTCCCCCAGGCCGCTCACAGTGGCTGATCTGGTGCACAATGCGCAGCGACAACACCTCCCCACCACTCCCCCCCCCTCGCATTCCATTTTTTCCGCCCCCAACCCACCTTCCCCCCTCCTCCAGGCCGCTCACGGTGGCGGATCTGGTGCACGACGCACAGAGGCCGCATCACGGCGCTGCTGACGTCATCTGGCCCATCATGGTGCCGCCCGTGACGTGCCGCCCGTCCACGCCACTGCGCGAGGTGATCCACGCGTTCCGGGTGGCACGCGTGCATCGCATCTACGTCACACGAGAGGAGGGAGAAAGAGGGGAAGGAGGAGAACTGCTGGGAGTGGTGACTCTGCGGGATGCGATTGGGAGGTTTCTGGTGCGGCAGGAGGAGGAGGGAGAGACGAGGGGAGAGAAGGTAGAGGAGCTGGTGCCGGCCAGCACTGAGGTTGGTTCCGATGGTCTCATCCTGTAGGGGCCTGAGAGGAGGTTGTTCGGGGAGGAAAGAGCAAGCGGGTGGTATGCCGCTGGTCCGCCTCAGTGCGCGAGGTGATCCAGGCATTCCCGGGCACGCATGCACCACATCTACGTCACACGGGAGGAGGGGGAGGGTGACAGTGTCAGAATCTAGCAGCAGGAACCAATAAACTAGCAGCATGCAGGAGTACAAGTAGTAAACCCTAATTGGGTTGTACCCCATATGGGCTACCCCACTACAGCCTAGACAATATCCAGCATATATGTTTGACACACCCCCATAGGCAAAGTGGGGGAGAACAAGGGGTCAAACGACCAGTCAAGAGAAGCAAAGCAAGCTCAGGGTGGATCTCAACGTCACCACACATTCTGAGCACAAGCAAAGGGCCACAAGGCCAGTCCACATGCAGAGATATATATGCAACAATAACAGTACAGTGATGACTACCTAGCAAGAGCAGGCATGCAAGTATATATATAGATCACAGTACAAGCAGAAACTACAGCAAGTGTGGAAGCGTAGGCACAAGGCCTAACAGGGTACAAAAGCGCTGATGATCACCAGACGAAAGTGCCTTGGTGAATATATCAGCAGTGTTGGCCCGAGTGGCCACGTGACGAAGACGAAGCTGGCCTCGCTGCTGCAACTCTCGAGCCAGGAAGTAACGCAGAGCAATGTGCTTCGTTCTGTGCTCCAGTCTGTGCTCCTCACACAAGGCAATGGCGGCCTTGTTGTCGACGTACAGCACTGGAGGAGAACGAAGCTGCTCTCCCAAGTCAGTCAGCAGGTAGGTGAGCCAGCGTAACTCCTGTGCAGCCATGGCTGTGGCGTAGATCTCAGCCTCACAACTGGAGCTGAGAACTGAAGACGAGCGTGTAGAACGCCACGAAACTGAACCAGAGCCAAGGCTGAAGGTGTAACCCTGTGACGACCGCTGAGTAGCCAGGTCGTCAACCCAAGAAGCGTCTGAGTGCCCAGTGAGGACAACTGGGCTCGTCCCTCCAAGCACTAGCCCCATGCCTGATGTGCTGCACAAGTAGCGCAGTACCCTCTTAGCAGCAGCCATGTGCTCAGGTCGGTGCCGACCAGGAGCCACGTAGCGAGCCAGAAGACCAAGAGGGTACGCGAGGTCAGGTCGAGTGCAAGTCATCAGGTACATGAGGCAGCCGACTAGCTCTGGGTAAGGACCACTCGGCTCTACGGACTCGTCCGAAGGTGGAGCTGAGAGCGTGTGACCTGTAGCCAGAGGAGTGGCCTGTGCTGAAGACCAGGTGAAGCCGAAGCGCTGAAGGACCTGCTGCACCATGTGTGACTGAGTCAAGGTGATGGTGCGGCGTGCTCTGTCCCAGGTGATCTGCAAGCCAAGGTAGCTGCGCAGCTCACCCAAGTCTGTGCACGTGTATCTCTTCTGCAGCTCCGACTTCACGTGGGCGAGAGCCTCAGTGTCAGCAGTGGCAAAAACCAAGTCGTCGACGTACACGAAGATGTAGAACGGCGGCAGTGAAGTGTCGGTGCGCAGAAACAGCGACGGGTCAGCAGTAGAAGGCGCAAACCCAAGAGCCGCAAGCGTAGTCCTCAGTGTGTCGTGCCACTCACGTGGCGCCTGGCGGAGACCGTAGACCGGCCGCCGGAGGCTCCACTGGGTGCCAGGAGGGAACGACCCAGTGAAACTCGGGGGGCGGTGCAGCCAGATCTCCTCGTGCAGGCTGCCCTGTAAGAAAGCTGTGCTGAAGTCAAGAGAGTGAAGCTCGTAGTCACGGTGAGCAGCAACATGCAGCAGCACCCGAAGAGTGGTCATCTTCGGGGTGGGGGAGAAGGTCTGGAAGAAGTCAACTCCCTCTCGCTGACTGAAGCCTCGAGCCACGTAACGCGCCTTGAAGACAGGCGGAGAACCCGGCGGCCGCTTCACCCTGAAAATCCACATGCCACTGACGATGTTCGCCCCAGGTGGAGGAACCTCGTCGACATAGGTGCCTGTGGACTTCCAGGAAGCCATCTCTGCGTCCATGGCTGCCTGCCACTGAGAGGAGTAGGGACCCTCTATCGCCTCTGCGTAAGAGCGCGGAGTCGGGATGTCTGGTGCATCCAGGTCTCCCTCAGGGGCAAGTAGCGAGGACACAAGATGAGGTAAAGCAGCAGCAAGACACTGGAACTCCTCCTGCCTGTCCTCAAGGACGTCCGTGCTAAGAGCACACTCACCCCCGACGGACGGAGGACAGACAGACTCAGACTCAGTAACAAGACTGGCAGTGAAGTCTAGACGACAGGCAGCAGCAAAGTCAACAAGCTCAGCGACAAGAGCAGACGCAGCAGCAGACTCAAACGACGGGTCAGTGACAACTGTGGCTAGTAGACGCGTGACAGTAGGGTGCTCAGCACGAAACCGGTCAGACGCAGGGTCCGGAACGTCAGGCAACGAGGACGCAGGAGGAGACGGCAGAGGAACAGGCTGCGGAGCAGAGGAAGGACGACGGACTACGAGGTGTGCGCTGGGGACAGCCGGCTGACGCGAACGAGGAACACGACGACCGGTACGACTAGGACGAACAGGCGAAACAGGACGCGACGCAGGCTCATGACGCTCAGCAGGACTACCAGTCTGCACAGTGTAAGGAGAAGGAGCAGGCAGCGGTGAGCCAGACTGTAACGGAAGACCAGTAGACGACGGAAGAGTAAGAACCTGACGAAGAACAGAGTCAGACGGCGGCAGAGACGACGGAGACGGCGGAGCGAAGAACCGTCGTGTCGGCGCAGCTGCACCAGGACCGGCAGCTCCAGCAGCTCCAGTGCCTCCAGCAGCTCCAGTACCTCCAGCAGCTCCAGAAGCTCCAGTCCCAGAGCCGACACCTCCAGCCCCAGGGTCTCCAACCTCTGTGTCTCCAGCAGCAGCACCCCCAGAACCAGCACCTCCAGTCCCAGGGTCTCCAGCCTCAGTGTCTCCAGCAGCAACACCCCCAGAACCAGCACCTCCAGTCCTAGGGTCTCCAGCCTCAGTGTCTCCAGCAGCAGCACCCCCAGAGCCAGCACCTCCAGTCCCAGGGTCTCCAGCCTCAGTGTCTCCAGTACGAGCACCTCCAGAACCAGCGACTCCAGCACCTCCAGTAGACAAAGGTCCAGCACCACTCCTAGCTCCAGCAGCGCGACGCTGACGGCGACCGTACCAGTCCTGCAGCTGCTGTGGGGTGAGAGGCACACGTGGACGAAGGCGGCTACTCCAAGGAGACCGCGCAACAGCAGACTCAGAACCCTCAGCGCCCGCACCCCCAACGGCTCCAGAACCTCCGGTGTCAGTACCCTCAGCACCTGTACCTCCAGCGGCTCCAGAACCTCCAGCGCGAGCACCCTCAGCAGCTCCAGAACCTCCAGCTCCAGCACCCTCAGTAGCTCCAGAACCTCCAGCGTCAGTTTCGCCAAGCTCAGCACCCCCAGACCCCTCACACTCAGGCTCAGCACCACCAGGCTCCACACCCTCAAGCTCCGCACCCTCAGGCTCAGCACCCCTAGAAGTAGCACCCCGAGAAGGACCACCCTCAGTAGGACCTGAGTCACCAGTGACCTCAACCGGCGCAGTCAAGGGAGGAGGGTCTACCTGAGAAACACCTGAAGGAGCAGGACCAGGAGTGGGGAGGGGGTCTACCTGGGGAGCACCTGGAGCGAGGAAGAGCGGCGGGGGGGGGAGCGGGGCAGTGCGGTAGGGGAAGAGACGGTAAAAGGGAACCGACTCGTCGAACGTGACGTCCTGAGACGCAAAGACACGGCGCGAGGTGGGATGGTAAAACTGCCAACCAGGCGCGTCAGGGACAAAGCCAAGGAAGACACAGGGAACAGCGCGGGCGGAGAGCTTGTCCGCGGTGGTATCGCGGACAAAGGCACGAGCACCCCAGACCCGGAAACGCGACGCATCACCAACCTTCCCCGTCCACAGCAGTGTGGGCGAGGTCTCCGGCAAGGAGACACGGGGCCAGAGGTTGAGCTGATGCGCGGCGTACCGGACCGCAAACGGCCACAGGAAATGGGGGGCAGCCGCATGGATCATGGAGGTACGAGCGACCTCCATGACTAAGCCAATGCGACGCTCAGCAACCCCATTCTGCTGTGGAGAGGCCGGAAGCGTGAACGACTGGGTGATGCCGTGCTCCGCACAGTAGGCTGCCAAGAGGTCAGAGGAGAACTCACCACCTCTGTCAGAGTGCAGACGCAGGACAGGAAAGTCCCGCCGGAACCGCTCGCGGAGCTGGAGACGAACAGCGCGGATCCAAGGGATCAAAACATCAGGGACGTCCCCCTTGCTCTGCAAGGGGAAGACCGTGGTGTAACGCGTGTAGTCGTCGACGACCAGCAGGAAGTACCGCTCGCGGCCCTGTCCCTGGACGCGGGCTGGGCCCCACACGTCCAGGTGGAGCGTCTGCAGGGGAGCCTCTGTGGGAGGAAACGAGGAGGAGTGAGGAGCGGCGCGCTGCCGCCCCTCGACGCAAGGAATGCAGGGCGGCGCAGGCGAGGGAGGGAGGGCAGGCAGAGACCTGGGAAGACCAGAGACCAGGGAGCGAGAGTGCATGCGACGCAGGCGAGGCAAGGAGGGGTGACCAAGACGGTGGTGCCACAGGAGAGTGTCGTGCGACAAAGCGCGACACTCGCAGGGGGCCGCCAGCTGACCAGACGTAGACGCAGACGCAGCTACCTGAGGGGACTCAGTGGTCAGTGTGTACAGACTCGAGCCAGGTGCACGGGTGAACGTGGCCAAGTGCCGGCCCGTCCTAGCACACGTACAGTGAGTCACTCGCTGACTCGCAGGAGTGAACTGGTCAACCTCCCGATCCTGGAGGTCAGCTCCACTCACCAAGTTCGTAGAGAACGAGGGGAGGTAAAGACCTGACAGCGAGCCGGACGGGACGGCCGGACACGGCAGAACCGTGGAGTAGTGGGCAAGGACTGGACCCCCGGAGGGGTCCGCCAGGGAGACTGGAACTGGCCGACTAAGCGGCGTGAGTGTGGTGCAGTCGCGAAAGAAGGAGCGAGAAGCTCCTGAGTCAAGGGTGAAGGTGTGCGAGACCGTAGTTGGCGCAGTACCAGAGAGAGCAGACTCACCAGCACCTGAAGCCACGGCCTCACCAGTACCTAGAGCAGTAGACGTACTAGCACCGAGAGCAGCAGCCTCACCAGCACCTAGAGCAGGAGACGCACTAGCACCTAGAGCAGCAGCCTCACCAGGGTCAGGCGGTACGCACAGAGAACAGGCACGATCAGCACTAGTAGGCAATGCATACATGGCAGTGAGAATAGCATCATAGTCACGCGCAAAGATATCTACCCTCTGTCCATGCAGCTCCAGCCAGGTGGGGAGCTCAGCCTCGTCGCCAAACACTGTGCGCCAGTCGTCGCTCAGACGAGCGAAGCAGCGGGACTGTGTGTGACCAAGCGTCCCACAAGGCTGACCAGTCCTAGCACCTGTGCGAATGACGTACGGGCAGCGAACTGTACGCGTAGACCTGCTACACTGAGCGTACCACTCCTGGAGCTGCCGGGGCGTAAGTGTCTCACGTGGACGCCCCTGCAGCTGTAGCGGGCCACTGCCAGACGCTCCCAACTGACCAGCTCCAGGGCGACAGCTACGACGGCTACTGCGACAACCCCAGCTAGTATACCACTCACTAAGCTGCTGGGGCGTCAGAGGCTCGCGTGAACGTCGCTGGAGCTGCATCTGGCCACCTGCCAGTAGCAGTAGCAGCAGCAGTAGCGCGGGCAAGGCAGGCGCGGCAGGCAGGCAGGCAAGCAGGCAGGCAGGCAGGCAGGCAGGCCGGCAGGCAGGCAGGCAGCCAGGCAGGCAGGCAGGCAGGCAGACAGGCAGGCAGGCAGGCAGGCAAGCAGACAGACAGGCAGGCCGGCAGGCAGGCAGGCAGTCGCGCAGGCAGGCAGGCCGGCAGGCAGGCAGGCAGGCAGGCCGGCAGGCAGGCAGGCAGGCAGACAGGCAGGCAGGCAGGCAGGCAAGCAGACAGACAGGCAGGCCGGCAGGCAGGCAGGCAGGCCGTCAGGCAGGCAGGCAGTCGGGCCGGTAGGCAGGCAGGCAGACAGGCAGGCCGTCAGGCAGGCAGGCAGGTGCTCACCAGGCGAGCAGGGCCGAGTAGGCGCACGACAGCGGCGGCGTCGGGGCCGCAAAACCGGCTGCAGAGCAGGGCCGAAGCAGCTGCAGGGCGGGGCCGCTTCAGCGGCAGTAGCAGGGTGGGGCCGCGTCAGCGGCAGGTCGGGGCCGTGGCAGCTGCAGAGCGGGGCCGCATCAGCGGCAGGTCGGGGCCGTGGTAGCTGCAGGGCGGGGCCGCATCAGCGGCAGGTCGTGGCCGAGGCAGAGGGCCGCGCGCGGCTCGGCGCGGGCTGCGCTGACAGCGCGTGGAGCTGCTGCAGGCCGCGCGCGGCCGCGCTAGGCAGTAGCGGGCCGCGCGCGGCTCGGCGCGGGCTGTTGCGGGCCGCGCGCGGGCCGCGCGAGGCAGTAGCAGGCCGCGCGCGGCTCGGCGCGGGCTGCTGCGGGCCGCGCGCGGGCCTCGCGAGGCCGTAGCAGGCCGCGCGCGGCTCGACGCGGGCTGCGCGCGGCAGCTGCGGGCTGCGCGCGGCTGCAGCGGGCTGTGCGCGGCTCGGTGCGGGCTGCGCGCGGCTGCAGCGGGCTGTGCGCGGCTCGGCGCGGGCTGCGTGGGCTCTGTGCGGGCTGCGCGCGGCTGCAGCGGGCTGCGCGCGGCTCGGCGCGGGCTGCGCGGGCTCTGTGCGGGCTGCGCGCGGCTGCAGCAGGCTGCGCGGGCCTTACGGGCCTCTAGGGGCAGCGCGCTGGCCTAGGGCAGTAGGAGGCAGCGCTAGGGCTGCTGGACGGCGCACATAGTGCAGCACGTCACAAGGCAAGGCAAGGCAGGCAGGTACGTGGGGTAGCGCGGTAACCGCAGCGGTAGGTGGGCCCGAAAAAAAAAAAACGGTCCTACGGACCTTAGTGCTCTGATACCATGTCAGAATCTAGCAGCAGGAATGAATGAACTAGCAGCATGCAGGAGTACAAGTAGTAAACCCTAATTGGGCTGTACCCCATATGGGCTACCCCACTACAGCCTAGACAATATCCAGCATATATGTTTGTGTCAAATGTTGGTAGCCTGTAGTGAGATGTGTCTTAGGGGGTACGTATGTTAGGGTTTGCTACTTGTACCCCAACCACCATCAATGAAACAACACTTCCGATTTTAACATGGTATCACCTAGGTTAGGATCCTGTAGGATCCCGTTCCTCCCGACCTCGTTCGTATCGCCCGAGCCTGTCTCCCTCTCTCGTATTACTTACGCACGTCTTGCCCGAGCCTAGCGCCGGCCCGCTCTCGTCCCGTTCCTTCGTTACCGCCCGTTCCGCCGATCCCCTACTCGAGTAGCGTAGCGACCTTCCTCCCCCCTGCTGGCCCGTCGCGTTCTCCCCCCTCCGAGGCCCGTCGAGTCGCGTTTATCTTTTTTTTTTTCCCCCCCGCTGCCCGTCGAGTCGCGTTTTACCCCCCGCTGCCCGTCGAGTCGCGTTTCCCCCCCTGCTGCCCGTCGAATCGAGCTCTCCCCGCCCGTCGTCCCGTCGCTCGTCCCCCCCTTACGCGCGCCACCGCTGCGCCTTCCCCCGTCGCCCGCCGCAGCCTGCGCCCGTCGCCGCGGCGCCCGCCTTCGCTGCTCGTCGCGTCGCGCGCGCGACTGCCCTTAGCCCCCGCGCGGCTCCCCCTTAACGCCCGCCCCCCGCGCCCGCGCGGCTGCCCTTAGCCCCCGCGCGGCTGCCCCTTAACGCCCGCCCCCGCGCCCGCGCGGCTGCCCTTAGCCCCCGTGCGGCTGCCCCTTAACGCCCCCCCGTTTAGCTGCGCCTCTGCCTCGTTTAGGGTTTCCCGCTTCGCCCTTTGCCCGCCCGATTTTAGCCACGCCATCTCGTTTAGGGTTTCCTGCCTCCGCTTTTCCGTCGGTTTTAACGATGGCGACTCCGCGTGTTCTTCGCTTCGACGCTGACGGTAGACCCCTTGACTTTTCGCTCTGGCTTCTGCGCGCTCGCCGTCAGTTAGAGAGTCAGGTCCAGTCAGGCGAGACCCTCTGGGCGCACGCTGCTGGTGCCCTCCCTGCGCCCCCCGACCCTACGCCTTTAGGTCCTGCCCCTGACGACGCCGCTAGAGCTCGCTTCGCTAGCCAGCGCGCTGACCTGACAGCTTGGACGTCGCGTGACGCTGCGGCCTGCATCGCGCTCAGCACCCTTCTCCCTGAGTCTGAGGAGGCTCACTTTGCTCAGGTTCGCACTGCTGCTGAGTACCTGACTGCGATTAAGGCCCGCTACTCCACTCCTGCTGCTGTCTCTCTTGGCCGCCTTTTCCTCCCGTTCCTGTTCCCTGATCTCGCCTCATTTGAGCGCTCTGCTGACTTGATTGCTCACCTCCGCTCGCTCGACTCTAGTTACCGCGCTGCTTGCACTGAGGCCCAGCTCGCACTGCTTCCTCCTCCCATGGCGATTACTATCTATTTTATCGCCACCAGCCTCCCCGACCGCCTTGCCTCCGTTCGTGACGCGCTTCTCCTGAAGCACCCTAGCGAGCTCACTATTGACGTCCTTGAGTCTGCTCTCAAGGACGTCGAGAGCAACCTCCGCTCCGTCGCCGCTGCCTCTGGTGCTGTGCCCCCTCCGCTCTTCCACGGGTGCACAGTTCCGCAGTTGCCCACCTTTACTGCCTCTCTCGCCACTGCCGCTACTGACGCGACCGCAGCTGCTGTTACGACTTCGTCGCGGTCCCGCGGTAGGGGTGGCAAGAGGGGCGGTGCTGGCGGCGGCGTTGGTGGAGGCGGAGGTAGTGGGGGTGGCGTTGCGACTGGCGGTGGTGGGAGTGCAGGGCCTGGAGAGACGTCTCGTGCAGCGACCGGTGACTCCACTGCGACTGCTGGTGGTGGCGACGCCCGCGTTCGTCAGTCGCCCCCTGTACTGCCAGCCCCGGTGGGTGGAGCAGCGGCGTGGTACCGGGCCCAGCGTCAGCAGCAGCTTCAGCAGCAGCAGCAGCCCCTCTCCTCCCAGCAGCCTCCGCA